CAACAGCAGGTGAAAGTTTTCACTTCTCCTGTGAAATGACTCAGCATTTATCAGACGTTGTTTGTGCCGACAAATATTAGCATGCGAACATGTTAAACTGAGATGGTAAACAATGTATCCTACATGATAGACATCAGCAGGTTGGTATTGCCATTGTTAGCATCTTAGCATGTTGATCTTATAGCATTTAGCTAAAGGCCTCACAGGACCGCTAGCATGGCTGCAGACTACTTGGTCTTGCTCATGGACTGTGCAAGTGCATTTGAAAAATTATATTTCACCCTTTCCTTAGAATTTTAAAAAGACAAATGGATTTTTTTTTTTAATTTCCCCCTTTTTTTAATCTCCTCACTCTTCTTCTTTTTCTTAGTATTCCTAGAACATATTTAATCATTTATCTATGTCCCGTTTCCCCTAACATTCCTAATATTCTGTTTTCCATTATCTCTTTTTCTCAGCAGGTTAAACCTCCATTATTGTCCATGATCATTAAAGACAGCTATGTCTCTGTGCTGTCTGAAAGTGGTTGTTTCTAGATGTTGTGGAGATGTCTGCATGGCTCAAACATCTAATGAACTGCATTAGGTGTTTCTAATATTTTGTCCTCTCCATTATTATGTAGAAACAATGTACAAGGTATAGAAATGTAACTATATAATGCAATCCAACAGCACTTTCACAAAGCCATTATTAAATACTGGACTGCTACACTGATGTTTGATTGCATTACTGCCTCTTTTAGTGGTCACTCAGTGAACGGTACATAAAGAAAAAATGGGCCCAAGAGGTTTCTGGTTTTAATTGCATCATTAGAATTACAAGAGCAAGAATAAAAAAATAAATTTTAACATGTTGCCTCATGACAGTGTCAACAACAAATCTCATGAACAATGCTGATCAACCTCAACAGCAATACTGGACTGAGTCAAGTATATGTTACCTGCACTCAGTCCTGATAATATACTGTATACTGGCTATAAACCTGGACAAAACACCAATACTTTTCCAAAGCTAACAAGGACATGTTGTGGATCTGGATAATATTACTGAATAAAACCTGAAACCTTCTCAAACATGTGAAGCATAGATGGACGGACGTCAATTATAAAGGTTATCCACCTGCAGGGTATTGTATAACAGGACTAAAATAACCTGGACGTTTTGTTCATTTTTCATAAACTGTTGGTTTAACAGTTAAAGAGGTTAAACAGGTAGCTCCATATACGACTTCAAACCACAGACCTGAGGTATGAAACTGTTAAAATCACTGAGGGCAGAGACATTTACAGCCACAGAGCAGCTCATATTATAAACATTCTATAAAGAGTTAAAGTAAAATAGGCAAATAAATATAAAACTCCAGCTGTGTTTAATATATAATCCGCTCAGTTATGTGCATGTTCTCCTACAGTGTGATCTTAAAATAAAGGGTTGCAGCAGTGTGGCAGTTCTTCTTCTTTTTAGTGGTGTTATAGTTTCAGCTGTGAGGTTAAGACATATTCTGAACAATTTATGTGTCAAGACAGTTTGAATTTTGAACAGAAACTAGAAAGATGTTTCAACAGTGAACATTTTTTTTCTTGAATCTTCCCTATAAGGAAACTGCAGTAAGTTAATTTAGAGGTGTTACATTAAAATGGTGGCTACAGCCCTGATCTAAAATTATACTTATTGACTATATTATGCCTTTTTAACTGAAGGCATTTTGTCATGTCACAGCTTGAAAAGCACAGGTGCCAATAGGCTAATGAATAATGGCTGAATTCCATTTAGCTGCTTAAGGTATAAGGTCCTGGTATTGTTCATTCTGGCTCACTGTCACACTGTCACGGCTCACTGGGATAATGGATCCACTTAATATTATTAGTAACACCTTCACTTCTACTATGATAACTCAAAATGTTTGCTGTAAAAGAAAATGCCTGTTGCACTAAAACAGGCTCACTAAATTGCAGGTTACTTCCATGGCACCAGTTGCCATTATAAGAGATACTGTACTTTCATTCAAGCTACTGTCTTAAACAGGGGCTTTTTCTGTAAAACCTGTTCATGGAGTGTAAAATCCAAGATTTCCCTGAATTTCACTTTGATAGATCCTAGTTAGTTTGTAAATCCTTCTTTCCAGAGCACTTCCTTGCATCTTGGATCCTGCCCCAGAAAACAATTAACATTTTGAAAACAATACTAAATTTAACATCTGAATCACGATCCAGTGTCCATCATACACTGCACATGTAAATATTGTTTTTGTAGGATATTTGTGTTGTAATTGGGCTGACGTGTCTGCATTCCCCAAATCCTTCATTAAAGCTGTACTTTTAAAATCATAAATACTGTCCTGATACTGTGACAAAAAATGTTAATAATTACAGGGAGCAGAAGACGCTCCCTCCAGTGCAAATACAATATTGGCTAGAAAAGCAACAAAGAAGTCCATCAAGTATTCTACTCCATGGGCCCTTCTAAGACTGCATACTTGCTTTCAGTTCCTGGAGGATGTCAGTGCCGCTGCTCCAGGCAAGGACTCTAGCCCTAACAGAGCTGTTACCCTCCTGACCTTCCAGTTTGGCCAGCAGTTTCTCCAGGGTGTACCCCTTCCTGGGCATCACAACATCATGCCCTCTCAGACAGAAACTAGGGCAGAGATCATTCCCACCATCTCCCACGTAAAATATATGCTCATACTCCACACCTCCGTCAGACTGCTCTGAAAGGTAAAGCTCCAGGACTTTTTTCTTACAGAGGTTGACGGGGCATCGATTGCACTCGTGAGAGTGGTAGCATTGTACCTCCATGTACCCGAGCTCATTGAATTTAGCCGGGTTGGTGAAAACCTGGTCGACAGCCGCATGGAGCCCAGCTGCGTGGAGGATCCAGTCTATGAACATGGTGTTGGAGTCAGAGATGACTATGCAGTCAATGGTGCTTTTATTCTGTGATATGAATGTCAGCAGGTCTGTCATTCCAGCTGTGAAAGGTATGGTCTCCATCACACTTTGGACCCTGTCAGGGCTGACCTCCTGCTCACCTGGATGGACAGACAAAAAAAGGTCAGAGAACTGAAGAATGTGCAGGTTGTAAGTAAAAATATTAATGTAAAATATTTTGTGCAGCTCTATGCATGTATGAAAGAACAACAGTTAATTCTCACCTATGTAGTTCATCACTCTGCCCATGTACTCAGTCCAGTGGCCTTTTTCGTAGGAACTCTTCACAGAGTCAGGAAGAGTCTGACCTGGAAGGCATCTGAAAACCCAAAAAACAAAAGATCCACTATGAAGTAAAAGTGATGTTGCTTGTGATTACAATACAGAAAATCGTGTTTCATCTGTGGTTCTGTCAGTATGGTATTTTGATTTATAATAGTCTTGCAGCAGTACCATTATAGATTTGTATGCATTTTGCAGCATAAAAAGCCTATACCTTACAATTTGTGATGGATATTGCAGTGATTAATTAATTGAATCAATCAATACATTATTTACCTGACCACCCAGGTATCACTGTTGTCATCGACCACAGTGTGGTCAAAATCGAACACCATCAGAGTCTTCATTTTTCACCTGTAAAAAGACATAATAACCCTTTGAAATAAAGAAAAAATATACAACAAGACCTGGTTGGAAAACAATAATTATTTTAGACCTAAAAACTAATTGCATATTTTCACTGATATTCTTGTCAGATGTTAAGTTGTATTACGCGTGTGTGCTCACTCCAGTCCTGACATTAGGCCTGGGTTTGTATATGAAACTATCTGTTTGAATAATCCGTTTACAGGGGTGCACAGGAATAAAGTACATTTACTTGTGTACTGTAGTTAAGTATATTTTTTGATTTTCTTTTGTAAAAGACAAATATTGTACTTTTGACTCCACTACATTTCTATAAAATACTCTTACTTTGAAGCAGAGCTTTTAGTCAGCGGAATTTAATTAATTTTATTTTGAAAATGTGACAGCCCATACATTGTGCTAATCACAGGAGAAAAAACCGATCACAGCCAATTCCTACACTGGAACAATACAACAATGTGTTTACATAAAAAAATTACTTTCAAATACTCGAACTAGTATTTTTTTTAAAGAAAGTACTCCAGTACTTTAACTCAAGTAAAAATTTGACTCAACAACTTTCACTTGTATTGGAGTAATGTTTAAACAGGAGGATCTATACTTTGACTCAAGTAATGGAGCTGTGTACTTTGTCCAGCTCTGTCCGTTTATTACTTTCAACCAAGTTAGCGTTATCTTACAAACCGTGACTGACTCCAATAAACTACACCAACCAACCGTTTTATTACAATAAATCGCTTTCCCTTATATGCCGATTGAATCACAACATATCATTTAATCCTGAAATGTTTTGAGTTATTTCCTAATCACTATAAAACTTAAGTTTAAACTCACTACGTTTTAAGTGACTGATTTTTTGTAAGGAATCTGGTAGAACCTCGTCTCCCTCCAAGTAAACGGCCTAGCAGACCGGCTAATCCTTCCGTTTAATTTCTGTTCCAACAAAATTCAGATCAGGTTTAAGAGGAACAACATACATTACAGTGATTTCTGCATCAAGAATAAGACACAGAGACATAAATCACACGACATTAAGGGAACCGGTGATGAATAGCAAACTGACCTCAGAGTTGCCTGTCATGAATCCGCCGATCTGTCTTCCTCTCCTCGTCTTGTTGTGTTACAGGACGTGCAACAACTCTGGGCTCATTACCGCCACCTGCTGGTAAAGTGTCGATATCACAGATAAATTAATATAATTCAACACATTATGTTACCTTAAATACTTAGAGCTTTTAGGGTATGTTACAGTGAATATTTTTGTATTCTTATTTAATAAAAAAATTTTGTAGTATGTTTTGAAATTATATCCGACAAAAGCACCTAATATGCAGTACGGAGCACGGCATCATTTTACCTTTTAACCACTGGGTGGCAGTAATACACAACTTGAACTGCACAAAAAGCAACCAGGGAAGAAGAAAGCCTGTCGGTTTAGTTCCTGGTTACATAAAGTCAAGAATCACCCACTGTCCAGATTGTTGTTTTTTCCTCATCTTTAAACGAACAGTTGTTTTATTTTGACCAACATGTTCAAAGGTTTGGGGACGTGGTTGGGTTTGGAGAACCCAACGTACACGAAGACGTCAGACGACAAAGAAAACCTGAGCGTGCAGCAGGAAGAGAAGGTGGTGGAGGCACAAAACGAGGTAAACAAACAGCAACCAGCTGACCAGGATGGAGAACCAGAGACGAACCTGGAGAACTCCGAGGACAGCAAAGGACTGGGTGGTGAGAAAGGACTGTTTTCCCTTAAATTATCCTTGCTGTTATTGCGAAGTGGTTTTATTTATCGTCAAGATAGGTCGTCAGAAAATTAGCTTCTCAGTAGCTTCTGGATTTTGTTGTCTCTGTATCAACTCCTCATAAATCCATTAAATCAGTAGATTGTACTTCCTAGTGAAAGGTTCCCCCATCCACCAACTAAGGTTTTTCGTCTTCAACTTTGTTGTTTGTTGTCCAGGACAAACTTAGCTGTCTTCTAATACATTTACTCGTGTTGTAGTGGTGTATTTTAATAACAGATGCAGTTTTTAACCACCCCATTTCCTCCTATTCCTCCTCCATCTGAAGATTACATCTTCAGTTTTGCCTCCAGTGCCACCAAGAAGATTTCTGAGTCAATGGTAGAGACAGCTCAGACCATCAAGAAGACTGTGGAAGAAGGGAAAATTGACGGCATCATAGACAAGGCATGTTGCTCTATTGGCTTGTTTGACAAGTTATGCAGCATTTAGAAGAGACAGGCAACTCTGGGTTCATATGTTGAACATCAAAGATTTTGCATGTTGGTGAGCTATGTGCTCAGCATGACATGACATTATCATTATATGACATGACATTAAGTATAGCTCTGTGTGTGTGTGTGTGTGTGTGTGTGTGTGTGTGTGTGTGTATTTGCAGACTTTTCTTGGAGACTTCCAAAAGGAGCAGGAGAAGTTTGTTCAAGAGAAAAAAGCAAAAAAATCAGGTAAAATAAGAAGGGAAAGAATCTTCTTTACAGTAAATTGCATGTGATCTCCCTGAAATTATTTTTTATCCTTTTTTAAAGAGCGTTGCTTTACAAAGTAAACTAGTTTCCAGTGAAGTCACATTCTTTGCATATCACAGAGTATTGTGGGAAAAATGCTGAGTATGACACAGAATTGTTGATGAGAAATGATGGTGAGACAGTGGAAAAGTAAAGTGTCAGTAAAGTAACAATGAGGCGAAACATGTCACATTTTGTCAATAGGAAGAAGCTAAAGCTGAATCCAACAGGAACACACTGTGTTCTGAACAGACTGTTAATACAGCTTTATTGGACCGATGAGGATTTGTAGTTTTAGTGAGTACTTGAAGTGGTACCCTTCCAAAATGTGTCTGTCAGTACTGGAATCCACTGTAATCACTATACTATTAATCCAAACTTTCACCAGCCTCTGTTCTCAGTAGTGGATCAAAGTGCAAATATTGTATTGCCACATATGTTAAGTCAGCATGAGGTGATCGAACAATAGATTTTGGGTGGAGTATTTTTTTAATGTTCTAACAATTTGCCCACATCCTTACATCCTGATGATCCTTAAAAATACAACATCAGATGTCAGACCTCCAGGGAAAATAGCAACAAAATGACAAAGACTCACATGTCAGATTTGCTGCGGAACACTGTATCCTAAGCATTGTCCTGCTATATGGAAAAATATGATAAAGACACTCCTGATAACTAGTAGGATTCTAGTCATACAACATATACAGTACATGAACATTTATACATGCATGTACAGTATATACAGGGGAACAGCTTCTTAAGATATATAAGGAAGAACAAGAAGCATGAGCCATAAAAATTTTGAAGTGCTTCATGAGGTAGTTTACAGACTGAAAATGGAACAAGCCCACTGAGCTGTTTGGTAATAGCATCATCCTCAACTGTTCAGTAGTCGAGTTTCAAAACCCAGAAATTCCAGTCAAGGATTTTTTTTCAAGCATAATACAGTCATTCATTTAAAAAAAAACAAAACAATTAAATCAGTCAGTCACACTTTGTTTGTAAGGCCTTATATACAGGTTAGTGACATTCAATTCAAAGTGCTTTACAGGGAATTTTTAAAGCATATGACTGTGTGTGTGTGTGTGTGTGTGTGTGTGTGTGTGTGTGTGTGTGTGTGTGTCTAGAAGCAGCAGTGCCTCCCTGGGTTGGCTACAATGAGGAAGAGACCATCCAGCAACAGATCCTTGCTCTGTCAGCTGTAAGCAAAGACACGACTATATGAATGTGTTATTACTACGTGTGTGACATTCTGATGATCAAACTGAGCTCTCTGGCTGCTGATTCCAGGACAAGAGGAACTTCTTGCGGGACCCTCCGGCTGGTGTTCAGTTCCACTTTGACATGGAGCAGATGTATCCTCTGGCCACAGTGATGCTGGAGGAAGACCAGCTCCTTAACCGCATGCGCTTCGACCTGGTTCCCAAACAGTATGTAGTGTTCCAACTTTGCGTGTGTGTGTGTGTATGTGTGTATGTGTACAGTATACACTTTACATTATGTGATTGTTTCTGCAAGTGTGTTAGCAGGACACAGTTACTTTGACCTGTGGCATCATCTTTGAAACGATTTCACAGAATGGATGGTGATGTGTTTGTTTTCGACAGCGTGAAGGAGGAGGTGTTCTGGAGGAATTATTTCTACCGGGTGTCTCTGATCAAGCAGTCGGCTCAGCTCACAGCGCTGGCAGCTCAGCAGCAGCAGAAGGACGATGAGGACAGAGGCGCCGGTGTTTCACCTGAGGACGTCGTCCTTACAGGTCAGACACGGCAGAGACGATCTGCAGGGTCGTTTTCACCCGTTATATCAACAGGGACCACTGCATTTGTTTCTTTGTGACAATCCTCGGACCTCACGAGGGTACCGAACAAACTTCAGCAACCAAATGCATATAAAACTCTGTGGAGATTTGTGATTAAAACTCCGGAAATATGTTTTCACATTGTTTTCATCAGATTCATGAGGCAGCATGTCTGTTTTAGAAACCTCAATCATTGATGAACTAGGTGCACATTGCATGTCAATACTTCTGCCTGATCCACCACTCCACCACGATCATTAATTCACATTAATGATACATGTGCACAAACAGAATTCACACACCATTAGCGGCAATATCTAAATCATCGCTAAATGTCAGAGAGATATCTGATGTACTACTAACACTTCACAACTGAGGATAAAATGAAAAGAGTGTCAACACAAGGTAATAAAACGATGCCTTCAATAAGAGAATAATAATGTCAATCTCACAAAATTAAAATAAAGTTTATACATGTGCCTTTGATTGAAATTGACAACACTGTACAGAAAATATCAGGCAGTCAGTTCTGAGCAGCAGGTCCCCGGTTTGACTCCTGGCCAGCCGGACCGTATTGTATTTCCTGTGTGTCTCCACTGCTGCTGTCATATAAAACCATAAAAATCCCCCCAAAAATAACTCCAAAAATAACAGGCACTCAATGAAATTGTTGAACCTTAATGAATAATGTTTTCATTTTAGATTCCATCCCTCACCTTATTGTTCATTTGCACCATATCACCAGTGGCTTCTCTTGAGAAAAAAAAAAAAAAAACTCTCGGCCTGAAGTATTCACACACTCTCACCACACATTGTTCCTTTATAAATACCAGTTAATATGTGTTAAATGGTGTATGCATTATTTATGCACATACATGTTGTTTATACATCCAGCCCCGGGTGTACTCTCTTTACACTCTTTAATTTTGTAAAATGGGCAGGTATGTGTAAAGCATTACTGAGCTCTGTAGATGGAGCTCTTGGCCAAAGACCATCCGTGGTGAAAGGGATGTTCAGAAGATTTTTGTGTTAAAAGTATTGAAACTAAAGTCTTCAGTGCTTGTCGCCAACCTCATTATTATCTCAGCTTGTACTCCTCATAACCTCTGTTACAAACCACAGACACAGCTGTGGTTTCAGGGGAAAAGCCATGGAACACAGTCAAGCGAACAGCAGAGTGTGATTTGCATATGTAAAACTAACAGCACTTATTATTTCACTTCACAGACACTGTCAGACCAAAAACTCCACCAGTTTCTATCAGCGACATACAGAAGGTAAGACTGCGTGCGTGTGTGTGCGCGCAGGTATTTTCCAGAGTCATGCAGTGAATTACTTTTTCACTCCTGTCTGCATCATTTCCAGCCACCTCAGGAAGAAGAGGAGGAGATGTCCACAAGTCCTGGAGTGTCGGAGTTTGTGAGCGACGCTTTCGACTCAACAGCCATCAACCAGGAGGACCTGAGGAAAGAGATGGAGCAGCTGGTGCTGGATAAAAAGGAGAGCACCCCCTCTCCTGATGGTCAGTTTTGCAAGACATCACTATGTGACTGTATTGTGTATTTTTAAAGTCCAGGAAAAATAATTTTCTCGCTCATAACCTTTCCTTTCTTTTCACCCAGATGAGTCGGCCGACTGGGAGAAGGAGCTGCAGCAAGAGCTCCAGGAGTACGAGGTGGTGACCGAGTCAGACAACAAAGACGACCAGTGGGACCAAGAGATCGAGAAGATGCTCCAGGCTGACGACAGCTAGATGACTACCGTGTGCCTATCTCCTGTACAGGCAGTGATCTGGCCCAGAATGGATGAATAGTGATGAATAATGACCAGTGATGCACAACGGGATGAACTTCCACATCCTCTGCCCCCATCCAGCCGTGATAACTATCTTGTAAACATTCTCCTCTAAAACTGATGAAGGTATAGATCCAGTTATAACAAGAGTGTGTCACCTCTGCTGGAAGCAGTGGTCATGTTCAGTCATGTTAGTGAAGTACTACTTCATTGCCCCTTCCTAAATGAGTTTTATCTACTTTTTCCTCCCCCATCTCTTTTTTCTGTTTTTGATGAGAAACGCTGCTAGAGGGCGCTCCAGTACAATTACCATGGATTTTACAACAGAGGGGGCTTGTTGAAAATCACAGATCTGCATCAAATTTTTATCTTTGTTTCCACTGCTGCTTTGTGGTGGGTTGTAAAGTAAAGTCTTAGTATAGTGCTAGTACGGTAAAATCACATGTAAAGTTACATTTATGTAAATAAAGAGGATTCTAACACAATACTTAACTTCAAGTTGCATTCCCCCTTTTATTACATCTGCTTGTATATTTTGTAAAACATTTTGAACTCAAACTCCTTTCCACTTGACTTTTTTACTTTGTTCAGTCATCCTTCAATAAATATTTATTTGTTATTATGGACGATACACATAATGTCAGGACATCATCATAAGGATAAATTAAAGGAAATAAAACAACATAAAGTGTCTCAGTAAGGTGTTAAGCCACTTGGCATTGATTTTCAAAGTCTCTGGATTCTACTGGAGGAATGAACACCATTCTTCCAAAAGATATTCCCTCATTTGGTGTTTTGATGATGGTGGTGGAGAGCTCTGTCTAACACGTTGGTCCTAAATCTCCTATGGGTGTTCAACTGGTTTGAGATCTGGTGACTGTTAAGGCCACAGCATATGATTCACAACATTTTCCTACCCTCTAAACTGTTCAGTGACCCCTGAGGGCAGTGTCATCCTGGAAGAGACCACCCCCATTGGGATCGAGATGTTTCATCATAGGATAAAGGTGATCACTCACAACAACTCTGTATAAATGCATATATAACTAAATGTAAAAAAGCAGAATTTACATTTTTCAGTACCAAAATATATTTATTTTGCATTCATTTATGTATTTAATAATTCATTTCTGCATTTATTTATTTATACTTATATCAATTTTTGTCATCCATACTAACCATGTCAGCAAAATGACTCCCACAGTATAACAGAGCCACCGCAGCCACTCACTGTAGAGGTCAGGTATTTTTTACAATGTTTTTTACAATATATACAGTATATATATATATATATATATATACACTAGTCTAATACAACAGCCCTACAGTTAATCCTCCCTCATGAAGGTTATAATGTTCAGTTTTTGTTGAACCTGTGTTAAAGAGGTGTTGATTCAACTCCATGATCATTTTAGAGGCTGCAGCTTGTGCTGCTGTTGTTTAGCCTACCCTCATTGATTTGAATTAGGTGGACACAATCATAGGATGCCTGTCAACATGCTGCAGTCAACAGCGCCACAGACTAAATTCTTCAAAATGTGTTTTTTAACAGGTCTATTTATTTTGCTTAATGTATGTATTGTAACCCATGGACAAAAATAACACTAACAAATAAGCAGTGTGGGAAGTGAAACATTTTTACTTACAGAACCTGATCCAGACCACAAATCCCCATAATTTCCTTATACTTTTTATCCATGTAGTTACATAGGCTGTTGTAGTTTATCTCACATTTGATCATCTGATCAAAATATAATCATTTGATCATACTGTTATTAAGAATAGTGATGTCAATGTAAAGGAATAGTTTGACGTTTGCCAAAAAAGCTTAGTCATTTTCTTGCTGAGAGTTAGGTGAGATCATCGATACCACTCTCATACCTGTCTTTGAAATATAAGGTTACAGTCAGCAGGAGCTGGTTATCTTAGCTTAGCAAAAAGTCCAAAGGTCTATTTCAGATCAATGTCCCTTTCAAGTCATTTGAATTTAATTTCTGCAACAGTCTGATGTCTTAAAGGTCTGAGTTGTTGACTGTGCAATAAGAATATCCCATGGTTTCAGTGCGTGACCGGGACTTTTTTATAGCACTGTGTTCAAGCTCTTTTAGTCACAAGCTCATTCCGGGGCAAAGTCTAACCTCAACGCTGAATTAAGATACTCTGTGAGCATGAAATTTAACATATAATTTAAATGCACAAATGCGCGGCTGTTGTCTAAAGTTTGGGTGAATGAGGGCTGACTGCGGATGGTTGGGCGAGAAGAAAGTCTTTCATGAGACTGAGTAAGTCATTGAGGAATGGTGGAAGGGAGGCCTGGATGTTTTAGTTGTAGAAAGTCTGTAATCATGTTAAATGAGACTGAGACAAACACATAGCTCTGCTTGTGCCAACCAGACCTGTCTCTGCATGCTCCCTACAGTTCTGTAAGCAGAGTGGCAGAAACAGATGGTACGCTGTCTGGAGTGTCAACACTACCCCCACCACAATAAAGATATTGAAATGAATTGGAGAATAAATACTCATTTGCAAGTGGCAATCAATACAAGGATCAATATGCTAATGTCTGCTGTGCTTTCTCTCTGCTTCTTGGGTGTCAGGTGTGTGTTCAGGAAAATGATGTGAGAAACAGACTAAAGCTCCAAGCTGCAATGTGTGTTCTCCCTTTGTTTTGTCTCTCTTTGTCATGTACACACACGTCCCTCCCATCGCAACATCACAGCCAGGGTCCACCAGCTGGTCTCTGGCAGGACACACACTTGTCACCATGGTGACAAAGCCAGGCAGATTAGGACCCATGTGTGTGGTTTATTGCTTGTGTGTGATGCTGGTTTAACAATCTTTTAATAATGCATAAAGGCGAGACTGTGTGTGTGTGTGTGTGTGTGTGTGTGTGTGTGTGTGTGTGTGTGTGTGTGTGTGTGTGTGTGTGTTTGTCTGTCTGTCTAGCCCACATAGCCTGCAGATTTCCGTGTCTGTACTCCAGACAAAGAGGCAGAATAAACAGAGATGAGAGATAAAAATGCAGAGAAATTGTCTGTAAAACAAAACTCACCACATATTTTGTATTTTATATGTAGCGTGTAATATGCTGTTAGGCACAAATCCTCATAAACTACTCAATGTTTTGTCTAATTTGTCGTATTTTACAGCAACAGTCCATAAAGCGCTTTCTGTTGCCTGCCAGGACACAAAGGGGAAGGTTTTCTTTTTAAGAGTTTTAAAGGACAGTGAGGAGAAAATATAGGGAAGACTGAACAAGGAGTTAAAGATAAGCTGCATGGTTTCTCAGACTACCTGCCACTCATACCACAGCTTCTTTTAAAATCTCTTGTTACTGAAAAAACTGTGTAGAGAGAATTTCAGCATCTTTTGGTGTATTTTTCAACATACCAGGTGTTAATGCAGAATACAGTGTGTAAAAATAGAGATGTCAGATATTGAAGGTTCTCTACTTCCCAGGTGGAACTGCTGTAAACTGTAAGGTCACTGTTCACTGTAAAATTTTCATTGCAGTTTTATAAGCATCTAAATGCCTACTTGTAAAATGTAATCAATACTGAATAGAGAATGATGCAATGCGATGATAGCATTGAAATATTTTACTTTGAAAGTCGGTAGTGTACAGCCGGTGGTTAGAGTTTGGTTTTTATTGAGAGCGAACCTTAACAGTCAAGCTACTGACAACAGAAAGTTCCATAAAGTTAAGGGGAACTGCAGAGTGGTGATAACTATCTGAGGTTATTCTCACTTAGATACTTTCACATACAAATAGTCAGTAGTCAAATTTTTTGAACTGCACTACTTGAAAGTAATGGAAATTTCAAAGAGAAGAATTCAAACCACATAAATTCATAATTATTTGTATTTAAAGTTCAACCTGAAGTATTTGTGATTAAATTTCACAATTAGGTTCTCAGTTGCGTATAAGGTTTAAACCTTTACGGCTTTTATTTGCTTTCGAGTGAGTGAGCTCAGTATATTGGAAACTGAACATGATGTTCTGACATCCTGAGCTTCTCTCATGTGCTAAACTTTGTAAACTGCACTTTAACATTAACATTAGTTTGCTCTCTCTAAAAACAGCCATTCTTGGACCCAGAGAGCCCGAAGGGGCCCTCGCTGAGGAATCTGGTAAATTGTAGTTCTTTGTGGGCTTCAGGGGTCCTTTTCAGTCATTAGCCTCTAAATGAGTTATTTTCACCTGAACACACAGGAGCTCTTCTTTTGCAGCTACTGTGGCATAGTGTTGGGTTAAGGTAGGTTATTTGCCTAGTGTTTGATATTAATACTCAGTGAGGCCTCAAAGGGCTGTATGTGAGCAATATGTCTACTGTAAATTGTTTTTTGCATATTTTAGTATGTTTTAATGAACTCATTTTTCTACAGGCATTTCATGTGATTAATAATGACCCTTGAAATGAAATGACCAAAAAGGATTCAAACACCGCATGCAAACAAACCATCATAATTATGTAGCAAGAAATAACTTGATAACGACGATGCGTTAACTTCAGACTGATGTGAACAGTTGCAACAAAACTGGGTGAAATATACTTGAACACAAAACTCCAAAGTTGGAGTGGATGGATGGCTGAACTTGTGACAGGTGTAGAGCTGATTCAATCCCCTGTAAAATCTTTTATTTTTTATGACAGAGCTGTAAAGTCATTTAAACCACAGTGGATGTAGCCCTGAGAACCAAAAGGCTCCGAGACCATTGTTGCTCAAGTTAACAAGAAAGGGGCTCCTACGAGTGTCTTAACCTCAGTGAGAGTGAAAATGAGTAGGGGAATTTTAGAACATTACACTGAGATGCAGAGATAGTGGAGGAATCCACATCAAGGTCTTTAATGACATGTGTCATGTTTTTTCAGTGCAGTTCCTTGTGCAGTAATATCAACTGGTTTTTTCAGCATACAGTGTGTCATTGGTAATACCTTGAGTATTGGGTAGTGTCTTATTCTAACGAGGGCAGTGTTTCCCCTCACTCTGCAGCTTATTTGCAAAGTTACAGTGTAAACAGTCATTGACTGACAGAACCCTTCATTAACAATGTGATATTTGTGCTTGATGGATTTAAGAATATTTGCTTTTGGATGTTATCCTTTAGTGGTTGCTGGTGAGAAACTATAATAGCAGGATGTGAAATCATCTACTAAACACAAAGCGCTGTTATATTACCTGTCAGGCAACTTGACCGTGTCACATGATAGACCACAGAAGATCCTTTTGACCATATTTGGAGCTTTTGACAGTAGAAGCCAGGGGCCAACATAGAAGTGTAAGACATTGTTCGCTGCCAACAAAATGCTCTGCTCTGCTGCACCCCACCCCGTTAACACCAGGCCTAATAGTTCATCTATTAAGGAAGTACCCCAGTCACCGGCTGAGTCTACTATGGATTTTATATGGAGATTGATGATAAGATAACAAACCTGTGTAGGCTTGAGTTTGTCTGCTGACTCCCACTCTGTCTTGTGCTGCTGCTTTTTCCATCACATTCACCTATTCATCAAGCCTTTTTTTTCACTCTGACTCTCTCTGTCCTCCATTGGGTCACACATTTAATGTCACTTTTGTCTGTGACCGTAGTTTGTGTGTGTGTGTGTGTGTGTGTGTGTGTGTGTGTGAGACTGTCAGACTGTCAGACTGTCAGACTGTGAGAGTGAGAGTGTGTGTCTGATTCCAAGCACACCTGTCATCACCAAGACAGTGGCCCCTTTATTACTCAAGCCCGCACAGTTCAACTGACAAATCCTGCTCCAGACGTGCACTCAAGCACTCACGTAGACAGTTGAACAGAGTAGAGGAACCAGGTGTTGAATTCCCCCCTCCCCCCTCTCTGTTTCATTTTTCCCTTTAGAAAACAGAATTAAAGTGTTTAAGGTTGAGTATTTAAAGTTGAAAATGTACTTTAAGGCACGAACAATGACATCAGATAACGCCATGGGTTTAAACATTACCCTACTTTATCACCTGCAGCTTCAGGTGAGTACAGATTATTGCGCACAGCAGAACACAAAGACATTTAAAAGTCCTGTTTATTTACATTTTATTTACTTGGCAAATTTCATTGACGAGGAAACACCACATACTTTACATAAAACTAAAACTAAAGTACAAACACAATACGCTGCACATAAAAAGCTTTTACACATGAACCAACATACACGTGCATAGGTCATACAATAAGGTTTTTCCCTTCAGTGTTGGTTCACTTCAAGAGGACTAATCCCAAAAATCGGAGACTTTGTTGGCTCATATTGTAACACAGCCAGAAAATGTACTGTGATCCCATTAGCAGCCTTAAAGTTAAAACGTAGTCGGAAAAAGGAGAAGAATACAAGAGCAGGAAAATGGGTTTGTAGTGATTTCATCTCTGTATCTCACAAGTGCTCATTCTACAGTCACAAGAAATGCTATGTACAATGTTTGGTGGTTAGAGTGATGATACTAATATTATCTGTTTCAGTGAAATTTGTTCATGAAAGGAATCAATAATCTGATGAAGCTGATGATGTATCAGTTCTCTGTTGTAGCTGTTCAGTCTGAATATCTCATTGAGGCTTTAGTTTAGTCTTTTGCCGTTTATGCTAATTAAACAGCTTCCGACTTAAAACCGAGGCTTTACCTTTCCCAGCAGTAGGTGCCTGTTTTCAGAAGCAGTTATCAATACTTTGTGTTTTGTTTTGTTTTGTTTTTTCCTCTTGTTTTTTATTTCTACAAACTTCAAAGCCACCTCATGTTGAAGCTGTGGTCTGCGGTAACTGCTGAAACTTTTCAGCATGCCAGCTGCTTGTGGCACTGAAGTAGTAGTGGCATAGTTGCACTGAAGTCACTGATAAGGCTTTAGGAGATAACAAAATCAACACGTTCCTCTATCAATAGACATAAACATAGATTGATAAGGCTCCCAAAGGCACTAAATGGCTCTTATGTAATATCCTGGATTGAACTCTAACCTCATGCCTGAACAGAGCAAGTCTTAACACAATGAGTAATATACATCCAGTTATACATTTGAGGGGGTATAGGATGTAATAGCAAAGATTAATATAGTAAAGGGTTATTATGGGTCAAAACCAATGTCATTAAATGATTATTTCTTCATTAATTAAACACTGAAGGCAATGTAACACAGAGGTATGTCAGCTTCTTAGATTGAGAGTGTTGTTGGAAAGTGCATTGACTGATTGTACTAAACCTATACCCCCCCCCCCTCTGGCTTCCCGTATAACACCGTGCTGCCTTGACACCTGTCAAGGTAGACAAAGAGTAGAAGCAAACCAGGAAATAACCTTGCCTTCAAAATTGTCACAAAAAAAGAAAGAAAAATACACACACACACACACACACACACACACACACAGTAAGGAAAGAATAGGTTACAATAGGTTGTACAGGTGAAGAACATCTGATGTATTTTCATACATTAAAAGGGTTAATAATAATTCTTATGTTGTTTGTTATGTTGTTTTATTGTGAAAACGGAAGTAGCCCTCCCTTTATTGTAGCCGCCTTAACAGTAGCTCACAGCGACTCCAACCTCGCTCGTTCTGACAGTCGCCACCCCAGCAGAGGCTCGGTGTCACGGCTTCACTCAACGTATCAGCCCGGCTCCTTGTTCCTCTGACTTTCCATTTTTGAAATCTCTTGAAGCGTCTGAAGCGTGCAGAAGGCGTCAGAAATGACCTGAAAAAGCGGCAGGTGGACGCGAGTGAAGTTTATTTCCCCTTCTGCTCAAGCTAAATCGGTTTATTGACTGATATTTGGAAGTCTATCCCGGGCTTTGAGCATCAGAGTGTGCTGACTGGAAAACTACTCAAGGTAAGCCTGCGTAACGTACAAACCCTTTGTCAAAATATCAACGTTAAGTTTCTATAGAAACAAGCTGGGCTGTTAATGCTGTTAATAAAATTAATTTTAGTGCTTCAGAAATTCATTAGTATCTCATCGTTGCACTTCTTGAAATGTTCTTATTGTATCACTATTAACTAAAAATTGTTTCATTTGGGGAAAACATGTTGTTATTATTATTATTATTATTATTATTATTATTATTATTTTGTTTTTATTTATTTATTTATTTTTAAAATTTATTTCGTATACTCTATAGAAGAGCGTGATAATAAGGTGAACCAGATGCTATGGGTGCGAAGTAAATTACATATGTACTGTACCATTTCCAGGTATGAGTGTACCCTTATATTATTCCTGTTAAATTACAAAACCCCTGTAGAGTCAGATGATGTTTGGCTTCACATCGGTCTGAATGACTGAATCAACAAGCAGGAGCAGGACCTGTAGACCTGCTCTACATACAACTGTAATGTGCGGTTTCCTGACTGAGCCAGTAGCTGCACAATCAGAAGAGCTCACTCAGTGGAAAAAAAACGATAGTGTGAAAACGTCTTAGAGAGAATAGCAACAGTTTAAACGTGTAAACTGTCGCATTCAGATCAGAGAAGCACTAGATGTTTGAAATGCTTTGAAAATTGAAATAATTTGTGAACAAATGATAAATGAGGAAGGATTTTTCTCCATCCTTTGAAATGCAAATATGTGCAGTGGGTGTGTGACTCATTGCAATGGCTCCTTCTCTATTGTGCTGACTAAATTTTTCATAATGATGAAAAGACAGCCCCTGAACCTTGTAACCCATGCTTAAGGCCACACCGGAGGTGATTTAGGCCTAATAATATGCTGGCTTTTGTTTGTGCATGTGTCTTTGTATGTGTGTGTGTGTGTGTTGTTTTATTGATTTATTCATAGCCCCAAAGGAAATATCTGCAGCAGCATTCCACCTGCTCCTCCAATTTCCTCACGGAGGATACCAAGATACAGATAAACGCACAAATACACTCTCACACAGAGAGACATGCACACTGCATCACTATGGTGCTATCACAAAGAATGCAAGATTCTAATACAAATGTAGCCTAGGGAGCATTCCTCATCAGCCATATTACTCCTAGTCTTCAACTTGAAAGTGTGTCCGTGCAAAAGACTTTGATTCTCATTCCTGCTTTTCCAGGTTTTATTTTAGTGTTTGTTGCATCTGGTGAGTTGAAAAAAAACGTATAGTTGTTATGAATACTTTCAAATATATGTCATGACTCTCACTTTCACAAGCTTCCTCTTTAGCTGTTCATTATGACTGTAATTTGCCATTTTCACACACAAGTCCTGAGCTGCTTGTACTATGTTTATTGTAAATCAACATGTCAAACAGCTGGCAGGTTGCTTCTCGTATTGTGACAACAAATCCAAATCTTATCTGTAACCATGTTGCCAGCGGTGCGCAACATCGTAGCACAGTGCAGTCTTCCCACAGCTGCACATGTTGCGGAAAGACAAATGAGAAAGACGAATAAGGTCACTGTGTTGTTTCAGAAGAAAAAGTGAGAAGAGTCTATATCCTGAACAGTTTCCTCAATGTGATTGTGTTTTACCATGTCTCTGACTCTGGCTTTGCTCTTGAAGGAAAACTCTAAAGAGCTGGAAAAAACCCCAGTAAATAAAAATACACCAATTCACTCATGTTACAATTTAAAAACAGTTTTCCAAAGAGGTCTTTATCCTCCGTACTTTGCCTTTCATTTTGGCTGAGTTTGGTGCAGGGAGTGAGAACTGTTTGTGTGTGTATGTCTTTTAACCATTGGCTTAAACAGCCTCTGAACCAGCCAGTGATCTTTGACCCTTATTCACGCTCACTGTCACTTCAGCTCTAAGGCCTGACAACAAAGAGCTGCTTTTGTTCCCTGAATTACTCTTCCATGCACATTCTTTGCTCCTTCACTCTGCTGCTTGTAGGAGACAAGGGTAAATGCAGACTAAAGCTCTGTTGGACGAAATCCAAACTTCAGTTTCAGTCTGCTGTAAATGTGGGTGCAAGATAATGATGTCAGCTCTCCTAAGTCTCAGGCTTGGTTGTTAGATGTACCTAAATTGTGGTATGCGAAAACTGAGGCGCAAAAAGTGCATATTATAATTTAGACATATAGATAAAACTGACAATTGAATGACAACATTTCATTCAGGTGAGCAGTCAGCAAGACAGAAGGACAGAACGAAAATATGACGCCCAGGGACTTCAAAATCTTCTGCGAGGGGCAGGAAGTTGTATTTTCAAGGTGGTTTATTGTACTGAAAACAGGTTCGACAGGGTTTGAAAGCAAGGTCTAAGGTGCAGCTGCAGCCTAAAAGCCAAATCTGCCTTTTGATAGAAATCACAATCAAGTCTGACATTTATTTTTTGTTGTAAAATACAAGGCAGTTTGTTCCAGCTGTGGCACCGGTGGCATTTTATTGGAAGGCATGTGCCAAGATTGCAGCTCTGTGAGGCTGCACTCAGGCACAGCAGAGCTTTTAGGTGAAAGCTAATGTCGGCCTGATAACATACTCACAATGTCAATGGTATTATGTATGTGCAGGAATGAGTCCAAAAACCCAGAAATAAGTTAGCATTTAAGCATTTTAGCTCGCTAAAGTCAATGGTTTTTTTAGATGACTGAAATAAGGTTTAACATTAGCTTTTTACCTCTAGTGATTGTATTTAGATTTCAAAAGTCATAAAAGTGTTGTTTCTTTGTGAAGATTATCCTGCTGAACAAAACATGTAAGTATAATACATTTTTGTTTGTTAAATTCAAAAGCCAATGTGAAAATCCCATTGGCTTTTTGTCAAGGGAACCAGGGTGATGCTAATACCTGGTTTGGCCCACAAAAATACCTCATCCCTGCAGCATAAACCAAACATATCGTTGGACAAATTAAAATTTTGACCAATGATGGTGCTAGAGTCATTAGTATTTATCATCTGGGTATCATGGAAACCAAATGTCATGGCAATTGGTCTAAAGGTTTTTGTAACATTTCAAAAAAAAAAAAAGAAAGAAAAAATGTTAACCTAATGGTGGCAGTGAAGGAAAAGTCAGGGGATTACCAAAGTCAGTAGGTGCCGTCTTCCGAGGACCATGAATGTTTGTACGAAACTTAGGGGCAATACATTTAATAGTTGTTAAGCTATTTTAGTCTAGGTCATACCTGGAACGACCAACCGATACTGACACTTGTGGCAGAAGATAAAAATTCAGCACCTCCATAACTCTTTAAATGACTCAAATGTTTCTGAGATGACTTGATTTGTTGCCCACTTTGTCACCTTTAATGCAGTCTGTGCCAAACACAGTTTTGGCTGTCACGCTAATGTGCCTGATGTCAGACAAGACTTGAAAGATGAATGATATAGGTGGGTGAGTCAGAGATGGGAAAGCACAGGAAATTTTACTGGAAAAAGGAGTGACAGACTGAGAGGTCCCGGGGTTACGGGGCCTGTCTCGTTCACACATAGGTTGCTGGAGGATATGCGTGCAGTCACACATAAACACATACAAGTGTGTAGGAGTGGTGTGTGCAGTGGAGCAGCAGGTTTCAAGATGAGTGTGAGCTTGATACTGAAAATGAGAAATGCTAAGTCTACAGTGTGTGAGCAGTGTTCCAGCCCACAACTCGCACACTCATACACACACATCCATTCATGCCAGTCTTTTGTTTGTGCTTCTCGCTCACACACATACACATAAGAGCTGGGAAATGAAAAAAAAAAAAAAAAAACGGGAAATTCTTTTGCTGAATTGATGCCTGGGTGCTGTGCAGGGACAAAAGGGGAAGGGTGGGGGTAGGAGCAGAGAGTTAGTTTACATGTCCTGCCAATTCAGCAGCTCAAATGTTGTGTTGAACATAGAGGTTTGAGCTGAGAGTGAGTGAGTGAATAATTATGTTATTCTGTTATAAAGCCCCATACATATATTATATGTATACATATATTTTAGGGGCAATATACATATATTATATGTATAGGGTCTCGATTGATCACTTGTGATCAAATGTCACCTTCCTGCTTCATATGCAAATAAGACCACAAGACCACTTCACCACAATGCGCCTTCAATGCATCCTGGGTGCAATCTGATCGCCTTGAGACAGATATTAATGCCAGGTCTGAACAGGGCCATACATACACACCCCGTACCCTGTGCAGAATATTTCTATACAGTGTTAACTCTTTGTAAGTCTTCATGCAGGGCACACATTTGCACACATGCACACACAGAAGAGTTTTGTCTTGAAGGTGGGGGCCATTTTTGCCTCCTCTCAAACATGTCTAGAGAACTGAGCCTTCCACTGTGTGTTGACACTGGTTTACTGTTTCTCTCAGTCTTCCTCATCAATATACCGTCTATAGTCACAGAGCCCGACTAAGTGGGTTTTGGTTGAGGCTGATGTGAGTCACACACATTAATGCTTTGACTTCACCATCGGCTTGATGCTGAATGGCCATTGAAGAATGTTGTTGTTGAGTTATGCGTCATAACATCACCCAAAACATGGCCCTGTACTTCTGGTTTGGTCTAAATTTAGCCAAGTACGTGTCTTTCTTGAATCGAATGGTATGCAATCCATACCAAAGTTATAACAATATAATGCTTTATTTCGAGTGGCTTTTATTGGCTTTTTTTCCAATATAGATTGATGTTGTTGTGTTATGTTGAAGTGCTATGAATGTAGCTTTCTGTGGGATGAACAGTCCAGGAAAATTCCTTTTAACTTTTTAACTCATTGGCCAAGAGGGGTTTTAAAATGATCATAAATTTACTCAAAACTAAATTAAGTGCAGAAAAGGCTGTTGTGCTTTCAAAAGATCGAGATTGAACAAATTTGAACAAACATATAATTCATTTGAATTGGCTTGAACATAACTTTTGTATCCTATTCCCAAAATATGTTACGGTCCTAACGTTATTGCACTTTACAAAGTCAGCAAACAGCTTTAGCTTTATCTATGATTTGTTCAGCTATGGTTTTAAATAAAAAATGCCAGAGTAGTTGTCCATTTTGTGTAGTTTTTTTTTTTAATTAAAGTTATTCAATTGCATTTTCAGAAATTGTACTCTTTCACAGAACATATATTGAGCTATATTTAACTCTGCTGTTTAAGAAACCTCCTTGAACACCTTTACCCAATGGATAGGTTAGTGCTGTGGGTTTTGCAGGCCATAGTGCAGCCATAATGTTGTGGCAATGTAGACAACCACACCCGTATATTCGCATCTGTTGCTGCCGCAGGGCACCACCCTTTTGGTTATTGAGAGCTGATCGGGTGTGAACTAAGGCTGCACGGTACGCAAAACAAAACATATCACAATTATTTTGGTAGATTTTTCAACATGAGTCACGATTTCAATATGAATGATCGTTTTTTCATTTTCATTTTATGATTATGATTTGTAGGCCAGGATGTCTCTGTAGCACCACAACACTTATGGTGCTAACAGTGCACAAATTTAACTATTGGGGTTTATCCTGACCTTCCTTTGCAGTTGAGTCAAACGTACTGGAGGCATGCATACAAGAATCTGCGTGTTTCTGTTTATGTCTGTTCCCTATCATAAACCACTTTCAAGTCACACCTTTGCACCTTTTCAACTAAAATGTAAATGTCTATCTTGAATTATCAAAAAGGGAAGTGGCAAAACCACGGTCATGTTTTGTGAAAATGGTTAATGCTTCACTTTGCGTACTTTAATTGAAGTGAGAGTAGTTTATATCATATTCAATATAGTGCATTGTGCATAATTGTAGAATATTATATTATATTATAGCAGTGGCATGTGAAGAACAAGCATTACTAAACCCTTCCTTCCGCCTACAAACCAGCAGCTGAATGTGTGATTCATCTGTTGTCTACACCGATGACAAAAGTGGACCAGACTGAAACGTACCTTTCCATGACAATAGCAGCAGCAAATCCCTCTGAAATTCAGGATCTGTCCTGTCTCATGATTTTGTGGTGACTGTCTTTCCTGTAATCAAAATCTCTCTCCGTGCACTCTTGCTGCACTCCTTCCTGGCTGAAGAACCTAGCTTACCATTACCTGACAATGACATACTCCAGTGACAATGCAGAATCCTGTATTTTCCTACTTCAATATGTGTCTCAAACACCTCAAACTTACTGCAGCTCTTGCACAGAGAACCTACACCTACACCTTGATTAACAGAAAGGAAAGGATATTAGTATGATAAATATAATAATTAAAGTAAGCAGAGGGGAATTGAAAAGCTTAGGTATTATGTCACATTGTTAACTATAAATTTATTAATTGTCTGTAAAAACTTTCCTTGCAAAAAGAGTTATTAAAAGCTGCTCCACAATACAGCCTTACTCCTCAAGGTGATTAGTGACATTTTTTGTCTTTACATTTAAACACATTTAAAATGCTACTTTTGCTATGATCCAAATCCTCAAACCTATTTAGATACTTAAGAAAAAGGAATTTTAGTAGCATATATTTATGCTGTTTTTGTACATTTGATTAACAAATGTAGCTCTATGTTTTAATTTGGCAAGTGCAATGTCAGTGTTGTTGATGGATGGTATGGCTAACACAAGTTAAGCTCGGTTAAGCTGTAAACCTGAAACCTAGCTGGACCAGGCTTGCTCCGTTCCTAACTGCTGGTTTATGCACCTTCTGCCACCTAACACTGTGAGTTCATTTCTGTCCTCCCTGCAAACTCGGTAATAATACTAATAATAACTGTGCTGCAAATTGTGCTTTGCAGCGATCACTGAGCTTGTGCATGAATACCACAGTGAGACCTCGGAACACTGAGTTTCTGGACAGAGGAATTTGTTAGCTATATTGCTATATCAGGTAAAGGTTAGCAAGCAAGATCTCCCCAGGAGGTTAATGTTAGCGCTGCTGGCTTTGGTTAAATCATACACAATACTTTGGAACACACCTGCTAAAATGCTGAAGTGTAACAAAAATGTAATCTAACATGTCACTCCGTATTGCTTAATCTTCCTTTCCTATCTGTGTGTGTGTGTCTGTGTGTGTGTGTGTGTGTTTAGCAGCGTGCCTGTGTGTCACTGTGTGGTTGTCCAGGGCTTAGGTCCATCTCGAGTATCAGGTGTGTGCTCCAGCGTACATAGTTATAAATAGCCAGTTGTCCGGCCTGAGCTGTGCAGTCGCTCTGTTCCTTTTTGTCTGTCTTTCTCTTTCTTTTTTCCGTCTCTCAGCTTTCACTGTGGTTCAACTGGTTCCTGTCTGCTTTGTGATGTTGAGGACAAATGTGGCTGCTCTGTTTCCCCTCCACAATCAGTTTCTTCATCTTTTCCCACACTGTCTCATGTACTGTACAGTAACTCCATGCAGTCACGGCTGCAAGATTTGACTTAAAAGGTGTGACTGTGCGTTTATGTCCCTCTGCTGTTGCAAAGGTGACGAGTGGGTTGAGTGCAATGTGAAAACCTTGAAAGTCTGTGTGATGAAAACTGTCTGGGATGAGTTTGCATCTTTGGTAGAGATTGTGTGCGTGGCTAATTGACACATCTGTCTGGTACCACTTCTCTGTAAGTCTGATATTTAAATCTAATGTTTTTTTCCCCAGAGAAATTTGTATTGTATTCTCTTCCGCTCTGACTTCTGTAATGTCTGCAGCGCATTCATATCGACACAGTCTGTCAGCTGTGTTAGCCTTTTGCTTGGAACCAAAAAAATCAAGTTGCTATATGGTGATGGAAAGAGTGAATTGTTGGCGTGTGCATGTGTGCGTCTGCCAGTTAAAGGGGAAGAGTGTTTCCATTGATAACAGCATAGAAAGGTCCCTGTGTGTATTTTGTGCCTGAGCTCATTTGTATTCATTGATAAGAGAGTAGTGATAACAAAACAGGGGTCTGGATAAGAATACTATCAATAAAAAAACTTATGTCAAACCTGTGCTGTGTTTACATAGAGACTGTTCTTTTTTGTTTGTTTTTTTTTTACAGTATATAGGATCCGTGTCTGCACATAGAAAGAATATGAGAGTTATGCTTGTGGTTCATTGAAATGTGCTTTTTACAGTTACAAAATGCACACCGTGACCTTTGATGTAACCCTGCACTTTATCAGCATCTATGCAGAAATAAATGATAGATTTTTCCCTTTGTGCAACTGCATTTGACTTTCTGTGTTTTCCTTGGCAGGTGTTACCAATGGAGCCCCGACTGACAGATAGCCTCAGCGTTGTGTTCATCTTGAGCATCCTCCTCTCCACAGGTAAGATAACCACGCTGGGATCTTTATCTTAAATACCTCTTTTAGCCTCATGTTCATTCTTACAGCTGGGTTGCTGCTATATACTGTTCTCTAGCGTGCTTGCTTCCCTGTGTGGTGTATTTTGTCATTGTGTAGAGATCTTCATATAATGGAGACTTCAAACATACACAGCAGGTTTTTGGAGCATTACCTGTGTTTGGCGTGTTTGTGAATTAGCTTTAAACTACTGTAATTTCTCTTCGTGGTCATTGAGCAACTTCAGTGTCTCTTAAATAAAGGAAAAGGTTTTGCAGACACATGAGAAAAACTCCTCTTGCCACCGATGCAGTTTCACTTGTACAAAGAGCTGTCTGAGGCTCAGTCTATCGAAGCAAGGCAGTGTATTTATGTTCTGAACATCCTTCCATAAACCCAAGATCTTACTGACCATTATTTGAGCTCATCAGAATAATGGAAGACTCAGCTTCAAAAAACAAACCGATCTTTCTTTATTTTCAGAGGCTCATCCGTGTGTCGGTGGGTTTGTTTTCGTATTGCATTCACTACTTTTATATATTTAAGATAATTTTGTAACACTAAAAGCAAAAGCAAACATCAAGCCTTTTCTCCTTTGGTCAGTGTGTGCCTCCTTTTGTCTCCTTCAGGTTCAAGTGAAAGTGATCGGGACTTGAAATTTTGTGGCATCTGGCGCCACGGCAAGAACCTCCTGAGCCTGAGCGTCAACCTCTCCACAGGCTGTGAGGAGATCTTGATCTCGGCCAATACGAGCTCTCTGTCCATCGACGGGAAGATCACAGGCGAGTGTCAGCAGTCTGATGTGATTCCCCTACACCAGTTTGGACTTGATTCAGAGGAGGAGATTAAATTCTGTCTGCACTGGGAACCACTGCTGGACCATTTCAGGCTGCAGGTAAATCAGAGAGAAAAAGGAAGGAGGCAAGATGAGGACTTAGTGGATCCTTACCTCACACATCTAAAAGCTCATAAAAAAATGAAAGTACAGTAAAAGACAAGTGCATTGCTCTTCAGTAGCTTCAGCATCAGCTCTGAAAGTGAAATAAGAATGTGTTATACTAAAATGCATACACTTGAAATGTGTAAGACTTCTGAATTCTTTGTTGAGAGCTTTTTTTTTTGTTTTTGTTTTATTTTGTTGTACAGCTCGGAGAAACTACCCTCAATCTGTGCAAGCCTTCCAGCCTGCAGCCCCGCTGCTGCACTTATCTGTCCGACAGCTCCAGTGAACCCGAAGCTCCATTTGGCATCATCAACGGGACGGTCAGAACAGATTTCATCACCAACAAAACGCGCAGTGCCTACAAGTTCAAAGGGGAACGCAAGGACTGCAGTAAGGAAGACATGTATCAGTAATCTATGAGTTTTACTCGTGCTAAGTTGTTTTCTGTTATTTTCTGCTCCAATAAGTCAGTTTTGATTGTTATTAAAAGTCCCCTTTGTTCAGTGAAATGTACGTCAGGATAAGTGTCAGTTAAACATGTCAAAACTGCTTTTTTTTATCAATTTTTTTTGCAGAAGAGTTATGTGCAGAAGAGATCAACGGACACACCCAAGCCAGCATGTAATTTCCTCTTCGTTTTTTCTCAGTTTTACAGTAGAAGTAGCATGACAGGGGTTTTTTGTCAACATCTTTCCTCATTTGTCTTGATTGCTGAGGCTATTGTTGTGAAGCTTCATGTTTAGCAATCAAGAGCATAAACATTGACCACAAACAGGAAGCTAAACTTTTTAAGTATGTTAGGGTGGAGGTTGCTTTCTTTAAATGACGATGTCATAATGGTGTGTGTGTGTGTGTGTGTGTGTGTGTGTGTGTGTGTGTGTGTGTGAATGCTTGTGTGTACTGTGTCCAGGATCAAAGAACATCCCTATACTCACAGCATTGAGGTGGAGATGAAGGAGGATTTCAGAGGCTCCAATGTCACATCACCTGTAAGACACCAGACACAAAGAGGGTTAAAGTTGACTCATTATTATTACATTTGAAAGGGAACTTGAACTTAACACAATACTAATAATGAAACTTAAATTAAATTCTGAACAAATACCCAAAAAAAGACAGTGTGTTAGTCCGTCTCTCAGTACTTTAACTTTCCCAGACCGTGAGTTGTGCTGAGCGTCAGGTTCCTACTGAAGCAGAAATATTTTAAAAGTAAAATACAGTCAATCATTTTTTTAAGTATAGCTAATTGTTTAACAAAGGGCACATTCAGTTCCTACAACAGTTGGGGGCTGTAGTTTTTAGCAGACATTCCTCAAACAGGAGTAAATAGTGCATTTGTTGGGAATCATTTCAGCTGTGGATTTGCGCACTAGAGAGTAATTACAACAGCAGAACTGTGTACAGAGGATCAGTCCAAAATAAACCAGCGTCTGTGTTCATTGTAATGAGTTACGATGTCACCCAGTGACGCAGTGTGGCTCAAAAATCATGTGTTTTAATAATTTTTGGACAACAATTAATCTTCATGACACAGAGGAATAAGATATACATCAGGCTTTTATATGATAGCTGTTAATAGGATCAGTTCACTGTTGGTTCTGGGCGTAGAATCAAATCAAATCAAGCTTTATTTATATAGCAACTTTCATGCAAAGACTACAATTCTAGGTGCTCAACAGTAAAAACAAAGAAACAAAGCACTGAAATCACTGTAATAAAATAGAATAAGTAGATAATTCTGCATATCTGCAGAACACTGCCTCACCATGGTTTTATGGTTCTTACTCCAGTGACTTTTTAGTCACTCTAAAACTAAAAAGGGCAGTATCTGAGGACCTGGGTCGTCTAGCAGGAGTATACTTTAAAAACATATCTGACATGTATTCAGACGCTTCAGTTATTTAAAAACTAATAAAAAGATCTTAATATCTTTTCTAAAGCTGACGGGCAATGGGAATGGAATGCTAGTCTTACCGTTTCATGTGTTACCTGCACTACAGTCTGCACAGGCCGCAGCAGCAGTATTGTGACCACAGTGGTTCTGTCTTTTTTGCTGCATATTGAAAAATGAGGCACATTTCCTGTGAGGCACAAAGAGAAAATAAACTACATCTGTGTAACAAAATAACTGAACTCTGTAGATTTGCAACTGCATCACACTGTCCTCTACAAAAATTTTCAGTCATTGTGTTTTGCACATCACTCTTACCGTAACCATGAAGACACTTCACACATGCATCTGACACGGCAGTGCTCTCACACAGGGCTGCGTAGGCATTGATTCATCAAACTGATAATCTCTCAGCAGTGACTTGATAATTTTACTTCAGTGAGTTGACTGCGATTGTATCCAGACTGTTTTTAATCAGGGGCTTACTTTATAGCAGGATCTTAAACTGGCCAGTGAGTATTTATTTAAGTTGAGGGTGGTGGTGATTTAGTTCAGAAAATAGGTGAGAGCTCAGCCACATGAAAGTGTCTGACGGCAGTATTTTACTGACAAGTAGAGGATGCATGTTGAGGGCCGACATTTGTCCCATCAAACCTCCTTAAAATAGAGCCATTTGTATACATACCCAGCAATCTGCATGCAGTCTACTCATTACAGCTGTGTACACCATGGGGTTATGATGCACACTCTCAAGCAGAGTAGCAGGGTGGTACAAGGCCTGTCAAAGATTTGAAAACATGTAGACACTTTATTTTATTTTCGTCCTGTATTTAACTGAATAATTAAGAATTGACACTCTGTGATTTGTTGGTTTATCGCCAGTAGTTTCCCTGTTCAAAATTAAATGACCCAATGTCCAAAGTCCTCTCTTCATATATACTGTATTCTGTTTTTCAGGTCACTATAGGTACATCTGAAGAGCCCACCATCACTGTCTATATCCCCCCTGCTCTCAAAGAAGCTGCAAAATGGACGAACAAAGTCAACTGCACATTCTTCGAAAACATCTCCCTGTTTCAGGTGATGCTCCATTTCCCTTCAGTCAGCACTGGCAGCTGAAGAGAAGTCGCCACGACCTCACACACCTGTATGTTTGTCTGTCGGCCATTTTCAACCAAGCATGTAAATATGTAGGCTGTATTATATGAAGAGTGTGTGTGTGTGTGTGTGTGTGTGTTTCAGGGGGGTCAAAAGAAAAACATGATTCTCAGTAGTGTGGTGGAAATCACCATGAAGAACGAGGTCATCGTTGATCTGTCTGAGCCAATCAAGATCGGCTTTCACCATGATCCCATACCTGTAAGTTTGTGTCAGTGTCAGTGTCATCAATGCCCACTTTACATTGTCTACATCTATACATAAACACATCTTATTGTCAAATGTTGTTTTGTAGTATTGTAAGTATGTGATGCTACACATTGTGAATTGAATAGTTTTGGTGAAGTAATTAAGGGGAAATGTTTGTGTGTCCACGTCTCGCTCAGTTTCGAACAGAACAGCTGGATATTTTTATGCCTCTGTGCTGGCGACAGCCAAGGCCAGCGTCATAAAAATATCTGTCCCATTCTCATGATGCGATATCTCAGTAACACCTTCAGGGAATTTCTTCAAATTTGGCACAAACATTCACTTGGACTCAAGGATGAACTGATTAGATTTTGGCAGGCAAAGGTTAAAGGTAAAAAACACGTAAATTATAATAACTCACAAATTCTTACACTTATTATGACACAATTTAACACAAATATCTGATAGGATAAAATGATGAAATGATGGCATTTTATATCCAAATGATCAAATGTCAACTGCAAAAGCATTTCTGGTCATTATTCAGCACTATAACTCAGGAAGGAGACATTGTGACCATATTTCCTGCGACTTGGTTGGTTAGCAGAGAAATGCAACCACAAGTTGGTAATTCTGACGGCAGAAATGTTGCTGAACCCAGGCTGTTCCCCTCAAACTGAAAACACAATGTGGGGCAAGTGGTTTTGTTCCGTGACGTCGCCTTCGAACAGTCTGTTACCTGAATAGAGAGAACACACAGAAACTACTAGGGTAGTCTGTTGCAGACATACATACACACACACACAGACACAGACATAAACCCACAGTTTTGTGTCATATCTGACTTGTATTTCTTATTACACTGTGACTTGAACCAGTTTTTTTCACCTCGGACATAATGACTGAACTACGCCAGCTGTTTCAGAAGAATGTAGTGGGGACTTTGTTAATGTGAATAAAAATGTGCAGCATCTTAATGGGAAATGATGACAACTCTCGTCTCTTTCTCCTCTTTATTTCAGAAAAAGCATTCACGGAGGTGCGTTTCATGGGACACCAGGAAAGGTTAGAAACAGGCCTGGAAATGACAACATCTATCTGCGTTTCACTTTTCATCAACTGTAACTCCCCCAGATGATGATTGAACATATTTAAATTTGTGTTGTCTACTTGTAGATCCGTATCAGGTCAACTGGTTGGTGGATGGATGTGTGACACAACAGAAAGGAGAGGAACACACCGAGTGCTTCTGTAACCACCTGACTTACTTCACTGTACTGGTGGTGAGATGTGCTGAAACGTTTTTTTTTTTTTTGCAAGAAACACACAAACAAAACAGAAAGAAAGTCATTAGATGCAGAATCAACATCTGTACATGATTTTCCACACATTCTGTATAAACACCATTACACCAGTCAATTTATAGAAAGAAACGCACACAAAATGTACACACTCTCACATGAAAGACCTTGCGGCTCCTGCTCATCGCTCTGTCTGTCCCACATGATAGCAAATGGAGCCTCGACCAGTGCGCCACCTCCTGGCGCTGACCGTCATTACATCTGTGGGCTGCATTGTGTCTGCGATCAGCTGCGTTGCTCTCATCATTTTTCTCTACAGGAAGAGGTAATACGCCATGTTGAAAAATAATGTGTAGTTCAAAGTATCAAAAATAAGATTATTTTTAATAATGAAATAATTGCTCATTTCCATCGCATTCTCCCTCCAACAGACGATCTCAGGAGCAGTCCATACCCATCCACCTGGGCTTAGCTGTGTCTCTCCTTCTCCTCAGTCTGCTTTTCTTCTTCACTGGGATCCTGGCCAACATGGGAGTGGAAGGTTTGTGCACCTGGGTGGGGGCAGGCCTCCACTACGCCCTGCTCAGCTCCTTCAGTTGGATGGGCATAGAAGTGTTCCACACCTTCTGGTTGGTGTACATGGTTTTCAGCCCCCTACCCAAAGGCATATGGAAACTATGGAGCCTGGTTGGCTTTGGTGAGTGCATGACGTAATATTTGTTATAAATCTACTTAATGGCACTTGAAGGTGAACGTGACATTATTATTATGTATGACCTTTGAAAATTCGTCTCCAGGTCTCCCTGCTGTTCCCGTTATCATCCTGGCTGCAGTAGGTAACATTTACGGACTGAGAGAGGTGGTGCCAAGCGATGACGTCTCCAACCCTTATCTAATGTAAGCAAGATTATTTGGATAAAGATACTTGACACATGCAGTAATGCCTCTGGATAGTTAATAAATAAAAGCAAGTAAATCGCAAATGTTTTGACAGCAGCAAAACTTAAGCAGGCGTTGATGAAATGTCTTTTTATAGGAAAAAAAAAACATAATTTTGACATTTTATTCGTTCTTTCGGGGATTATTTGCTTTTCCTCGTCAGGTGCTGGATGACAGTCACCTACAAGGCCTTGCTCGCTCACTATTTCACCACCATGACGATCCTGGTCATCCTGGTGTCCTCTGGCATTGTGATGCTCTTCCTGGTCTATAGGAAGATCCACACCAGGGATGAATGGAGGCAGAGCCGTGTGGCTTTTCTCAGTATCTGGGGCCTCAGCTGCCTCTTTGGAACAACGTGGGGTCTGACCTTCCTGGACTTTGGACCCCTCTCTGACTTCGTTCTCTTCCTCTCCTGCATCCTCAACTCTTTTCAAGGTCTGTGCTTGTGATATATGTCTCCAGTGTAAATAGACTTGCACTCAGGCTTTATATTATGTTGTTACACTCAGCTTTGCAGGCACCAGGAGCTTTCTCATTTCACCTAGGCAAATATACTGATCCAAAAGAAAATATGAGTTGAGATGAACCGCGAGAAGCCACATATTTGTGTTATTTTTTCAGCGTGATTGCCGCCTTCACAGAAGGTTTAACTATATATAGTCACTCCTTGGATGAGGGTATTTTCATTGTTGGCTCAGAGATTGTGTATTTGGAGCCATTTGTCCATTGTATCAGTGTGGGAATGAGACAATGGCCATGGTTAATCATGGCCCTGTGTTACTGGGGACTATCAGGAGAAAAGCTGTTTCCTCTCACATGCAGCACATTTGTTTTTGATCCAGGTCCAAGAACTCAGTTTATTAACCCTACTCATGCTGCACATTGTGGGTTGAGAAAGAGCATTTTATGTGCTAACTTGCTAACTTAGCTTTCATTTGAATGAATGTAATCTGACTGTCACAGAGTTTTTTTAATTACAGTGAAAATAAATGACCATCTGTCTGAAAGCAAAATAAGATGATAGTTATTAAAAACTGCATCACTGAAGACAAGCCAAGTTTATAAGTTAGAATACACTAAATGCCAATAATGTTTTATCTTTATGTTGTTTTATCATCAAAACTATCAAAACTAAAACCAAGCATAAGTAAATAAGTTGCAACCAAACTGTTACTAACCTGACTCAGTCACAGGTGGAATCTGGGATCAGTGCCAGAAAGAAAATCCTTTATCACCTAAACTGAAGTCAAGTATTTTAGTATAAAATGAACAACTTCTTTTGAAGCCACTTTATTTAGATTTCACATGGATGAATAAATCTTGCTTCTGGTCTGTTCCCTCAGGCTTCCTTCTAATGCTGCGGTTCTACATGCTGGAGTGGATACGGAAACAGGCGGGTGGCTCTGCTCTTGGCAGCAACAGCACCGGGTCTACCAGGCAACAAATGCTACAGGCTCAGGAGAAGAGTTAAAGGGAATAAAAAAAAAGGTTTAGTATATAAAAAAAGAGGGAAAAGCGGCAGCTGTCAAGTCTTCTCCTCAACCCAAATGATATAAAGAGAACTCAGACTGAGACATTGTAGAAACCTGAGCACAACTGAAGAGTGAATTTCAAAGTGACCCCACAAGCAGTGAGGAAACATCCTACACCTATCATTCATCTGGTGTCCCTTGACATTAAACATCACAGGCACACTGAGAGCAATTCACAGACATCACCTTATATAATTTCCCAAAGCTTACCTTCAGTCACTTGGAGGTAAGGATGGTCAGTCAGACGTAGGTACTGGACTCTAGCACCAGCAGCATTAATGCCAGTTCACAAGTTAAATGGGCTTAAATCAGTCACTCTCAGATTGTGTTCATTAGTCATCTAATAAGGTGAAGCAAAATAGCAAAATTTGTTCATATGCATTTTGGAAAATAATCATTTTTGTTTAAAGCTACTATACACAACGTCTAGAAATCAAGCTAGCTCTAGCATGAAACTCTGCCAACGCAGGAATCGGGAGCTTGTTGGCCTGTGATTCAGCTGTAGCAACGTCCTCCGGCAGCTATTACTATGGCTGGAAGCCTCAGTGTGAGAGGAGTAGTAGACCCGGAGGGTGGCCACAAATTGATTGACAGCCGTGAGCTCCCACCGCTAATTTTAGCTTTCTCTGACTGTTCAGAAACTTGCTCAAAGACTCTAGACAGGGAATATCTCAGCACTTCTCCACCTTAACATATGTTCTGGAGCATATTTCAACTAAAAATATTAGGAAAAAAAGTTGGACATTAGCTTTAATTTTAGCTACATATGGCTCTCACAGTAACACAGCAAATGGATGGAGATTAGCTAAATATAATTATAACCTTGCTGGAAGTATTTTAATCCACATGACAGTCTCAAAACAGGTTGTTTCATTACTTGATTCTTCTTCTCTGGGGCAGTGGAGAAGAAATCACTCAGGAATTATTAATACAGACCTGGAGTCTGTATTTGTAAAATACCTAGACTGGCTCTAGTAAAAAAAAAAAGGAGAATTTATTTGAGATTTGGGAATTGAAATGATTGCAGGTTACTGTGCTGTGATTATATTGTCTGTAAAGAAAAACTGTATATTATTACTTATTATTATTGAAGCTCTTGTTGACCCTTAGATAAGCTTTTTATTTTATTTTATTTTTTTTTGTTTTGTTTACGCTTTTGTTTCATAGCAACGTCTTTTAAAGTAGCACTTTAGATTTTCAGTCTTTAATAAATGTACTTAGAGAACCTCAGTGAATTGTCTTTTCTATTGATCTGATAATAGAAGACATTTCATATACACTATGTATGTGTATCTACTGTAGATTGACTCCATATTTTCTCTGGACTGTATTGAGATCTTCTGGCAGAGTTTTCAAAATGGACCAAATGCATTTAAATTGAGTCTTACTTCAAATTATTTTTGGCTGGCACAATGTTTTGTTTTGTTATTTCAATTTAAAATAGGCCGCGATGGACTTTTTAGATACTGTGACGTTTGCACTGTTTTATTTTGTAAAGAGAAATTTTATTTCACGTGAATTATTGTGTATATTTGAGTTTTTCTTTATACAGAGTATTAATAAAAAATCTTTTGGTTACAAAGACCTAGTGGCTGCGTGTTTGTCTAAATGTGTGTGTGTGTGCGTGTGTTTGTGTGTGTGTGTGTGTGTTTGTGTGTGTGTGTATGTGTGTATGTGTGTGTGCGCGCGCAGCAGTGCACAGTAAGCACATTCAAGGCTTGCTGTTTTCCTGCTCTGTCATGCCTCCTTATCTTTTGCCTGTGTGTTTCCTCCCTGGAGGTTTTAGATGTGTTTTTCTCATCACAAACATGCTGCTTGTTTGCCACTGAAATGCTCAATGTCTCTGCTCTGTGTGCCTACATGTGCCCCAAGATCATAATAATCAGTGCTGCCTTGGAGCAAGTTGACTTTGACGGTCCTTCAGAAAAATTTCCTGCTTACTTTATTTTTATCTATGGTGCCGCCTGATGCAGACATGTCAGGTCATTCTGAGATAAAGATGGTCTCAGACTGCTTAACGCACAGGAAATACCATGGCGTCTCCTCCACCAGCATGACCAGAGAAGTAACTGTATATTCATATAAGTGTGACATGGTACTGTGCTTTCACTGGTGCTCACTGACGTGGTGTTTCTGTGTCTGCAGGTGACAGTAACTGGGCAGTTTCTGTGTTACAAAGAAATAAGTTGGTGTTTTTTGTTTTTATTGTGATATGTATGATTTAATTCCCTCCTTCTCACAATGGCAAAATCTAAATTTAAAAAAATGCAACACAATAAACTGACTTTTTACATTGAAACACATGTTTAATACAGCTTTGTTTTCCTCTTGAACCCTGCTTCATCTTCCACCAGCTTTTCACTAAGGTACATTTTGACCTGATGTGGGAAACTGGGACTACTTTCCAGCACATCCCTGTTCTTTACCTTGTTATGCATGAAATCACTATGAATGGATTCTGTACTTCATGAACCCATGTCAGCACATCGCTGTGTTGTGTGCTACCCTCAGCAAAACCCCAGTTTGCCGCTTCACTGTGTGTTTGTGTGTAGATCTGTTTCACCATCCCTGACACTTCAGTAACATAACAATGGCACATGGCACATACTGTTCAAGGGCCCGTCCTCTGCTCCTAGCAGGGCCACTCTAATTACATGTCTGCTCTTCACACACCAACACTGTGTCAGCCTTTATGGCAAAATCTCATGAGACTGTTTATGTTGATATAATAGAGAAATATTGACATGGGAAATACCATGCCCCATACCAGCAATTTGATTGTAACAATACTGATAATTCAGTGTTCCCATTAGCAAATGTATTATATGTACATATATTGAATTTCCATATATGAAATATATGTGCATATAAAATAAAAACATATGTAAAAGTAATTATAAACCTATTAGATATTAGACCAATTTCATATATTGGCATACAGTATATGTCTAGACCATACTAATATATATGTTTATGTATGTATGCTTATATGTATACAGTGGGGTCCAAAAGAGCACTTTTTATTGGTTGCAACATGTTATAGCGTACCATATAAAATTCATAATAGATATTTTATATGTATATAAATTTTACTATGGGTATTTCGCATAGGTATTTCACACTTAGGCTATATCTTCGTATATCCAGAGGATGTATGTGATACTAATATATCCCCTTATAGGTGACATACATGGTGTCACCCTTGATTTAGGACCATATATGTCATATTTTTCTGTATTTCAATTAGTATTTTTTTTATTCATTACCGTTCAAGATACTTGTATTTCTTTGCAATTATTAATCCATTTTAAGCATTTTTGATAAGTTGTGATGGAAACCTGTTATACAAACAAATAATGACTTCACGGATTCCTGCATTGCTATATATTAATTTGGTCATTGCTGGATGACAAACAAAATGTTTTTGTCAGTAAGTGAAGGTGCTGTGTCCTGACAATAACCATAATGTAATGTATGCATACTGTAGTCTAACAGGTCACATGACGCCTCCTCTGAGCAGCAGCAGCGGCAGCAGCAGCAGCAGCAGCAGTTGTTTACCGGTGCTGATGCGTTTGTTAGCGGACACTGTTCGCTGCCTGTCAAACCGCCCAGGGAGGAGGCAAACCAGCACAGGTAAGACTGGGACATGTCCCGAGCCTGTTTCTGCTGAGCGGGGATTGTTTCTGTTACAGCGGGACAGTGTCGCCGTGTCCGGTGAAGACAGGATAACCTGGCTTTAGAGACATCGGGACAAAAGGGAAGTCGCGTCTGTTTGCACCGGCGACAAGCGAACCGCAGAAAGGCGAGACAGAACCGGAGATGAGGAGGGAGACATTCAAAGTGAAAGACTAAATCAGGAATTATTTCTCCACATTGTGTATTTTGTGACAGTGGAGGTGATTTTTATTGATACGAGGTGGACGCAGACATTTTTTTTTTATCGTTTGGGTTCAAAGCCGTGATGTAGTGGATCAAAACAAAGACCAGACTAACCTCTGCAGTTGAAACCATAGGTCGAAACACACTAAGGTATGCAGAAAAAACAGGCGTATTGTTATTATAGCTTTTTAATAACAGCATATTCATTGTAAATTTTTTTAATTCATGAAGGACAGCTATCGGTAGAACGGGGCTCTCCCTTTGAATTACCCCTATTTAACCTCGATTCGTACATAATACTATATACATAAACTTTCATTTTCAGTAAAATACTTAGAGAAAGAGAAATAACTTATTTCCACTGAAGTTGCGACAGACAGAATTGTGGCTTTATTGTGAAAGGTAGAAGCGGAAGTGTAGGGTAGTAATGTAGTGTTACTTGGCACTGGTTATTTTAGTGAGACAACGCTGGCCCGGAATGTATTGTAAGGTTAAAGATGTCTTTTTATATGATGATGTTTATTATTATATAGCCTAGCTGTCATGTGTCTCCAGGGAAGTAACAATATATCAGGAAATAGACAGGTCCCTGCTGACCTAGCCTTAAAACTGAAGCTAATCCAAAAGTAGCTTGGGTCATTATTGGTTGAAAGATTTATCCACCTTTAGCATGATCTTGTGTAAGATGGGCACACAATAGGCCTATTGAAATAATATTATAATAATAATATTTTTTTTAACAAATTAATTATATTAATTTGAATAGCTTAATAATTTAAAATAATATTTCAATAGGCATGACAAAGGCCTAAACAAATGTTATTTTCACCCACTTTTCCACATATAATACAGGTTGGACTAAGTCTAAAAGTTGCTCACTTTGTGATTACAGTAATGTGCTGTAAATAGTTTGGCTTTGTTTAGGTTGACACAGTTTGTCTGCACATTTATACTTTAATCTTGAAATGTAAACTTGTTTGGAGAATATCTCTGTTACACTTTATCCAACTTTGAGAAAAGGATCTCTGACAGTTGTGATATTAATAAATGACATTTTGTTCTTGAAAGTAGACCACTGATAATAGATTTTGGTAACAGAATGAACACAGCATAGGCAGGAAGTGTCAACTGTCACAGGTTTGAAAGAGTGAAGAAGTAGATGAATAGTTTTCATTATGAGCAGCTCTAGCTCTGTTTACCTTCCTGTAGCTGCTCCCACCTTGTTGACCTTGTTTCTCAGATACCTACATACTGTACCTAGCTGCTGATTATTTTGTCATCGATTAACTGTTTTATCTACAAGTTGTGCCTGTCACAATTTTCTAAAGCTGATATGCAATTAAGTGGCTTTGTCTGACCAACTGAGAGAAAAGCAAGAGAAAAGCAGCAAATTGATGACGTTGCTGTCAATTGATTTTCTGTCCATCAGAAAATCAAGAAGACCAATTGACCAATTGTTTCAGCTCTGGAAGTCTGGAAGTTGATAAATTATTAACTTTGCGCTGATCTCATACAGAAGTCTTCAAGCTGCTCGTAGAGCTGGTGTGACTTGTTGAATCATGTGGAGAGAAGACGTTGCACCTTTTTCTGTCTTTGGTTGGACTTCTAACAATGTTGATCTTTTCATCTGATGCACTCTGCAGTACACTCAGCTTCCTGTTTGTCTCTTTAGGTTGTTGAGGGGTACTTTTAGCCTGTATTAGAAAAAGAAGGAGGTGGTGCCATGTGTCAAAGGTCCTGGGCTAAATTCCAACCCAGGACATCACAATCACATGAAAAGCATCTTACACCCCCCTGGATGTCCCACCATGTGCTCCAGCACTGGAAGTATTACAAGGTTCACTGTACATCACACCTATGTTACGTCTTCAGAATTTTTAACCGAGATACATATTGTTTGACACATTTCACAGGTGACAGACACACACAAGTTCACATACACTTATGAAGACTCACACCACCAACACCTTTACCTCCGAGCTAATGTGGCTTGACTTCAGCCTTCAGACAATTAGCGTTACTTCTGTTTCGATGTGTCTGTTGTTGAGCGATGAGATTTAAGTGAACAGTAGCAGTGTGATTGTTTGACTTATTGATTGGTCTGTCATCAGCAGGTAAACAGGTGGTGTGGTGGTGAGGAGCAGATGCCTAATGGTTGAACAGAAGCATGTGCCTCACATGCACAAGGACACACACACATCAGCCCATTGTGATAATAACTGACCCTCCAGTTTGGTTTATACTAATATTACTATAAATTAGACCTTCCACACCTACATTACATGCAGCACGGCCCATGCTAGTCCTTCTCTCATCTATATGCCCCCTCCTCTCTCTCGGCCCTGCCTGGAGACAGTTCACATCATTCTCTGAAATGCCACCATCTTCAAACCAATTTAACTTTATGTATCCTTTATAACATAAGTTATAAGGGGATTACTGGGCAAACAGATACTGCAACCCCTCACAACAGCCCCAGGATACTAAATGTCTCTGTGGCATTCTGTCTTAATGTTTTGTTTCCGTGTGTGTGAGCTTAAAATATGGTTGTCACTAATGATTTTGCTCTGATTATTGAAATGAGGAGACATTTTGCTCATGTCCTTTCAACAAACCGTGAGGGCCTGATTGTGACCCTCAGGGCTTTCTTGCTGTAGTAAAGGACAGATGAACAGTTCACACAGGGTAAGAGGGGAGGGGGGAGGCGAGTTGATTTGGTTTAGCTGTGGCAGATATTAAAGGTCCCATATTTTACACTTTTCCTGTTTTATTTGAAGTGTTGATCCATAAGAAGATATATTTGTAGTTTTAAGAACCAAAAAGCAGCTCAGTGTAGTTTTATATCTCCTTTCTCAGGCTTCTCTCTGGAGCTCTAGTAACAACAGGTCGGTGAGTCAATCAGAAGAGAGGAGGCCTCTCTTCTGATTGGCAAATATAGGGCCTCCTCTCTTCTGATTGGCTGAATGTTTTCTGTGTGATCAAATAAAAATACAGCAGATTTCAGGTAAACACTCAGAGAAACCAAATCCTGCAAGGTCGCATACTGGGTCCAGGTGGGCTGGGCTTGGGGCATGACTGAGGGCAGTGACTGCTTCGATGTGACATCACAAAGTTACAGATTACCTGATGGTTTGTTTTAAGGCTCAGTTTCTGAATACAGGCTGTGTGCATTTCTCTGTGGACTGAGCGATACTTTCACATCTACCTTTATACAGTATGGGACCTTTAAGAGATGGAAGTGGATTTTTAGTTTGTAATTCATTTTTTTAATATTTCATTTCTTCTGTGTGTTTCTGAGAAGAATGTAGATTCAGACAATAGTATAGCAGCACAAAGAGAAGCTCTGCTGAATCACCTACGAGCGTCATGTTTCTCCTCCTCGCCGCCTCCGCAGTTAATGTTTCCACTGTCAGTGCCCTCTCTGTTATCTGCTCATCCAAAACCTCTTTCCCGTTCCCTTGATACTCTGAGCTTGAGCCATGACCTTTCTTTTACAGGTGTTTGATACATTAGAGATTAAGTACCAGCCACAGGACACTGCTCTGACTCATCATTTAGCATTAAGCTCCTGTTTACTTTATTGGTAATGACTTGGTACATTTGTATGTTTTGTACAGGGTGCTCCAGAGGTCGCCAGATAGGGAACCAGGACCTACAGTGTCCACAGTCTGTCCTTTGCTCTCGCTGGCTCAGCGCCGAGACAACAGCGCCATGACTGACCGGGAAGAATCCAAGAAGATGAATGGCAGTGCTGGTCACTCCTCGCATCTTTTGGAGGCGCCCAAAGAGAGCATGCAGCTGAAGAAGGAGATCTCGCTGCTCAACGGGGTCAGTCTGATCGTAGGAAACATGATCGGCTCTGGCATCTTCGTCTCCCCCAAGGGTGTGCTGTTCTACAGTGCTTCTTACGGGCTGTCGCTAGTCATTTGGGTTATTGGGGGCCTGTTCTCTGTGGTGGGGGCCCTGTGCTACGCTGAGCTGGGCACCACCATCACCAAATCAGGGGCATCTTATGCATACATCCTGGAGTCGTTTGGCGGCTTCATTGCATTTATTCGTCTGTGGACGTCTCTGTTGATTATCGAGCCCACCAGCCAGGCGGTTATCGCCATTACATTCGCAAACTACCTGGTGCAGCCGCTCTTCCCAACATGCGAACCGCCGTACACAGCAGCCAGGCTCATCGCTGCAGCGTGTATATGTAAGTACATGTGATCTCTTCTGCATCCCACTGCTGTTTGATCGTGTCTGTTCTACCTGTTCCTGCAGGACTGGACTCAACACTGAGCACACCTGTGAACACCTTCCTGTCTCTCCCCAGGCTTACTGACATTCATCAACTCCGCCTATGTGAAGTGGGGCACTCGTGTGCAGGACACTTTCACCTATGCTAAGGTGGCGGCCCTCATTGTAATCATCGCCACTGGCATCGTCAAGCTGTGCCAGGGTGAGTTGTTAACATTGCAAGGGCGACAAAACACAAAACACAACTGGGAATGGTCTGTGATGTTATGTGAATAAAGCTGAGTTTTTTCTCCTCCTGATATCATTCTAATTAAACATGGCGACGGATTTCCAGCATCTGCTAAGTGTTGGGAAGGTGATTTCGATACATTGTTCAGCGTCGTGTCTGATCCACAGCTCCACACCAACATTTTGTCTCATTACTTCTATGTGTAGTATGACTCATACAACAAAGGAATGACACTTTACTACTTTATAGTAAAATATATTTACTGACATGAACCTTACTCTGTCTTAACAGTCAGAGGAAAACCCTTGGTGAGCTTAATTTATAAAATACTTGCATAACTTTATTGATACTGGCATTGCTGAAACAGCAAGGAAGTTTGAATCTCAGCAGCCATTGACAGTGGAACTACAAGGACACAAACAGTTTTATGATCATTTTCCTTAGATGGATGCAACAACATTTCACTGACTGACCCTTTAATTGTTGTGTCTGTTTTCTTAGGTTACACAACCAACTTTGAATCGTCCTTTCAGGGATCGTCTACAGATCCTGGTGACATCGCACTGGCACTCTACTCCGCCCTCTTCTCTTACTCCGGCTGGGACACTCTCAACTTTGTTACTGAGGAGATCAAAAACCCTGAAAGGTAATTTTTCCCTTTGAATGTACGAGTAGTGGCAATTCAGAATTTTTTAATCAGCCTGGTAATGCTCTGATATCCTGTCGTTTCCAGGAACCTTCCCCTGGCCATTGCCATCTCTATGCCCATTGTTACCATCATCTACATCCTCACCAATGTGGCCTACTATGCCGTTCTGGATGTTAGCGCTATACTGGCCAGTGATGCAGTGGCAGTGGTGAGTAAACAAAATGTAAAGCGCTTTGACAAAAGCAGGTGATCAGATGGAGAAGAAGATGGATGTGTGTGTGTGAGATGAACCTGCAGCTAAACCAGTTTATGTGCTCGGTTCAGACATTTGCAGATCATACTCTTGGTGTGATGAGCTGGACCATCCCCATCGCTGTAGCTCTTTCCTGCTACGGAGGCCTCAACGCTTCCATCATCGCTGCATCCAGGTAGAAAACACACACACACACACACACACACACACACACACACACACACACATACACACACACACACACTACTACTTACTTACTATGGCTTACAGATTCATTTTTATATGACTAGTATAACACTATATCACTTTGCTTTTATCAGTCTTAATTCATGTGTATTGCATCCAGGTTGTTCTTCGTGGGCTCCCGTGAGGGTCACCTTCCAGACGCTCTGTCCATGATCCACATACAGAGATTCACTCCGGTCCCTGCTCTCATCTTCAATGTATGAATATGGATCAGTCATATGTATATGGTCGAGGAAGTACAGGAAATGTCCACTTAATGGCAGTATACTGTAAGGTGGAGCCTCCTCACTATACTTGTCTCCTTCACTGTATCAGCTGATTTGAAACTATTCTACAAACTAGTTATTAAAATACTAATGTTAATGGAAACTGGCTGCACTTCCTTAACTGTTCCCACCCTCCCTTTCCTCCTCTGTCCACTGTCCAGTGTGTCATGTCACTGATCTACCTGACAGTGGAGGACGTCTTTCAGCTCATCAACTACTACAGCTTTAGCTACTGGTTCTTCATGGGTCTGTCCATTGCCGGCCAGATCTACCTCCGCTGGAAGGAGCCTGACAGACCCAGACCTCTGAAGGTCAGACCAGTTAAACACACCTGTGTTATCCTGAGCACCCATCCATTCAATTATCCCATCCACTTATCTGGGTCTGGGACATATAATAGTAGAAAATTCCTTACAGGAGAGGGAGTTCAAATAAGGGAAGAAATATTAAAAATAATTGTATCATAGTCATCACATTAAAGCAAAGATTTTTAAAGGTTCCATATTTTACACTTTTCCTGTTTTATTTTAAGTTTTGATCCATAAGAAGACATATTTGGTTTTAAGAACCAAAAACTATCTTAATGTAGTTTTACATCTCCTCTCTCAGGCTTCCCTCTGGAGCTCTAGTAACAACAGGTCAGTGAGCCAATCAGAAGAGAGGAGACTCTGAGCCTCCCTTCTGACAAATAAAAATAAAGCAGATTTCAGGCAAACACTCAGAGAAACCAAATCCTGCAAGGTCGCATGGTGGGTCCAGGTGGGTGGCGCTTGGGGCATGACTTTGTTGTGACATCACAAAGTTACAGAAGTCCTGACGGCTGGTTTTAAGGCTCAGTTTCTGAATACTGGCTGTGTGCATTTCTCTGTGGACTGAGCGCTTCACAGTATTAATATAGAACCTAGACCTGCTTTATAATCAAACAACACATGGACATCTCACGTTCTACAATATGGGACCTTTAAAATAAGTCGTTTTTTTGTTGCGGTTCTAGCTCACGCTCTTGATTTCTCTCTCTACAGTTGACTTTACTGTACCCGGTGGTGTTCTGTCTGTGTGCTGTTTTCCTGGTGGCAGTGCCTCTCTACAGCGACACGGTCAACTCTCTGATCGGCATTGCCATTGCCTTGTCAGGCGTTCCTGTCTACTTCCTGGGTGTCTATTTACCAGAGTCCAAACGACCACCTGTCATCACCAAGCTACTGCGTGAGTGTACTACACAGCCCTAAGGCAACAGGCAGCACTTGTCATTTCAACTCTTTGCTCTCTCTTAACAACATGTTGTTGTCTCTTACTCCAGGATCTCTGACTCACTTTACCCAGTACTCCTGCTACTGCGTACTGACAGAGATGGACAAAAGTGAATAGCATCCAGTGCACTTCAAAAACTTTACCCAGCAGTCTCTGCATCCTCAAAGCTGACAGTCACCAAGGGACCAGACAGGGGAATCTGGATTTATGACTCTTTTTTTTTTTTTGTACTGCACAAACGCTGAAGCTCTCGGACTTCACTGACTTGTTTACAACACTGGAAATCCTGCCACAGATGTACAAGTTCACTTGCAGATTCATCCTGGAATTCAAGGACATTGGAGGATTTCAAACTTTAGTAGAGTCAGTACAGATACTGTATATTACATATTGTGGATATTATTACAGTTTCACTCCTTCATCCCAATGTTTAATGACCTTCAGTAAAAACGATTTGCCTTTTCAGTTTATAGGTAATTGTATAAATGCCTTTTGAGTAGCATGTGTCTGTGAGATTTTACAGGTGCTGTGTAGATGACCACAGGGACCTGATAATGATGCAAGTGCATTTTATGATATGGACTTAAGTTATTGTAACTGAAACATATTATGAACAGTGTGTGTGTGAATGTGTTGATTTTACTGAGAATTAAAGTATCATAAATTCTCTGTCATTCATTTGCTGAATGATAAAAGGGAGGAAAATATTTTTTGTCTGCTGCTATGTGAAGATGTTGAATCATCATCCTTATGCCACTGCCTTTATGTCATTTTGGTGCCACTATATAGTATTTCTTTGTGTGTGTTCTTTGCATTTTAACTTTTGTTGCTGTATGCTGAAATAGAACATTGGCTTGTTTAAAGCATCTCAGCTGAGGTGGGTTCAGTGTCTGCAGAGTCCACTCTGTCTGGCATTGTAGGAAGCTGGAGACTTCCTGTTCCTTGTATTTGCTTTAAACTGTTTAACCCTAAATCAGTACACAGTGTGCTGTGTTCAAGACCTCAACACATTGAGAACTGGGTCAAAATAGCATTTTAGTTATCCATTGTAGTTCTATTGTTATCCATCTTTAAGTCCAGTTGTGTAACATTACTCCGACCTTTGTTCTAAATGGTCTCAAGTAAACTCTGCTTCATACATACTGTATCTCAGAATCTATTCTGTCAATTCATCCTAAATTGCACCTCTGGTTTCGATCTTGTGCCGTTAATGAGATTGTGCGTTGGTACTGGTGTTCTCCTGGTCCAGTGTCTGACTCTACGTAACACACACAAGTACCATGTGGCCACAAGATGCATAATACGTATGTGTATAATCATTAGGAAACTGTTGAGTACTAAGGGAAGTGAAGTTTTAATGTGCAGTTACATCCCAAATTATTGCAATACAGGAAGTTTTGGACATGGAAAATCCATTTAATGTCAATGGAACCTTATTTCATCATCTGCATTTCAACCCCTCCTAGACAGCAGAGTTAACCCAAAATCCTGGACATAAGAGGAACATTTTCAACATGAGAAAGATTGATTGTCAGGGGTTTTTCCTAAGCCTAAAAAAGGAAAATACTTTATGCATCAGTTTGAAAACTTCATAGCAGTTGGGACGGATTTTTATACACCTGCCATCACTGGCCTACCTCATAAAAATAACACTGCATCACCTCAGGAATGTAACTGAGCAAAACAGCTCATGAGGTCACCAGCTCCAGCAATAATGAGAATGCTGAATCTCAGTTTTCCCTTATTTTGTCACATTTCCTTCCCCCACTTCCAACAGAACATTTGAGTTTGTGGGTTACTGGGCTGCATACTGTCTCTGGATCTTGAATGATGAGATTATATGTTCTATCTCCAAACTGATCTAATTTTAGGGTCAATCAATAAATTCTTCAAAATGAACCAGTTTGTGTTCATGGTGGAGGTAAAATAAAAAAAATAAATAAATAAATTGACAACGGATATGTTTTATGTTTATTTTGAAAGCTTTCTTTTTATACACATCTACATATTTACAAAAGTTGAATTCAACAAGCATCCAAGAAATTCGAGGGGTATTTCTGACCCACACACACACACACACACACACAAACACAAAAAGTTGCAACACGCTTTCGAATTATGCAGAAATCTAACACACAATTATACATACACATACACACACCCAAACACTACCATGCACAAAATGCAAACACCCTAAATTGCAACCACACACGGCCCGAGACATCTCACTAACAGAACTGTTAACAGCACAAAGCATACGAGGCATATCACACTAATGTGCAATATTTCTAACACACATCCACTTTGAACAAACACCCACACACAAAGTCACTCCACCACAATTTAAAAAAAAAAAAAAAAAAAAAGACACTGGATCCCTCTAGAAATAACACCTACTCCTTAAGAATCTGTAGTAAAGAGAGAGATGATTTCACACTAAAATGCTGTGTGATATGTGGTATGTAAGCAACGTGCATTTTAGTCGTCTACACGTTTTGTGACTCAGTGACTTTGTTATACTTTGGCACATGAAATTTTACTTTTTGAAAATGTAAGGTATTTTTACTGATGTTAATACTTGAAATTAGGAACTTAATAAAAATCTGATGAGTGCTACACATTAATTGCTACATTTTAAGATTGCATTTCTTAAAGAAAATTTTGTCAGGCATGTTGCCATATTGTGTGCCATTCTAGCAGTTGCTTTCCTCCTCTCTCAAATACACAGAGGTCTATGGAGTACGGTGTTATCTGTGGAGAGGGCATTGGGAAGATCCACTGACAGTGTGAGTTAAGGGGGTAGATCAATCGGAATTGTATTTGTCTCCATCATCATCATCCTCCTCTTCCTCATTATCTTCACCACGGCAGCCCAGCTCATGCAGCACTTCCCTCTGGTAGCTCTCCCAGCTCCTCCGGCTGTACGAGTGCTCCTCCTCCCAGTAACCTGAGGACACGAGGCAGAAATCAGCCGATGAATGACAAGCAAGGACTGGGGTGAGTGCCTCACATTTGGAAATGCAATTGTACATGATTAATTATTAGAAATAGTCCATGTTGTCTCTCCAGACACACATCAGTAATGTGCCTCTGTAATAGAAATTTCAAGTCTTGTAGGAGGCTGGGACATGTCTACAAATGTCTGTCAGGCACCACAAAGTGAACAAAAGCATGTCCGGTCTATATTTCATCTTCCACGTAGATCACAGTTTGCAAAAAAATATTTTTCACATCTACACAGACTTAACACATTAATAAATACATACCACCATAGCGTTCCTCTCTGTCACTGTCTGCATCACTGTCCTCATCAGGGTAGTCATTCCTCCAGTTGCCTTCCTCATTTTCATCATCCTCATCTTCATACACCTCCTCTTCATGAACCACGAGGTCAGGCACCTGAGACGAACAACATCCCTTTAATCTGAAAGCCTCATTTTGGTTTATTCATTATTTGTTTTAGTACACTGGGAAAATGTATTAATAATAAAATAAAGCCATTCTTATTATAAATCTAACCCAAATTAACACCTTTTAGATAATCACTTTATTCAACTGTCTAAATGAAGTCACCTGCTGAGCACTCTATAAATATTTAAGATGGATTTTAAAATGGTTCTCAAATGGGACAATATTCAGGCAAACATATTTAGACTGCAAGAAATGTCACCCACAGTATCAGTGCTACATATAGACTTTTATTATATATTATATTATATTATTGGGGTACATATAATAAAAATATGCCCCGCTGCTGTCATTAGTCTCATTTTTATATATTGTGGCCTCATCTGTCACATCACAACAACAGCACATGGAGAAACGAGCCCACGGTACTGATTGACCTGAGGCAGTGTTAGATTCAGGGCCACTGCTTAGACTTAACCCAAATATAAAGACAGAGAGCAGGGACAAATTTCACAGGTTGGCCTGTATAAATAAATATATATATATATATATATATATAATCAAGAACAGCTGCATGTGAGCTGACTCTCGCTGATTTGTCTGAATAGATTTCACAAGCAGTTAGCACAAAACGGGTGTGAACTCAGACCCCTTGCTTTCCCCATTTCTAATGCTCTATTTCACCCATTTCTTCATTCACTCACTCCGATTTCAGCACTCATTCATCCGCCTGTCCATCCATCCACACACACCAGTTCTCCCTCATCAGCATAGGCCCTGACAGACAGGATGTCCTGGATCCACCCTGGTGTGATCGTTTCCTGGTAGTAAAGATCGTAGACGTAGTCCTCGTCCCCTCTGTGTTCTTCACCCAGTCCCTCTCCAGATATGCTCAGACGCTCCCGCAGCATCTTTGTGCTGTTACACAGGATGACTTCCGGATCCGAAGGCAACGTCTTAAGAAGAATAGAGCACGAGAGTTAATTAATTACTATTGAGGCTATCCATGTTAAAAAATGTCTAATGCCTAATGTAACATCTAACAGATTAACCAAGGCAGGTAACACACAATACCATAAAGAGCTAAACAAGTAAAGCATTTGTGTACAGATCTATTCTTTTTATAGAAAAATCATTTCAACTATTAATTAACAAGCTGTAAAGCATTATGCTGCTACTATTTACTTTCTCAGTAATTCTAACCTTTCGTTACATATTGAACTGCAGGATTTTTACTATGATCAAGGAGAGAAGCAAGGAGTTATGGCTGTTAACATTTACTGAATTGGCATTACAATTGTATGTAATGAGAACAGAAGCAACCTAATGGGACAACATTTCATAGATATTCAGTTTTTTTTTCACGGCAGCTTGAAGAAAGCTTCTGTTGCTGCACCAACATAAATATATGGTAAATGGACTACACACATAGCATTTTTCTAGACTTATCAACCTCTCAAAGCGGTTTACACTGCGAGCCACATTCATGCCACATTTTTCTACCACACGCATGCATTCAACCACCAATGTTCCATCAGATGATTAGTGGATGACCTGCTTTACCTCCACAGCTATTGCTGCCCCATACATCTCATCCACTTCCCAGGCAGGGATGTTGGTGAGCAGATCTGACCCCCAAGATACTGTGTACTGACTGGGTAATGTCCCACAGCTAGATACCAGTACCAACACATACTTTGATTATGATTCCTGTTTATTATCATACTTCTTTTCCAAAACTATTTTCATGTTTTATACTGTTGTAATACTGATCCTTGAGCAACAAAAAGATACCATTCAGAACAAAATGAATAAATGTGAAAGGATTTACACCTCAAGAGTAAAAAAAACAAAAAAAAACCCAACATATTCCTGTAGCATAAACAATCATCACTAGTCAGCTACAATAACCATCAACTCACCTTGGAAGAAGATTTGCCTTGTTCCTCTGCATCCTCGTGTATGAGATCAACCACTTGGATTTCACCAAGACCCCAACATTTGTCCTGCTCTTTCTCAGTCTCCCCTTCGTTCTCAGGGGCATTGGTCTGAGGGCTCTGTGGCTCAGTTGGACTTGACAGCCCTGTACGGTGACTGGACAGTATCCTGTAGCGTTCCTCCCTCCGGGTGCTCCACTTTGTGCTCCGTAGGTCCCCAATTATCCTTTTAGAACTGGCAGCAGAGGGGCGCATTGCGTGGGCCATGCGAGGCCGAGCCAAAGCCTGTCGGACCTGGGTCTGAACGGGAGCATCCTGGTGATGAGATGATAATGAGAATCTACTGAGCTCTTATATGAAAACGAGGGACTCTTTAGCTTTAATTCCCGACACCTGGAAGTTGGACGAAACTCTAGTTTGCACGAAGTAGTAAACAAAAACATCTCACTACCCAGTTTGTTTTGAAAATATTCACAGCATCACTAAATTAATATTTTTCTCAAAATGGCACAGTGCACATAAACACAACAGGTTCGCATATGAATATTTATATAGAGGCAGAAATTTGCTTGTAATAACATTACACCAAAAAGGAGTAGACATTTTAGTAAGAGCACATTCCAGGATATCTTTACCTTTGATAATTAGCTTGCGTGACGGACATGACTTGCTTGTTTAATACTGGATTAAATAACGTTACAGTTTTAAAACGAGATTCTGGATGAAGTCAAATCATTTCCGAGGCCTGTACACATCACAACACCAACTTAATGAGCTAACGATAGCACATGCTAATGTGATTTGGAGCCTATAAATGGCTAACGTTGGCTGAATAGCCGTAATGCTACGCTAACAACAACTAGCATAGAGGGTGCGTTGTTTTACAACGACAACAATCACTAATTAGTCCAACTCAGCTTGCTATGAGCTAGTCAGTTTGACAAAAAAACGAATTTTACGTTTATAGCGACCCGCTAACTAACGTTTATTTGCTTAAAGCTAACCTATGCCTAATGTTTCCAACGCAAACAGCGCTGACGTTAGCCAGCAGCGCTCGGTTAGCTAACACCGTTGCCAGCGGGCCTCTCACCTGTGTCGCTACGGTCGCCACGAGTTTGAAGACTGAGTTCTCCACCTCGGCTTCATTGGGCTCAGGTACCGTCTCGCCTGAGCTCTGGGCCGTTTCCGGTCGGATCCGTTTACATGCCAGCAACAAAGCATCTGCGGGGTCGGTCCCCCTTTTTCGCTTGACTCGCAAAACGGTCGTGTTTGGATCCATGTTGTTCCTCTGTCTGGGCTGTCTGGCAGAGAGAGCGAGAGAGGGAAGTCGATAGAGCGCTCACTCCGCCTTTATTTCCGGTTACCACGAACGTCATAACACGGCGGAGTGCAGCAGGTAGGAAAATCCCTATTGTTGACAACATTGTACCGTTTTGGATCTTCAATAATAATAATAATAAAATTAAAAAGATATATAATCAATTTGCCAATGGTGATATTCATATTCTTAAATCAAAAAATATTCTAAACCTTTATTTATATATTTATTTAAAAAAAAACATTTATTTGTTTTCTTCGTTTAATGTTTTTTATTTAGATAATTCACCTTTGCTCTAATGTTGTTTTGGAGTCTATGTATTAATGATAATTTGTATGTGATTGTTTTGTATTAATGCTATCTCTGTTCAGTGTGACTTCTATTTTCAATTAAGATGTAAATAGATAAATAAATTATGCGTTTCCTAAAATTATCATTTTAAATTAGGCTATTTAATTTGTCCACTTAATTATACATTCACAGAGCTCATTCATTGGTGTCTGGTGTGTGTCACCTTAATGAATCCTTAATCTATCTATCTATCTATCTATCTATCTATCTATCTATCATAATACTGATAACCTAATTTTTTTTAGGTAGCCTATTTGATTATATTTAATATAATTGTTTCCTGACAAAAAATTAATTGTGATGAATTCGATTTTTAATTAAACTGTGACATTCAAATGCTAAACAATCATACTGTATATCTTATATTGAGATGTTACAGTGTGCCCTCTGAGCAGCCTACTTCTTCGGGATAGATATACTGCAACTGGCCGGAGCTAGCTGTTTAGCATGTTTTCAGGAGAAAGAAGAAGTAATAGAAATAGAAGGAAAACAACAGTTAACATAAGTGTTGCTTTTCACCGCTGGAGACAGCTCTTGGTGAGTAAAGGAATTAAGTTTGATGCTGAACATATATTTCTATACTATTATTGTGATATATTGTGAACCCCAGGCGGAAGACATCCCACTTCACACCAGGGAACATCCAGGGACTGGACATCGAGGTGGTGGAGAACTACAAGTTCCTGGGTGTTCACCTAAACAACAAACTGGACTGGTCCACCAACACCCACACTCTCTACAAGAAGGGTCAGTCGCCTTCACCTGCTGAGGAGACTGAGGTCCTTTGGCGTGTGTGGGGCTCTCCTCAGGACCTTCTACGACTCTGTGGTGGCCTCAGCCATCTACTTCGCTGTGGTCTGCTGGAGAGGGGGCAGCATTGACAGGGATAGGCAGAGGCTCAACAAACTGATCCGGAAAGCGAGCTCATTTAATAATCTTTTTAAGCATTATTTTTAAGAGTATACTTTACATTTTATGTATAGACTATAATTTTTTTCAAAATGATTTTAAATGTACTAATACATTAAGTGATAACTATCAACTGTAAAAATGTAAATTTATTTGGATGTAATCACTCTGACAGCCACAACAACCTATACTTTCATATTTCACCTTTGCTGTCAGTCTGAAGGAAATAAGTAATATCTTGGCATAGTTTGTTAATTTGAGAAAACCAATTATAGATCACATTAAAGAATTAAGAGGGTACAACTAAGTACTTTGATTCTGTAAATTAGTAAAGAAATCTCATCTAATACCACACACATATTGTTTCAACATATCACAATTACAGCAAGGGGAAAAACTGATCTGTCAGAGAATTGGTAAAGTTGTTGCAGTGGAAAATTTTAATGTGATTGTTTTTGTAACCGGTCATGCAACCTCATTTGAACTCCTTTGTAGTTACTGAGCTGACAGTTCCAGTTCGAGCTAAACTGTCCTTGACTGTGGTAAAGGAGTATTTCTTTATCTGCATTCCTTCCCTTTTAATTGGGTTTTGACTCCTGAGAACTTATAGCTACCTGCTTGTGCATCTTGACACCACCAGCTGCCAGCTAGGGGAGGGTTTTGTTCTCTTTTCAGGGCTCTTTAAACTCCTCCCCCATCCACCATGCCCAGCCCTCTGTCCTTCATATTTTCCTTGTAGTAGGTTGCAACAATGTAATGTGTGTTTGTGGTCTCAGTTAACTGACACATCTGGTCAGGCTTGATCGACTACTCCTGCAGTTTTATCATATTTTGTACACATCCTGTGATAAGGGCTACAGTGCCTTTAGAACTGGACACTAGAAAGACAGAGGGAAAAACAACACAACAGACTGTTTGCCTTAAGGGTGGTAGTCAGGGGACATTTCAAGAAGAGGTGGAGCAACACTGACAAATAGAAGTCACATCCCCCATTGTCACTAGAGTTTTCTTTCAGAGTGATGGGCAGCAGTCGACACAGGTCTCTGCTTTTAGACTGAAACCTGGTTCTTCCAGCATTTTTCAGGAAACTAAAACAGTCCCACAGTTATACAGGTGAGTACAATTTTTACTCTGGAGCAATTTTAGCAAATGTAGATGGGATATTTCACTTGAAAAAATTAACATTTCTGGAGGGCAATCATTCTGAATAACTTAAGACACGTTTTCAGACAAGTATTGATCTGTTCCATTGAATAATCTGATGTTATTTCACATCCATACTTCTGGTTTTAGTGTGTTCAACATGTCAGCTGCCAACTGTCTGCTGTCTGAAGAGAGCTTTCTGTGCTCCATCTGCCTGGATGTGTTCAACACTCCTGTCACCTTACAGTGTGGTCACAACTTCTGCAGGAGCTGCATCACTCAAAACTGGAGAATCAATAGAAAATACCAGTGTCCTGTGTGTAAAAAGCATTTTGACACAAGTCATGAGCTGCATGTCAATATTTTTATCTCTGAGATGGTTGCTCAGTTCAGAGAGTCAGCTGTAAAGACAGCCTCAGAGGTTGCCAAACCAGGAGAGGTCCCCTGTGACATGTGCACTGGGGTCAAACTGAAGGCTCTCAAGTCCTGCCTGGTGTGTCTGGCCTCGTACTGTGAAACTCACCTGCAGCAACATCAGACAGTGTCAGGCCTAAAAAGACACAAGCTCATGGACCCACTGGATAACCTGGAAGACAGAATATGTACGAAGCACAATGAACTCTTGGAGCTGTTCTGCAAGACTGAGCAGATGTGTGTATGTCAGTTTTGTAATGAGTCAGACCATGAAACACATGACGTTGTTCCTCTTAGTGAAGAATGCGAAGTAAGGAAGACTGACCTGGAGAGGACGCAGGCTGGATTTCAGCAGATGATCCAGGAGAGAGAGCTGAAGATACAGGAGCTCAGACGGTCAGCAGAGATCAGCATGGCCGCTGCAGACAAAGAGACAGCAGATGGTGTGCATGTCTTCTCCGATCTGATGCAGTTTGCTGAGACAGGCCTGGCTGAGCTGAGTGAGCAGATTAAAAAGAAACAGAAAATGACAGCCAAATCTGCTGAGGGCTTCATCAAAGAGCTGGACCAGGAGATCTCAGAGCTGATGAAGAGGAACAGCGAGGCTCAGCAGCTGTCATGCTCTGATCACTTCCACCTCCTGCAAAACTTCTCATCTCTGAATGCTTTTCCAAACACTAAGGACTGGAACAAAGTCAGTATCCATCAGCCATCGTTTGAGGGAGCTGTGGCCAGAGCTGTGGCTCAACTTAGGGAAACGCTCAACAAAGTTACGACGAAGCTGCTCGAGTCTGAATTGAAGAGGGTGCAGCAGTGCGCAGTGGATGTGACTCTTGATCCTAACACGGCACATCCTAGACTCATCTTGTCTGATGATGGTAAGCAAGTAAATCACAGTGATGTGGAGAAGAATCTCCCAGACAATCCAGAGAGATTTTCATACTGTGTCATGGTCTTGGGGAAGCAGAGCTTCTCCTCTGGCAGATTCTACTATGAGGTGGAGGTTAAAGGGAAAACTAAATGGGATTTAGGAGTGACCAGCGTGTCGGCAAACAGGAAAGGACAAGTGACATCAAGCCCGAAGGCCGGCTACTGGACCCTGCAGCTGAGGAATGGAAATGAGTATGTAGCTCTTGCTGACCCTGATGTTGTGCTGTCTCTGAAATCACAGCCTCAGAAGGTGGGGGTGTTTGTGGACTATGAGGAGGGACTGGTCTCCTTTTATAATGTTGATGTTGCAGATATTATCTACTCCTTCACTGGCTGCTCCTTTCCAAACAAACTCCTCCCATTCTTCAGCCCCTGTTTCAATGATGGTGGTAACAACTCTGCCCCTCTCAGGATCTCCATTGTTCAACTGAACTGAAAAGTGATTAAATCAAATGTTTTTTATTATCATTTATTTTTTATTTATTATTTCCTATCACTTAAGTCATCACTTAAGTCAGATCGCTCAAGTCAGAAAGCTTTGTTTTCAGACACACCCTGCCATGTCCCTTCATTAACACCCATTGTGTTTCAAATGCATTCATTTGTTTTGATTTTAAACTGAAAATTATGTAAAATTATATATTAATTGGTATTGTTGCAATAGTTTTCATACAATTGAACATCAGTGTTTCAGTTTGTTGTTGTTTGTTAGATCAAGTTTACATTTGTAGCTACTGGTAACAGAAGCTAGACCTTTCAACCATTTACCCATTACTTCTATTTTTCTCAATCAATATGTGTTGTTCGGGAATAGGCTGACTTTGATAAATGGATATGTATTTCTGAAATCAATCAGTCCATTTACCTGTTTATCCTGTGCATGATTATACGGCTCTGTAGGTTACCTTTATCTACTGTATGTATCTATTTAGATTAGATTATGATTTTACATTAAGAGAATAACAATCAAAAGCAAGCTTAAGGTTTTTTGTTTAGTAGTAGAACATTTTAACTTAAATACAACAGTTAGTTCCGACCAAGTAATTTGATTGGACGAGAGGCATTCCTTGAGCGCTGATAAACCAGCACTGGGACTTTTAACTACGTGTATCATTCCGCTTTACAGGTGACATAAACGGTCGTTATCTGTTTTAGATTGCAACAAACTTTGCAAAGATGAATATATTTCCAGAAATAACATTTGAATTAAATGATTTATGGTCGTCAGAAGAGGATGAAGTGAAGTGAAGAAGCCTGGATACTTCAACGCACACCTGAGGTAACGTGTAGACAAAGTAGCAAGCTAGTGTGCACTGTGCAGGTCAGGAAAATGTTTATGTGTTGCTTAGCAACAGTCCAGTACCAGTCCAGTTGTGGAACTATTTGTGTTGGCGTTGCCAAATAAATGATGGAGTAAACTAACAAATCATAATCTGTTGTTGCTTATTTAACTAATATGGCGCTGATGTTGTACTGAATATCAGCATTGCTGTGATTGTCTTCAGTATCTATGACCGAACAACGTCAGTACAAGGTCACGACCTCGAGTGTAATATTTCTTAAGTATCGTGTTCTTTATTGGGGGTTAGACATGTGTATATTATCCCACAGGAGATTCAACACTCAGAAATTTGTTGTTTTTTTTAAAAGTTGTTAAGATTGTTCAACTGTTTTATTATGAAATATAGTTCTATGTTGTTTTTATTTATGTTTGTATTTTATGGGTATTTATTTCTTATGTTTTGGTCATCAATAATAGTTGATTAGGATGTGAGTACCATAATCCATGTTTTTATGGATGAAAGAATTGTTAGACCAACTGATTTTTAAAAGTATCTTATTTATTTTGTATACAGTTTTTTTTGTAAAAAACAAACACAGATACAAACAAACAAAACCCACAAAAAACTAACAAAAAACGTTTGTTTCTGAGGTATGTCTTGAATCTGATGGTTTCAACTACCATGCTGGCAGAACAGGTTAAACGGTCTCCCTAAAGTGCAAAGCAGCATTTACAACACTAACGACAGACTCCACATATCACTTAACAAAGTGACAAAAGCAAAAGCCCAGACACAAAAAATTAACAAAATGAACCAGTCATTTTTTATCAAACAAATTAACCAAGGCTGAGTCGAACACCATGTTTGCTCCTGTAAACAAACATGGATTACTAGACACAGGGCCACTGGCCAAAGGGTCATGGGGGGCCCCTCTTGTTGGAGATTGAAAAGAAACAGATAACAGCTCTTTCCAAATTAAAAGTCCTGGTCACACCAGCATTTTCAACAGCAAAATCAGTTCATTGAAATGGTTTCACAGTGGTCAGCATTCATGTTCAACTTTGGTGACCTTTGGCACTATAACTTGTTTTCCTCCACACTGTTTCCATTTTGACCATTTGTTTTATGAAAGGTTGTGTTTTGCACTTTAGGGCCACAGCAAGGTTTTTGAGGGTGATTCTCAAGTGTAAGAAAATATGTTTTAAACATAGAAGCTGTTTTATAGTCACTGCTTTAAATACAGATGTCTTTCTGATCCTGAAATGTGTTGTAATGATCACTTTTGCAGAAAAGAATAAGAGATTCTTTATTAATCGATTCACCAGGAAATCATTAACAACATTTACATCTTCATATCTGATATAATTGTAACCATAAGGATCATAATTGTAGCAACAATAAATAACTAGATTGCTCATGCTTCATTATTTTCTATTTAACAGCTAGATATCAACAAATTAAGTTATTGTTAGTTAACTGAATACTGAATATGACTGGAGTCCAAAGGTCAATAAACACCTAATATAGGCAATGGATAATATGTTTGTTTTAGCTGTAAATATCAATTATTAAAACTGGTCGTCATCATTTTCTGAGAGGAAAGGTCTCTGATTGAGGAGTTATTTTCAGATCGAGACTTGCAGGACAAAGCCACGGACCACAGGAACATAAATAAACCTGAGAAAGGAAAAGAAAGGCTGTGAATTCTTCAGCTAATCATAAAAGCATGGTGCATACAGTATGTGAGGATCAAATGGATACTAACCCTGCAGGGAGTTTAGTATAGTGAATACATAGATTGCAGGGAGAGAGGTGAAGGTGGTGGTCTCCAACCCCCAAGGTAATCCCAACACACAGCTGAGGCCCAGCACTGTGGCACAGTCCTTCCATAACCTGCTCCTGTTCTCTTTGTTCATCTTCTTCCAGTCACTGCTGCTTTGAGTACCTCCACTACTTCTTCTTACTCCCCAAAGCTTAAACACCACCACCCCCAGCATGCAGGAATTATACAGTATCACCAGGCATGGAAAGGCCAAAGTAGTGATGTAGCTGACTACAAGCCGATGTGGGAACTGGCTGCTCATCCAGCATCTGTGGGTTAGTAAAAAAAAAAAAAAACATTGAAAAATCAAGAATTTAAAAGGTTAACTCTGAATTCCTTCATGCAGGCAAAGAATAAAGCAGAGCCCAGGTGAAACCAGATTATGTATTTGCTAAGAAATCAATCGCCATGGCTGAACATTTAAAATCATGACAATGAATCTTGATTTCTTACATCTGCGTTGTTGAACTTCTGTTTTTGTCATCCTTCAGTTGTAGAGTGTATTTACCATAAACACCCGAAATCCCACAAACCACTGCAACCAGTGTAGGAAGACCTGCAGAAAGATGAGTCAGTGCAGAATTTAATTGAACAAGCCCCAACTATGGTTAACTGTTCCTGCTTGAGCATTCGGTTACACTTCTGTCCTCAGTTTTTAATATTATGTTATTGAATTCAGAGAGCAAAATAAACCTTAATATCAATCTTCAAATATTTGTGATACCCACATCACTGCCTGCACCTTTCTTATATGTCTTTATTCACTCTCATTGCTCTCATCAGTATTGTTCCCAGATGCAGTAAGCAGCTACTTTCAGTGACTATACACTACTTATCCATCACCAAACATCAGACAGAAGTTAGCAACTAGCAGACATTTTCCTCAGGAAATAGCAGAGACTCAAATCAGATATATGCTTTTATGCTTCCATATCTGCCGGTTGTGTGACACGATTGCCATATCAACTTAAAAGATGATGGATGTTCTGCTGGCCCCAAGTGGCCAAAAGTGTCTGTTGCAGGTTAAAGGACCTTAACGTGTCATCTGATATTGTGCTTTTGCAGTGCATATACCCAGGAAACAAACTATAAACCACAAAGCAGCCCACACACAATGAATGTAACACCTTCAGCATCTGGGGTCCTAGTGCCTGCTTCACCCAGTTGGCAATCTTGACTTCAGCATATTAGTGTACATGCACTATGTGTACATGCTACAGCATGATACAAATAGTGTAACCTGACAGCAAATCATTACTCTACTGCTCCCCTTGTGGTTGAAAACCTCAGTGGGTAGCCCTAGCTGTATATTGGATATGGATATTTTCCTGTCTTATGAACAGTATATTGGGAGAAATCACATTCATACACCTTTAAAATTTGGCAGAAACACTGTCCTAACCATACTCCACTCACCCCATCCCACCAAGCCGAGTTTGAGCAGGTATCTCCTCACATAGATGTTGAAGACTCGGACAAGGAGAAGGTAGAGGTGGAATCCCTCTAATGCCGTCCAGGTGAGGGTGGCCAGCAGAGACCAGTGCAACAAGAAACCCAGTAACTTACAAACCAAGCTCTCCTCATTTTCCTTCAGCAGCGACACCCAGAAGCTGCACAGCAGGAAGCTGAGGTGGAGGCAGAACAGCGCCCCTGTTAGTTGCATATGCAAAGCGATGGCCTTCTCTGGACGCCGCCGTCTGACAAGACAAACAGTACACAGTTTATCATTTATCATTTATCAGATACAGTACATGTGGCCATTTTTTACCCAAATTCTGCAGGTACTTTCACCTCAACATGGTCCTATGAGCCCAGTGGACTGCCATATATATTTTTTCACATACTCACTTCATCACGTCTCCTCTAGGTAAAAGGATGTTAGTCAAACTCATTTAGCATTTCAGTTCAATCTGTGCAGGCTGACTAAATACTATACCACAGTACAGTGCCTGCTTTGATCTTCCTGTCATACAGAATTTATATAATAATGAGCGACTGTACCCTCAAAGCTTTAAGGTGGAGGTATGCTCAAGGGGAAGTAGTTTCTGGGACATGCTGTCAAGCTTGTCAGAAGAGAGAAATGTTTATAGCTGCTCAAAAGGCTGCACTCACACGCTGATGGTTGAAATAGTTGTGTAAATAACAAATAAAGTTTGAGAAAGAGGCTTTGACAGATTGTGGGTTTGAGCTCACCACTGATGTGAGGAGGACAAAGTTCTCAGAAAGTGTAACATTTTTTATCGAGTGTTTTTTCCTGTTGGTATCAGTCATGCAAGATAAATATTCCTGTCTACATGCACCGCTGTGCAAAGAAGACTGTTCCTCTGGGCTGCCTGAGAGAGAACATGCACAGGTGCCATTACAAACGAGCCCACAGGTTGTTTGTGCAGCAGGTTATTATGACCCAAGTTACATTGTTTTGTTTGGTGACATCTAACATAGTAATGATGACAGGAACAAAAGAAAAAGTCCGGTGATATAGTATATAGAGAGACAAAGTGCATGTGAAAAGCAGGTTGAGATGGATAGGTCAATAAAATACAGGAATATAAATCGATTCCATTGTGAAAACAGTAGTTTATTTTGTTTCTTTTATTCATGACAGCTTGACCAAGTTAACCACATTGTTATTATTGACAATGATTATAGAATACAGCTACAACAAAATTGTAGCCTGCTCGTCACCCACAGCCCGTAGAGACTGGAGAACGTTACCGAGCAAGAAAAAAGGGTTACAATATTTTGATGAGTTACCCGATGGAAATAAGAATTTTAGAATAAGAAACAAAAAACTCACTGTAGGCATATATAGATGATCAAGCTGATGACTGTGAAGAAGACGGAGAGTGCTGATCCAATGTAGGTGATATAGCTAAGATTGTCGGAATTAGTTTTATCTACTGATAATTCAGGGTTCTGGAACAAAAAAAAAAAAAAGGATTAAAAATTCAGTTCAAAATGAAGATCACAAGTCTAATGGAGGCCCCTCTAGGAGACTGTATGAGCAATTTGGTCTGTACCTCTATTAAGTGTATTTTCATCCAACTGTTTTTATACACTTTATCAACCTGCACATGAAAAATGGAGTGGAAACTGTGGAAATGCAAGACAATTTTGCACCCCATTTATATACCCCAAGTAACAAAAATGCACCTTTACACAATTATATTGTGTAACAACACAATCCCTGTTTGGGGGAGGGGATTTAGGAAATGGGTGGCTTAGAGGTGATGACAGAACTAACACTGAAAAAAAGTGTTCCGTAGAAAAGTGTTATAGCTTTACCACGAGCACAGCAAAGAAACTGAGGTGGTCACAGCTGCAAATAAACTCAGATCCACTGTGGCTGGTATCACAGCCATCTCTGCTCCAATGACCTAAAAAATGTATACAATGGTTATTTTTAAATGGTCTCTTATCTTTTAGAGCAAATAGCCTATACTGTAGGCTGGCATATGGAACCTACCTGTTCTGTAATCTAACTCCTGCCAAAACACACAAATCCCGTTATCCACCTGAAACATATTCAAAAGTGAATCAGTATCAGAGATCAGAGGACAGCGCATTACATTTTCCAAATGTTGCTTCTGCTGGCACAGCTAGTTTTATCAATTTACCTGTTTGGTGTGTTTGAAGGTTAGTTTGATGTGTTGTGTGAGGTTGCTGACAGGATGGTTCCCTGCCATGACTGCTAGGACTAACCCTCCCAAAACAGTGTGTTTGCTGTATTCAGGCTCGCTGGGTATGAGTGCTGTTCTCCCTCTTTTTCTCTGTGGGGATACACAACATTAATGGCGGGGTGAGGTTGATTTGTAGTAAATCAGCTTCTAAAACATATACAGTAGTGGTTCCCCGCCTGGGGGTGGGTCTGCAAAGGTATTGCAAGTGGGCCAGCAAATCATTTGCAAGTACAGGACAGTTTTGGTGAAAACATTTAATTATCAAAAAAATATATTTTTCATGTTTTAAAATAAAAGAATCTTTAAAAGCATCAAAAACTCCTTTTGTTGTTCGTACACTTTGCTATTTCAGTCTGATTGCATGCTAAAAGATTCAATCCATGTGAAAAACTGCAGTATCAAAATAGATAGCTGGTTAGTAACAAGAAGGGTTAAAAGGAAAGGGAGTCAAGGGACTGATAATGAATCGAGAAGTGATCCCTTCCCTATCAAACAAAATGGAAAAATTGAGCTTCTCCTGCTTTCAGTTCAATCCTAAATGCTCAATTGTTATCATGAAAACAAAAAGTGCTCTGAGAACTTCCCATTTAGCCTTCATATCATTATGGGGTTGGATGTAGGCCGCCAGCATTTGGGAGATTTTGAAGTGGGCCAGGACTTGGAAAAGGTTGGGAACCACTGATGTAGAGGTTTTACAGCAACATTAGCTACTGTACTGACCGTTCCTCAATTTCATAGGACACAATGGCTGATTGTGAGCGTACAGAGTTCATGGAAATCATTGCAAATCAGCATGAGGGAAAAGTATTGACTTGTATTTACACAGAGGGAGCAAATGTGAAGTAGAAACCTGTGTCAGTGTTTAAAAACATTAAGGTCCTTTTTCTTACCCACATTCTGAATTTACCTCAGATTTCCCAAAGGTCAAAAAACTTCCTTAATTCACTAACTTTCTTTACCTTTATCTCCATGTTGAATTAATAAGGGTAACTAGCTGTAACACAGCCAAAATGATCAGCAAATCAAAAAAGAAAAGTGAAGAAAATGTCTAAAAAAGGACAGAGGGACCCCTGAGAGTTAATAAATCCCATGAACCGCTATTTAAATTACCACTATTATGTTTTTTCGGTGCTAAATTTAACATTACTGGGGAGGAGAGCAACGCGACTAGAAGTGACAGCGAGAGAGGGCTAGTAGCTTCTCCTCTCCTCTGTCTCAGCGGAGACCGTCACAACTTCATTCAATCATTTAACAAAACAAAAAGAAAAGCAACAAAGGAAGCAGTAAATGGACTTACATATTTAAGACCTAACTAAATGTAATTTAAGACCTAACATGCGGCTAATGTAAAGCTAGCGGAGCTTGGAGAGTTGGTTATCTGGTTGCTAGGCACACACACACACACACAGGTCAGGAGCTGCCGTTGCCATGGCAATGTGAAAATCTGCCCAGAATTTGGCTTCTACATGGCTTCAAACAATTGCAAATTATGAGAAAACCGTTACTTCTTTTCAAAAAACGAAAACACCGTGACAGACACTGAAGCCAGAAGTTTCTTACAGTTTCTATTTTATTCAGATATTCCTTAAAATGAGTGAGTAAGCTCAGTGCGAAGATAGAGTGAGATTCTTTTGAAAAAAAAAAGATGATTACATTAGGTGTCAATGAGAGTGAGACAGGTATTGCTGCCGGACTCGGCACCCCCGTTTAAATTTTGTGCGTTTTATAGTTTGAATCACATTTCTACGTGCAGGTATGAGAGAGCTGGGTGACTCAGAAAAAAGGTGAAATTTTGTAGAAAAAAGGTGAAATTTTGTGGGTTTTTAAAGAAAATTCCAATGCATTCCTAATGCATTATTTATTCCCAGTATTTTGGGAATAACTTTTGGAAAAATTGGAATTTTAACACCAAAAGTCATAGCACCTCTTTCGGGATCAAGACGCACGTTTTGATGTATATAATACCGGGGTTTTCTCAAAGCTGCGGGACGAGTTACGCGCCAAAATTTGGTGGAAGAATAATAATAAGCCCAAAGGAATATTAATAAATGCCTCCTCCGAGGCACTCCTCTCACCTATTCTAGCTGTAGAGGAGTGCCTCGGAGCTGAGCACCCGTGGCACTAATTAAATAAGACTGGTCAACCAGTCTCGACTAAAAGGTCTCTTGTCCTTAGACTAGCGTTTTGTACCTTCAGAGCTACTGACCTTAAAGTAAGTGCTGTTGATGACTGTGACCACCAGTAGTACCTCCTCCTCAGATGCATATCCTCTGCTTTTCTTGAGAGCTGAGGACGGGATGTTTACCCTGTGATTCGAAGTAGGACTCGCTTCAGCCTAAAAACCATAAATACGCACAAAGACATACAAAAATATTTAGATATATTGGATATACAGTAGGCTATACCAAAGAAAACAGATTTTAGATGTTGAATAAGTAAAAAAAAGCAATTTATGGAAATAACATTTGTTCATTTGATCATTTTTAAGCACATCCAAGAGAAAACAACAGAGTGGAAATTATAACCAGAACTCTACAGTTGTATGTGTGTGATGAAGACAAAGTAAACCATTTTTTCCTGTTCTGCTCATTTGTTAGTGCACATCAAGTAAAACTTCAGATTGTTTTACCCCTAAAACCAACTGAGAACCACATGAGACAAGAGCTGGGAGCCAGTTACCCAAAATAAAGCCTTACCTCCTGAGACGAGGGCACCTTCAAATGCATGAAGCCTGATGTAAAACGGTTTCTTACTGTACAGGCTCTAACTCTGTCCTCAAAACACCTGCAAACACATATTTCACATATTTCAGCAGCTATGCAGTTTTATAACTCATACAGTATTGTGACTACAGTATCATATTATTGTAACTACCTTAATTAGTGGTGGCATTATTCACAAAAGTACTGCTGAATGAAAACCTTTGACATTAACTGAATGATTATTGTACACAGTTATTTATGGGTTGAGAAAGTTGTGCTGTACACCACTTTGGCTGATGAAGCCAATTCAAAACACTGTGACATTCAAGCATATGCATTTACTTCCAGAAAGACTGGCAGCCTTTACCTTGACAGCAATAAGGTAAGTTATAATAGTTGATTTGCTTGACAGCAGGGAACAATGACATGTATCTATTACTGTAGGACAAATATACAGTGCTGCTTGAAAGTATGTGAATGCCTTGAGCAGTTCAGATGTTTCTGTTGTTTACCATGATTTTCTTATTTTATCATCACCAGTTTTTATGTATGAAATGTCAGATATATGTTTCATCAATTGCTTGTACTTGTTTAGTGGAACTTGTTTAAGTAGCCCAAAAACTACATGAAACATGGAATTAGTGTATGTGCAAAAGTAAGTGAATCCCCAGCTGCATTGGTTAAGTCAAGCAGGTAACAGACTCAGGTGAAATACATGTGAGTGCTTAATTAATCATTTCAGTAGACCAATAAAATGAGACATCCTTGGGAAAGGGATTGGCCTGCACTAATTAAAAGAGAGAGGAAACCAACCAAACCAACTTGGTCCCATACACATCAACAATGCCGAGAGGAAAGGAGATATCCGAGGACATGAAGAAGAGGGTAGTGACAGCCCATCAGTCTGGGGAGGGATATAAGACCATCTCCAAAAGATTCCAGCTCAATCCATCGACTGTAAGACAAATAATTTACAAATGGAGGGCCTTCAACATGACAGCAACTCTGCCTAGAAGTGGGCGCCCATCAAAACTATCACCCAGAGCCACCAGAAAAATAATAAATCAGGTAAAGGCCAACCCACACATCACCTCTACAGAGTTGCAGACCTCTCTGGTAGCATCTGGGACAAATGTGCATGCGTCTACGATCAGACGACAATTGAATAGCCATGGCATTCATGGGATGGTTGCTAGAAGGAAGCCTCTGCTCTCAAAAAAGAACAAAGCTGCCCGTTTCAACTTTGCCAAAGAGCACTTAGACAAACCAGAGGCCTTCTGGGAGTCCATTCTCTGGACAGATGAATCTAAAGTAGAGTTATTTGGTCACAATCAAAACCGCCATGTTTGGAGAAAAGCCAACACTGCAAATGAAGAAAAGAACCTCCTCCCTACAGTGAAGCATGGTGGTGGAAATGTGAAGATCTGGGGCTGCTTCTTTGCTTCTGGAATTGGGCGACTCCATATTATCCAGGGAACCATGAATTCTCAGGCATATCAACAAATTCTTGACCAGAATCTCCTGCCATCAGTCAAACAGTTGAAGCTGGATTATGCAACAAGACAATGACCCGAAGCATTCCAGCAAAACTACAAAGGAATGGCTTCAGAGAAGCGTACTCTGGATTGGCCCAGTCAAAGTCCAGATCTAAATCCTATAGAAATGTTGTGGCGAGACCTGAAGAAGATGGTACATGCCAGATGTCCCTCCAACCTCTCTCAACTGGCTGAGTTCTGCAAGGAGGAGTGGGCAAAAATCCCCATAAGCAGATGCGAGAGACTGTTTAGAGGTTACAAAAGACGTTTGGTTGAAGTAATGGCTGCAAAAGGAGAAGCCACAAGCTACTAATAGAAGGGTTCACATACTTTTGCACATGTTACATTTTCAGTGTTTGTGAAATAAACCACATTTGTTGAATTACATAATGAAAAAATATCCCTTTTTGTGTGTGTGTCCAGTATTTGGAAAGTGTGCTTTACAAATTAGGATTTGGATGTCTGTTAAATAAGGTTCTTTTAATGTTTTTTTTACAAAAACAGTGACCATGTCTGGAAGGTTCACATACTTTCAAGCAGCACTGTATGTAGTGCGAGATCTACAGCATTGTCTTAGTAGCCACTACGTGAGTTACCTGGTCCATTGGGGATTGTTTTGATGACAGTCGTTGAGGACATGTTCACAAATGTCTGTTGGAGTGACAGATACATGAAAGAGAAACATGAAAAGAAACTTCATGTTGTAACTGTTTAACCACTGCTGTTTTAGTGTTGCACAAGTGGTTGGGTAAGGGTTCCCGACAGCATGTAGCAGAGGACCATGACTGACTTCATATTTCTCTTGGTTTAATGATCCACAACATTTACATACATAAACAGTTAAAATAGTATCCACCTCACAAGCACAGAAGCATAAACACACAAACAAACGTGAAAAACTCACCAGCAGCTTGAGTTGTAGAGAGCCCCACAAGTGTGATGAGAAGAAGAGTAATCCACATCGTGTCTCACTGTTCCTCATGTGATAGTTCATATTATCCTACTTGCTGATGAGGTGAGCGGGCAGTTTCACATCTGCATCACATGGTAGTGGTACAGGAAACAGGAAGTGATTCATGTCTGATGTTTTTTCAAGGGTATTGTAATAACCCAGTTCTTATAAACTGTTGATGATAATTTTAGGAAACCTCATTAACATATTTTATCTGCCAATCAGAGAATAAATTACTATATCAGTGTGAAAGATTCATCTGAAGCCAAGCTATTGTTATTTATTTGTTTTCCAGAGTCATCACTGAAAGAAAGAAATACAAATACTTACAATGTGACATGTTCAGAGTTACAAATGATATCTGTATTTTACTGTGACTACATCTCCAATATTAGATGCTGCCTAGAGAAAAGAGGAAGATTACAAATGCTACCATTTTCCCATATACGCAAGAAAAAAGAACCTCATTATGGTAACAATCACAGACATTCACAGCCGACAGGGGAAGGGAAACTCTTGCAGCACGTTTTCCAAAGTAGGCAAAACACAAGAAAATGAAAATGTAATTTTATAAAACCTTTAATGTGTCATGTCAATATATTGAATCATTTCAAAGGTTGTTATAAAAACCATATAGCAACGTTCCCATTCTTCTGTGTTGATTTATTAAGTTATTCAAAAACATGTATGATAATCTTGCTTAATGACAAAATCAGCTTTGATGACAGAAAATGTGTCACAGAAGTGACTCAGGCCGAGCAAAAAATATTTTGTTTTTGTAGAGGAAAAAATTATACAGGGAAATGTTCAAAGCTTAACATTACTTGGAAGTTAGGGGAATTTCTGACATATTGGCAGGGTAACATGTGGGAATTACTGTTGCTATGGTTATGTGAAGGTGGTCACAAGCGCAGTTATGCCATCAGTGACTACATCTAGGGTTTAGCATCCAGACTAATAGCAGGAAAGGGCCTAATCAAAATTGATTTGCGGGAGATGAAATCATACTGTCCTCCATATCTCTGTTCCTCTGCTAATCAGCTGCCAGTCAGATCCAGAGCAAGATAAAGAAACCCAGACAAAGAAACACACTTGTTGGGTGGGTTTATGAGCTGGTAAAAGAGTAACAGATCCATCAATTTATAATTAAATCTGACCGAATTGAATTTGAACAGATACCTCTAATAAAAATGGGACTGTATACAGACTGGTTAAATCTGAAAGAAAGAGAAATACGCTACTCAGACAGCTGGTCTTGTGGAGTCCAGAATGTTGAAAAGGTAGAGGATAGTTGTCATATTCTGAGGTGGTCCCTGTCAGGCAGGTAACACCCAGCACAGTGAGGCCACTCCTGCAGGACTCACTGAACCTCTGTCAGTCTCTCCAAGTCTTCCCTCAGCCTCTGCTCCAAGCTTTGAGTTGGTCCTTAAGACCTGAAGATCTTTCTGTCTGTTTCAGGTGATTACAGTAACATAACAGAATCTTTCTCTTTGAAATGTTCATGACTATAACTTCACAGTAAAAAACAACAAAAAACTTCAAACTTAACCTTATCAATCAGTGCTGTGTAGCATTAAGACCAGTTCTTAATGAGTAATGAGTATTGTTCCCTGGTTGACCACAGGAATGATTAGGACTACAGTGAAGTCACTGGGGAAACATGAGTACACCTCAGTTCTCTATTTGGTATCTATATTAAATACTGTGAATAACACTCCAAACAGTCTTACTTTGTGGGTCTGTTAAATCTTTTTTTAACATAGTAGTTACACAACATTTCAAAGTGGCATGGCAAGGACAAGAGTCCAGGCATCACTTTCTTTCCACTGGAGTACAGCAAGGATCTGTGCTTAGTCCCTTACTCCCTTGGTCTGATTACCCACTCAGGTTTTCTTGCACAGATTTTGTCTTAATTATTGTTTATGTCACAATAAAAAAATATTTTGCATCATGTTGTGTAAATGGTACAAAGCTGACCAAAAATGCACCTACATTCCAGGTTGTAATGCAACAAAACAGAAAGAACACCAACACTTCTGTAAGCAGAAGATCTTTCACCACTTAATGAAGTTTCAGTGGAGTGACAGGCCGACAAAGCAGGTTGAAAAAGCTGAAAGGGTTACTGTTAGATAATGGGGTGAAAGCTACTGTGACACAAATCCTTCCAGTACTTTGGAAAAATAGACAGACTGGTTGATAATTATTCAGAGACCCTGCATCAAGGTGTGCTTTCTTAAGCAGAGGTTTAACCACAGTAGTCTCAAAGCTAGTGGGGTAAGTTAACAATATTCAACATTGTAGATCCCAAAACTGGCCAACGATCGTTGAGAAGATTAGCTGGTAGAGGCCAACACCAGCTCAGACAATGTTTCACGTGATAAAGTCTCAAATTTGTCAAAACAGAAACTATCTGGTTTTCAACCTAATGCTCAAGTGGTCCTGTAGAAAAAGGAACTAAGTTAGTCTCTAATCTCAACTGTTTTTCTAGAGAAATCATGAACTAAGGCAAGAAGCCTGCTTTTAAGTTTAAGTTTGGTTACAGTGTAAAATAGATATGATTGTGTTTGTTGTTATTGATTAAGTGAGAGAAATAAGCTGCTTTAGCAGTGGATATAGCACAGCTGTAATTCAGGATACATTTGTGCCATGAAGGTTCTCAAGTCTTCCATTAAAAGGACAGACAAGTCTTCATATTAAGAGAGTGATCTGATGTTGCAACATTCACAGCCTGTCAGGAGAGAGACAGTCAGATCAGAAACCACAGTCTCATGTGAGAGAATCAAGTTAAGGGTGAAACCAAAAGTATCAAAAAGTGTCAGAAAGGCTAGAGGATCACAGGCCTTATGAAAATCTAACAATCTCTGAGATAAGTTCTCCAAATTCTTCAAAATATTGGGAAAAAGGGGCGAGCTTGTTTGTAGAGCACCACAAGGTGGACTAGTCCTACCGTCAATGCAGAGTCCAGTAAACATTTCACATCTTTAACCCTCCTGTTATGTTCGTTTCTCAGGAACAGCAATGATGTTCCTGGGTCAATTTGACCCGGGGCGTGTTTTAATTATCCAAAAGTGTCAGAAACCAAAAAATCCTAATAAACATTGTTTATATCTCATTATTAACTCCATTACTAACCATTTCAATCAATATTTAGTGTAATGGTGTTCTTTACCTCTCACAGATCATGGTTCAATGAGGATAATTCACTCGTTTTTCATTAAAAAATGCATGTTAAAACTTTTTTTTAATGTACTTTGGAAAGACCTACATATAAAATACAAGAGTTTTATATGACATTAATTTTTTTTTAAATTTTATTTTACATTTTTTAATTTTTTTATGGAGTGATGTTGATAAATTAACACGAGACACCTCTTCTGTTCATCCAGTGTGACATTAGGGCCGGGGTTATAGAGTAGTGGAAGTTGCTCTACCCACTTGTCCTACACTGTCCTGATAGCTGCCAGCTTGTCTCTTGTCTCTCTACCATCTGACAGCCCTTGTCTCTCGATTATCAAATCGGATTACTCTGGAGAAAATATGAAAAGTCTCCAGAGACATTGTGGCACGAAATATAACCCTGCCTGTCTCTGCATCCCACAGACTGGCTGTTAATTCGTCCTTTGACTTATAGACCCCAGCCAGGATGAGGACCCCCAGATATGCATGTAAATGCATTTTATCCTGCTCCTTCCACTTTCATTTCGAGAACGATTTTCTGTATTGAGTTGGGCATGACCAGCTCAAAAGCTGACTTGATGTCTGTCACACGAGTCACTGTCATCCTAGCGGGCCCTGGCACTGTCTTTATTATGTTTTCTGCAGACAGTTTTGCCTGACGTATATTTGGGGATGAAGACCACTGTATTTCACCATTTTTTGATGTGAATGTCTTGCTTGGAGGGATATGAATAGCATTTGGTTCATAATCAGAATCATTAGACTCAGAATTGACCTCAAGATGGTCTTCATCTTCAGACACATCCTCCTGTATTTCACTGTCATGATCAAAGATGAGTTCCAGAGCTTCCAGGGGAACCTGTTTACTTCTGCTGCTCATTTTGTAAAGCTCTGACAGAGAGTATATCATATGTAGCTGCAGAGTGTAATGTTGGTAGGACTCCCTTGCAGAGAATATTTATATGTTTTGCCGCCCCCCTGCTGAGTGTCCACTCAATGTGGGTGGGGTTGTCCACGGGAACAGAAAGTCATAACAACACCTGCATTCTCGCACTTTACAGATGAGGTCAAGAGATTAGGGAGAGGATGTGTGTGTGTGTGTGTGTGTGTGTGTGTGTGTGTGTGTGAGATTGGGGTGAAATATGTCTCACAGTTGCAAAGAAACAAATAGTATTTGACACTTTTGACCCCTTTTAGCCTCCACTTTGACTGCCGGGTCAAATTGACCCGAACAGTATCTATGTAATATAAACATGCAGGGGGGGGGGGTTGCAAATATTTGAAATGAACCATTTTAATTGTATCTTAATATGCTGATTACACTTATTAAGCCAAGCAGAAGAAGTTTCATACCCAAAAAATACTTTTAACTATTTTTTTTTACATGTTTTAACTTTAAAATGGGTCAATTTGACCCGCAACATAACAGGAAGGTTAAGTGGAGTTTCACCAAAGTTTACCATGAAGCAAAGTGATGAATGTTAGTCATTACTTGTATGTGGTTCACTCCAAAAAAATCAGCAACTATATGAGTCATAGAAAACCAGATGTGTGAGAGTGTGATGGGAAAAACTGTAATCAAGATCTGCTGCACAGTTGAGGTTTCCTTCATGAGTGAGTGAGAACACTATCTACATATGGTTTATCACATGATGGTGGTTCGGAGTATGCTGTGAGGGTGATATGCCGGAAATCTGATTCATATTATATGATTATAATGTATGAGGGGTACAATTTAATTTACAGTGTGTTTGCACAGTATGAGAGCCTCTGAGTTTTGAAGAGCAATGAGACGCATTTCTGTGCTGATTGATTTCAGTTAAAAAGACCTGAAATCTCTACAAAAGACAGAGCTCATGTTTAACTTTATTTTTATTATTTATATTATATTTTTATTACTTTATTTGTATGGTGTGTTTATTTATCTTTTCACATTTTGTCTTAAAATGTGAACTCAGCTGTCACATACAGACCAGACTGTAAGCGTTTGAAAAGTTACGTGGTGCAGCAGTTTCAATTTGAAATAAAATAAGAGATACTACATTTAAATGCCAAATCTGAACTTTGATAACACCAACACTGAAAGAACTGTGCATGAGATATAACTCTTTTAATACTTAGTAACCAAAGCAAGGATTCAATAGTATGCTTTTATAGTAATCACCGGGTCTAGTGGATAATTCAGCTGCTGGTAAAAACCTCCTGAACCACTGACGCAGAAGGAATTCTAACCAGGAGGAGCTTACAGTGATGGTGGTGAAGAATACAACTCCTCCCTTTTGTTAGCTTGAGGGACCCCTAATGGCAAAAGACACATACTGTGCATTTAATTAAAACTAGATCAGTCTCCCATATTGATTAATTAAAATTTTATCCAAAAAACACATGCATAATATTTTGCAGTAAGTTAGCAGAGGAAATAACTTCACTTTTATAGCATTTTATAGAAAATGTTTTAAAAAGTTTGATTAAAAGTTTACAGTTAATGTTGACGGGGTTATATGCAGTAGTTTCTACTGCTATGGGTACATGGGATTACATGGGAGGTTTGCAATCACAGGAAAGGAGGTCTAGTCAGATTTGACTCCTGAAGTCTTCACTGGAGTTGAACTCAATCTGTCCTCCATGTCTCTCTTCCTCTGCTTCTTGACTGATAGACAGACCCACAGGAAGATAAAGAAACCTTGACAAAGAGACACACATGTTAGGTGGGTTTGTGAGCTGGTAAAAGACAAAAGCCCTCAGAGTCAAACACTACTCAAACCAAACTGAGAGCATACCTTGTGTGGAGTTGAGGATACAGAAAAGGTAGAGGATGGGGTAGTTGACATATCCTGAGCCCAGGAAGGCCAGGCCCCAGGTGGTCCCCATCAGGCAGGTAAGAGCCACCACAGTGAGGCTATTCCTGCAGGAGTCACTGAACCTCTGTGAGTTGCTGTGAGTCTTTCCCTCAGTCTCTCGTCCAAGGTTCAAGCTGTTCCTGAGCACTTGTTTCATCTTACAGATGCTCGAGGCCACTGCCATCAATATGCCAGAGTTGAAGATGAATATGAGGGTGAAATACACCAGGTTCAAGGCGTAGAAGAAGGAGTCATCTTTGATCCAGCAGCTGTGGGACAGGCAGGTAATCCATAAGACTATCAGAATATAGATTCCTAATATTGCAGAGAAGACAGATGTGGGTATACAGGGTACGTACAGTACAGTGAAAAGAACAGAAAAATGATCATGAACGTTTTAAGTTTCAATCCTTATGTTTTTTATGAGCCCTGTTTTTGATACTATTTATAGTTATCATTTTTTTACAGTAGCCATTCAATGTATTTACATTCTGTATTTACTTCTCCATATAATTGTAGTCCATTTAACCTCTGTCTCCTCTCTCACTCAGGGCAACGCGGAGGGGCGGGGCCGGTTCTCAGCAGCAGCCTCATTGCCCTCACCTGTTCCTGATTCCTTGCAATCAGCCTGGTTATTTAAGCCTCTGCCAAACATTCCCCTGTGCCACACGATTCATTCGTATGCCTGCTGTTCCTCACGATTCACGAGAACCTGCCTCGCCTCCTGCTCAGTATTTCCAGTGTTATTTCTAGTGTGCTAGTGAGTATTTTTTGATCCTGGACAACTTTAGTTTATTCCTGAGTTTTTTTGCTCCTTGTGGTTTTTTGGTTCTTTTTGTTGTTTTTCCCTCAGCAGCCGCTTGAGTGGTCCTCGGTTAGTTTTTTCCCTGTTGATGATTTTCATTTTTTGTAAATTTTGTTCCCTTTTTGAATCTGCAATTGGGTTCTGGCTCTCCTTATTTCAAATGTGACACCACCATTCCCATGAAGGATTCAAATAGTTTTATTTTATTACTGTAAACTGCACTGATGTTTCCACCAGTACCCATGGGTTTCGCCAAATTATTATCTACCAATTTACCAAGATTAGAACAGTCTTATACATTACATTTACATTTAGTCATTTGGCAGATGCTTTTATCCAAAGTCACTTACAAATGATATATATATGATATATATCATATATATATTTATACATTTATATATAAAAAATATATATATAATATATAAAAGCAATTACAATTTACTCACATAGCATTCGTTTGGTTAGTATTGGCCATGGTTGTTTGTGTAACTCCATAAAACTGTCTGAAGTCCTGCAATCCTGCAGAGACTGCCACGATTACACCAGGGATCCCTGAGAATCACACACACACACACACACACACACACACACACACACACACACACACACAGTTTAACATTATTTTACATCAGTGTGTGATATATATGAGGTTGTGGGCTACTGTCCTTTTGTAAAAATGAGCCCACAGGTCGTTTGTGCAGCAGGTTATTAGGGGGATATGTTGTTTCTATTATCCATGACCGTTCAGCAATGTTAACCACATTGTTATTATTGTAACCATGACAACAAAGACCATCTAATGTAGAGGAAGTACTTATTTCAAACTAAATCACAAGTTTTTCCTAAACATAACCAAGTAGTTTTAGTGCCTAGACCTATTATTATAGTAACCATGACATCAAAGGTTGGTACGATCCACGTGTTTATAATTGTAATCATGACAACCAAGTCCAGTATGCTTCCCGCTGTAGGGGCGCTATTCCAGGAGATACTCTATGCAATGGAGTTTGATGAAGGAAAACATTCATCCAGAGATATTCATATCATCCACCTACAATAGACGCCCCAGTTGCCTTCTTTCTGTGAATAAGGAAGCTCAGTGGATTTCCTCAGAAATAGTTTCCTTTATTAGTGTTTCTTAAAACATACTGACTTTCTGTCAGTGTCCTAGTAATACTGGTGTCATGTCAGTCATCACACATACACCACAGCATCTAGTAAATACAGTAGGTGCTCTCGCAACACTCACCCCATCCAGCAAGAGACAGTTTGACCATGTAGTGTTTGTAGTAGGTGTTAAACACCTTTATTAGCAGTAGATAGAGGTGAAGTGCCTCAATAGCCATCCAGGTGAAGCAGCAGAGCAAGGAGTAGTGCATGACAGCTGCGACAAATACACACACCCAGTCTGGCTCCACCGTGGCCCCCCACTCAGTCAGCAGGAAGGTTATATTGAGCATAAACAAGGCCCCGCTCAGAGATACATGAATAGAAATGGAGTAATCCATTCTGTGGTTTCTGAGGAGGAGAGAGAAGGAGAACAGGAGGGACATGTGATCAACCCACAGGAACAGGTAAGATGAGTGGTTTCTGATTCTGGATGTATCATCTCTTAACATGTAACTGCAGCATTACGATCTGAAAACACCAATCCAAAGCTGAATCCTTTACTTTTATTCTTCTGTTTATTTCGGGGTTTTTTTTAATCTTGTTTTTTAATTTTAAGTAGAAGACTTGGGGTTTCAAACCTGTGCCGTTTGGGGCTTCATCTAATAGTGTTATGAAACACTATTTTTATGAGTCGGTCACTGTTTTATATGAGTGATGCAATACAGATTTCTATCTGTGGTTTCACAGTATTGGACTTATGAACATGGTGATAGCACTACAAGAAAAAGGAATGCAACAATAAAGGCAGGAGAAAAGGATGATGGGGGTCTCTTAGCGACCTCGGACCAGAATGACTGAAATGGTGAACAAAGTCAGAGAGCATGGATGTGATTATTGGTTATAGGTTATATACAGGCGTGTGTCATTGAATCCCTCGATGTGTAGCTTATGTTTGGTCATGTGTGAATCTGCTGGATTTTAGCATTGCATGGCATATTTACATATTATGTATATATGTAATATTTACATACTACATATCGTACACATCATACCATCGTCTGGTCTCAGTTGGTATCAGACTTTTGGACCTCACCAAATATCTGCACAGAATGCAAAGAATACATTTATACCTACCGACTGAAGACGTACAACACGAGGGACAAAGCAGTGAAGAAAGCAGACAGGCTGCAACCTATGTAACTGAGGTATGACAGTATTTTCCAGTGGTCTTCTGCAATTGAGTTTCTTATCTACAGAAAAGATGGGATAGTGATTAACTGCTCGCAATTTACAGATAAACTTTTACTAACAACTAGTAATAAGTCATAAATGTAAGCAACAGGATTGTTTCATATAACGATAATACCAGTGCTGTATTTATTATTTCTTTTATGAAAGGTTTTGTATGATTAAAGTTATGTATAAGTTATAGTAATATACCATCAGGAACATGTCAGTCAAATTAAGTGTGTCTCTTTACCAATAGAACTGCAAAGGGTGTTGCATGGTTGCAGTTGCAAATAATGTCAGTTTGGTTAGTGTTGTTTGTCTCACATCCATTAGTTTTCCAGAGCCATTCTGGGAACATGAACAATACAAGTTAACTTAATCATTTAGTTAATTAGGCCTAATGCTTGCTGTCTGTTTAGCAAAATATCCTTAAAAGGCATTAAAAAAAAAATTCCACTGTATGTCACAAACACTCACACTTAATACCTAAGACACTATAATTACATATATTCATTACATAGTTAATACATAATAATTAGATGAATCAAAGATGAAAAATCACAAAGTTAGGTCAGCATAAACTGACACACAGTACACCTACCGCCTTCATCAAAATAGCAACACTGTAACCTTGAGTCATTCTGTAAAAAACAAAAATATAAAGCCGCTTTGAAATTAACTTGTATATACCATACATACTGCACAGTTAGAGAAGTTTATCCAATAAATCAAAAGTTAAAAAAAATAATAATAAAAATACCACCTCGCGGTTGTATCCCTCCGCCACACAAACTAGTTTCAGGTTACATCGCTGTTTATCCAGATTCATCTATAATTTTAACTATTTGTGTGAAATTTTGTCATAATTGTGAAGTCTTGAGTTATGGCTAAAAAGTTTTTTGTGAGGTCACACTGACCTTGACTTTTGACCACCAAAATCTAATCAGTTCAGGCATTGAGTCCAAGTGAACATTTATACCAAATATGAAGAATCTAAATGTGTTATGGAGATATTGCAGTCACGTGGCCAAAACCACATTTTGTGAGGTCACCCTGACATTGACCTTTGACCTTTGACCTCTACTCAGTTTCGATATCTTGACAGAACCTACTGATAATATTAAAGAGTGCATGCATAAACAGACTTACATCCATATGTACATGTGTAGAAACTCTAAAAATCATCTGGATTGGCGTTTTCAGATTTTTAAGGGGCTCCCCAAGTAGTTCAATCCTGAGGACCATCGATGAGATATTCTCCTGTTTGAACTAATGAGACAGTTTCATTATAGTCATGGCAGGAAACACAGGACACCATGACTTACAGCAGTGTGCATATGATATAATTGAAATACTATATAATCATAATATATATAATGGTTGTTAAAAGAGAGAGACATTTAAAATGTTCAATGTCAAACCAATAATGACCGAGAGCCATAACAGGGACTAAATTGTAAATGTAATTATATGAATTGAAACATGAAGGTGTCAGGATAGATTAACTCAAGAGTAAAGAGGACAGAGGATATACTTGGAACTGGTTGTGCTGCATGTAGCTGACCAAACCAATAATCCTATCCTTCTTAGGGATGTTGTGCAGGTCATTCACCGGCAGCCAAATGTCAGGGACAAATGATGCATTCTCATGCAGCAGCTAACAGTGGATATAAGAAGATGATGATCAATGTCGGGTAGTTTGTGGCGTCATGCTATCTTAATCATCACTGTTCCTTTTAAATTCATCAGCACCGTCTCCATCAAAGCTAGTGTACCTGTGGAGCATCTATCTGGATCTTAGGTTCTGTAGAGTTGAGTTCAGCATCACTGATGTTAACCACATTCAGAGACAACACCCTCAGGTTGTATTTTTTGGAGCCTCCATTCTCAAGCCGGGATGTTCCCATGATGTTATGGATTATCTGTCTTTCTGCACTGCAGAAAGAACCAAGAAGCAGTTGTCTAGTCGTGCAAACAGTCGATCAGTTAAATCAAGTTTACATCAAGTATAGAGAGATAGATTACAAAAGACTACCCTATCCTTTCATTTATTTATCATATTTGTCATCATAGTTCAGCTTGTTAGCATGCTAACATTTGCTTATTAGCACTAACCATAAAGCACAGCAGAGGATGATGGCCGTAAACCTAAATATTAGACTTTTTGACATTTTGACCTGATGATGGTGCTGGATGAAAAGTCATCTGAGTTCATCCTGGCGGGAGCATGAATGTGTGTGCAATATTTCATGGCAACCCATCCGATGGTTGTTAAGACATTCAAAACCACAACTGTCAACCTCTTGATGTTGCAAGAGGAAAAGTCAACGGATCAACGTCTATAGGGGAACCATGAATGTCTGAACCAAATTTAGTGCCAACTCATCCAATAATTGTTGAGATATTTTATTCTGGACCAAAGTGGTGGATCAACAGACCGACGTTGCTATCCCTACGGCCATGGCTAAAAACAAACAGTAGTGCAGACAATAATATGAATGAATGAATGAAACAAATGTGTCTATTCAGCAGCACACAGAGTAGCACATGCAGCAGGACTGACACTTACTTTATAAAGTCCTTCTTGACTTGATGGCTGGTACTGAAGAGCTCTGCACAGGAATCCCTTATGTAGAAGAGTTGCATCATTTCCCTCTGGTCAGCGGTGAGACTATCCAGAGGTGTAATCAGTGATGAGATGGAGCTCTGCTTGCAAAAGTATTGGGTGCAATTGCTATCTGAGAAGTGACATAGGAATCACATATTAGATGCAGACATATGATCACCCTGTTTGAGGAAACAGGCCAGTAGGGGATGGATATAAATCAGCTGCTGTACCTTTGAACACTTTCTGACTCTATCAGAGATAATGTGCTGCATAGTGCAGAGGACAGTGCTGCCCACTTTTAAAGGCCTATGTGTACAAAGTCAGCAGCCTACTTGAGAGACACTTTACTTACATGGTTCTATGTTATATATATTCTTGTCAATAAACGTTGTCACTTTGGTGTCTAAGCAACCAGATGATCCATTGAACCATGTCTGATTGCTGAATGTGCACTGAAAGATGCAGGGCTGTCCATCAACCTTGCAGTTCACACCCATAGCCTGGTTTTCAACGATGTTACCATCTGGTAGGGTAATGTTAATGTTGCTGTTTGAAATGTTGAAACAAACTGAAGAGAACAGAAACACAAGACAAGATTCAATCATTGTATCAGTGTATCTTACTGTCTTCAATCACAGTGACATGAAAAATAAAATTTTTCTAAATGTTTAATGGTTCAGTAGATGACTCATTGTGTAGAAACATTAGAATTACAATTCAGGCATTTTCAGATTTTATTGACTCCAGATGATGATCACATGGTAGGCTGTAGGATTACTGCAACAAATGGAGGAAATCTGAGGCTGTATCCACACTAATACGCTTCAGTTTTAAAACGCACAACTGTTGCTACGTTTACACCATAGAATGTAAATAAAGTTGGACCTAGTGTCCGTGACATCGCCCATAGGTTTCTGAAGAGTTGTTTTGAAGCTCAGAGAGGGCCGTTAACGCCGTCGCCATCTTGCCAGTACCTAATCCTGCCGGACTCTGGGCTAATACAAAAATGGGCAAAGAGTAGGGGCACGTGTCGAGCCGAGACTTTGGTGCATGCCGGCTTGTGGCAGGCATGCCATTGCCCACCAGTCCCCCTCATTTGTGCAGAACTTTAAGCTTTAATAAAATTTAAAAATTCACCCCCCAAACAGTTGTTATGAAGGAGGAATTTAGCTATAGAGACTAAAACTGTTTTTTTGTACCAGGCTGTAAACGGGTTTATTTCTCCTATAAAGTAAGGCATTTTAAAGTGGGAGTCTATGGGGATTGACTTGCTTTTGGGGTCAGCCTCAAGCGGCCATTCCGAGAACTGAAGTTTTTTTGTACTTCCGTGTTGGCTTTATTTTTTAGCCTCGGAGGTTGCCGCTTGGTTTACACCTGGCATCCGCACTATTCCAGATCACTCCCTGATTGGGTCTTATAAGTGATGACCACCAGTGGTGAATGCAACATAGATAATGATTTCCAAGTGTTACTGACCTTGTTGTCTTTAGTAGCAGCTGTTGTGCAGGTAATTCTGTATTTTATCACTTTACAACTGTCTTTGCTGTTCCTCGTTCCTTTTCTGCAACTAACCAACTGCAGAGTAGACAGTTTGCTTCTTGCATACCCAGTGTTCATGTGATATGCATTTTCATGTGTGTTAGTTTAATTTATAAATTCCGGCATGGAGCTAATTCACGCGTGTGGGAAAGTTTTCATTTTAAAACAGTTTTTTAAAATGCAGACTTATTAGTGTGCACATAGCCAAAGAGAACTCCACAGAACCAGGTCTCAGACAGTTCTGTTGTGTTCTACTGTGCTAGATGAACTCTCTGTGTGCTGCTGCTTTGACTGGAATAGGCTGGGTGTATAATAGATATGTTTTCAATTTCAGGTACACTGTTTCTTTAAGTTTGTGACAAGTAAAAATCAAAGACAAAAATTAGAAAGAAACAAGTAATATCTATTTCCATTGATTTTGAATAGATACAAACACTCTTTCTTTGGTGTGCAAAAGCTAAACTAATAAAATCAACATTCGTACTTTGGTCAGCAAGTGATTCAGGCAGCAGCAGTAACAGCAGTAAAGGAACCATTGTTCTTCCTCTGTGACTACTGGAATAAATAAGAAGTAGAAATAAAGTTACATTTTAGTACAAATACATTTAGTGTATCTCAGCTGTCAGGCAAATGTCATCCAAAAGAAAATACTTTTGCGTGGTCAGACAAGAAATCAACCTCTGCTACAACAAAGAAACTCATTTTCTATTCCTGAAAAAGTGTTCTGCAAGTGACATGAAAACAAATACTCACAAATATGAACTTACTCTCAAGTTTCCAACTGTGCTATAAATGCATAAAGAACAAAACAATTACATTTTTTTTCCCATGCTAGTCTTTGTCTCTTGTCCATGGACCCCGTCTACACCCAAATAACAAAGACAAATATGGGGTCACTTTACCTAAAATTCAAAACTCAAAAACATCCAAGACTCAAAGAGCAAACAACAGACATACTTGCTATGGCTTTTTGAGTCTCACCCTATAGCTGGTCAATTAAAGGAAACTCAACTTCAACTTTTGTACAGTTCCACAGTTGAAGCCCCTCTATCAAATCTATATCTATAAAACTAATTGACATGTTCAACTTTTCTTTTAGATCAAATTCATCAAAAATGAACATCACAATAATATATCCTAATAAAGGAGAGAAGTAGTTCTCTTCTTACCTCTGACGTGAACAGGATGAACCAGACAAACACTAGTGAGCTGTGCTCATGACTGGGGGTTTAAAGTAGAATACAACAGTGCTTGTGTTCGCTCTGCCGGAGGTGTTTGTCTTATGCAAATCTTTTTTTATCAGAGCAACAAAATTATACCAGGTGAGTTTGTTTGATTTTTATATGTCAACAGAAGTGTGAAATTATGTACAAAAAAGTCCTGATGCAGAAAACCACTAAAGACTATTATATTGATATGCCAGCCTATAGTGAAGTAGTAACGGTTAAAAACCTGCACATTAAAATAATTTATGCACATACATACAACCACACTGTCATTGCATAAATATATATGAAAAAAGTTTAATATGTGTATGACAAAATTCTAACAAAAAACAATTCGGGAAAAATGTTCACATACAGTATCAGTATTTCAAATAGAATATACAACAGATATATTTCTATTGCACTGTGCTGCAGGTGTAGGAGACAGAATCTACCTGGTGAGTTGCACTTAAAACCCAGATCAGATGTGGCCACGATGCAGGAAAGGCACTGTATGTGTGCTTTGAGGCAGAAAAACAACCTGCGCCAGTTCCTGTTTTCCCTCTCACCTGTGGATGATCCAGTGGGAGTGGATGCATTAGCCAGTAGACATACTTGGTGCTTTCTCTCTCTTCCCTAACAGTCATCCTGGGATCATATCATCACTTCACCATTTTCCCATACTCTTACATTTTCTTACGATTATCTGCCAATGCACCAGACAATGAAGTTTAGAGGATGCAGAGCACAGTAGTATAAGTATTTTGGCACGAGGGCTCCTACTGCCTGCAGAGAACTAGGGTTACAATGCACAACCACACCTACAATATAATAAATTATGGGCTGGAGAATTAGAGCTGCTTCTCTTTTTGTTTAGTTGGTTTCCTGACACAGCTTTTCTTTCAAAATGAAAGAGTTGCTAAAGGTGTGACTATCACAGATAAATACTCCTTGGTTCAAATGTTCATACACTTGTGAACATAGTGGTTGAGGTAAAATAATGTAATGTTTTCCTGCATTTTGCCCAATGGATGGTTAAATAAACCCCTCACCACAAAGTTTTTATGAGCACAACACGGGTATATTTATGACACTTTAAATTAGCACTGATCTAAACTAGAAATAATGATGTCAAACTTTATAGTATTTCAGTATAACTTCCCCCGACACCCATAAACACACACACAAAAATGGCTTGGTATAATATAAGGCTTAGGTGTTGCTGGTATGTGTTTCTTTGCTTGTCTTTGTAGCTGAGTTTCTATTCTTCTTCAGAGACATCACAAACCACAGGAAGATGAAGAAACCTGTGTGAGTCAGAAAGAGAAGTGTAGTGTTTGAGAGTGTATACAAGAGGAGGAGAGGATTGTGCAATTCATGCAAATTCCACTGATAAACAATCTAAATGTGCCTGGTCGCTCTTTATCAATATACAAATAGCCAGGCCAGCATCCGCAACAATATAAAGCATGTATTTTAAAACTATGCACCATATATTCTTGACGATGCAAGTGTCTTACAATAGATGAAGCTTTTCCTGTAATCATGTCAGCTTGCAACAGGAATAAAATTCCTCAACCTGCATGGGTAAGAATCCAGAGACTTTATCCCTTTATTTGATGACACAGAAAACTGTCCTTGCTCTGCTGTACAAATTTGTGTTTCCATTACACATTTACAGCCAGGTAGGCCTGTATGGTGTGGAATGGACAAAGGTTTCCAGTTTCTGCTCTTAACCAACTTAGTTGGGCATAAACGGGTAGTAATACAAAGACTTGCTGCGGTTAGCTTTCAGTAATTCTGGAAGTTACACACTTCCTTATTCCAATTCATATGGCCCAATCTGAATGTATACATTTCCCACCATCATAAATTGGCAATGTTGCAGTTACACTATGTGGTATATTAGGTACCACAACATATACAGAATCTTTTAAATTTGTCTCATGTAAACCTTTCTGTTATATTTACAGCAACATCAGAACATAATAGAGTCAAACATGTGGAAGCAGCTTGTTCAGACCTTGCAGTGAGCTCAGGATGCAGAACATATAGAGGCCAGGAGTGGTCAGGTGGCCAAATGAGAAGAATATCAGGCCCCAGGTGATGCCAAGGAGAGTGACGACTCCCATCAGGGTACAGATGTCTCGCTTGACTCTGGCACTGTCACTCTGCCCATTTTAGCAGGTCATAGACAATCAGAGACTATCAGTTAGGCACCATCAAATGTATGTGAACACCAAAACTGCTTTTAACCTAGTTTAGAAAACTCCTGAGTGTAAACACATTGCATGCATATCAAATGTATTTACCAGACAGGAATGAAAGGTTATGATGATAGTGCATATATATGTACATATAATGTAAATATACATATATTCTTTAGTCTTTTCTCTTTTTTAAGGCAAGAAGAGCAGAATGCAAACAGTGCAGCTTGACCCATACCTCATTGCTAGGGTGGGAACTCAAAACACGTCTGACTGTCACCCCGAACAAGATTACATTAAAGATGAACACCAGGGCAAATACTCCCACTGTAGTCACCAGCTTTACTGTGTCATTGGTTATATAGCATCTGCAAAGTGAGGGAGAATAAATAACAACTTAAAATCATAAACTGTCAAATCAAACATTCTGTAATACAAGTACAGATTCAGGTGTCTACAGAATTCATTATACGCAGTAATAATATCCCTGGAGTTAGTAGGAATTCAATGTTTTAACTTTAGGATATTAGATGTTTGGTAAGGGTTTGCTGCCAATGAAATGGAAGCTATTTCCTCTTATGATTTACTGTTGTAACTGTGAATGGTCCTCAAATACACAGACCCTCTGATGCACATGCAAAACACTTTGCATGTAGACTGTAAGTTACTTATTAGTCTAGATTGTACATGCTTGCAAATTTGTCCCTCTTCTCCCTTACATCATAGTGCTGTTGGGGTTAGAAGAGTCCACAGAGACGTGACCATAGGCGTCTCTGTCTATGATCATCACCAGTGACACAATGACTGCAGGAACACCTGCAGGAAACACAAGGATTAAAGCAAGGCATTGATCTTTTCACTTAAACTGATACTTACAACTTGTGGGTCCCTGGCCTTGGTGACGCCACTCACCCCATCCCACCACAGCCAGTTTGAGCAGGTATCTCTTGACATAGATATTGAAGACTCTGACTAGGAGAAGGTAGATGTGGAACCCCTCCAAGGCCATCCAGCTGAAAGAGGCCAGTAGGGAGTAGTGAAGACTAACAGCCACGTAAAAGCAAAGCCAAGTGGAGGACAGATCCGCCACTGCCTTACTGGGCATAAAGTGTATGTTGAGTAGGATTAGGGCAACGGCGAGGTTGATGTGGATCTTCATAGCGACATCTGCTCTAACTTTTCTGTCAAACAGAGAAGAATTGATCTGCGTTAAATTATGCACAGACATATCATAGCAGGGTTCCCACTATTCTCTCAAGATCATTTTACAGGACATTTTTAGTGATGATCAAGCTCATATGACAGGAATCACACCATACAACAATATCTTCCTATCTGTGGAAGTCTGATTTGAAATAAGAGCAGTCTAAACTTATACATGAAATCATCTCTTACATGCTTAATTAATTATGAAATTATGACAAATTGATCTTTGTCAAATAAGAATGTATCATTATTATCATCAATATGAATGTATAACCTGATTAACTTTTTCCTCATGAATTATATTAACCATTAAAGCCAATAACCCAAATAGTAGCCAACAACGTTCACTACTGACAAATCTATACTGAACTTTACAGCTAAATGTACGATTCAAAGTTGAATTTGCTAAGATTATTTACTGACGCTGTGTCAGTTTATCACACTTTAGCCTCCTTACTAGTAACAAGAACATACATACTTTTAAAGGATAATCTAACTGAGTTTCAGCCACTTCCGTTGTAAATCATTCAACCTGCAGCATGTGACGTGACTTCAGGCTGCCTTTACAGCATTGCCAAACAATGATGATAGCCGCCTATTCAAAAATACTGCTGTCCATAAACTGGCCGACCATTCGAACATCAACATGATCCTGAACATGACTTAGTCCGACAACGGGAGAATGTTGAAATAATTTTCCAGGACAACACAGGACATTTTACTTGTTCTCTCATTTTGCATGTGTTTTCAATGACTGGAAATCATCTGTTTTCCAGGTTTTGCATGATGCGTGGGAACTCTGCATAGTGACAGTGGTAGCATTTTTAAGTAACTGCAAGGAGGAAAGGATGCTGCTTTAAATGAAAATATATCAGAGGGAGGGTAGGATGAAGATAAGAGGGTATAAATGACGGTGAAAAGTACCTATTGATGATGAACAGGAAAATGGTGATGACCAGGGCAAAAAGTGAAAGACTACAGCCAATCAGAGAGATGTATTTCAGAATCTCCTGGTCTTCAGGTGAGATGTCAGCAGGCACCTGCGGAGAAAATAGATGATACATAATGAAATACATTAATTTTGTCTCGCACCTGCACACTTTCTGTATTTCGACAGTAGTTACAAATTAAACTATGTTACAGTACACAACATTGCTAAAAGCAAGTCCGCCGACATCCAGTTTTAACATTAAATTGCTCCTTACACGTTACCACATCAGTAATAATAATAGATAGAATAGAATAGAATATACTTTAAATATAGGATAAGGAGTGTTTCATAAAGCCTTGTACATAACGACTGATTTAACTATCAATACCAGCATACCTTGGCATTTTGCTGTTAATACTTTATTACTTAAGAGAAATTTAGAATACCTGATTACTGGTAATTGATCTTTTCGTGTGGCATTGCTACTTGTACTTGAAGTCACTGTGTAGAATTTGATTAATGTTAAACTCTTGTTCCATCTAGTGGTAGCATCAAGGATGACACAGCAATTCATACCACTACAGAGCAGTGCATGCTTTTTAGTTGAAGAACACATCAGAGTTCATAACAAATTAATTTCTGTACTATATGTCATCTTACTGTGCACAATTATTCTACATATCACAGTGTAACATCAACAGTGTGTAATAACATGTAGATAATATTGATGTCACATGACATCCATTGTCATATGAAGATCTAACTGTACATAACACATGCAGATTAAACCGCCTTATAACAGCCATATATTTTTTCTTCTTATAACCCGGTGAAGACCTTAATCTGAATGTTGTTTCACATGGGGACAATGATTTACATCTTTTTGAGGGTTAAGACATGGTTTTAGGGTTTGGGTTAGAAATAGGCTAGGGATAGGGTTAGGTATTTATTTGTGATGGTTAATGTAAGGCTAGGGGATGCATTGTGTCAATGCGTGTCCCCTCTTCCCCACATTCACCCATTATACAGTGGCAAGAAAAAGTATGTGAACCTTTTGGAATGTCATGGTTTTCTGAACAAATTTGTCACAAAATCTGATCTGATCTTCATCTAAGTCAAGGGTATTGACAAATATAATGTGTCTAAAATAACACAAGAAAAAATCTGATCTTTCATGTCTTTATTGAACACACTCATTCAACATTCAAAATGGCAGTGGAAAAAGTAAGTGAACCCTTAGAATTAATAACTGGTTGACCCCCCCTTAGCAGCAATAACCTCAACCAGGCGTTTCCTGTAGCTCTGGATCAGAACTGCACATCGTTGAGGAGGAATTTTTGCCCATTCTTCCTGACAGAACTGCTTAAGCTCTGCCATATTCTTTGGACGTCTCATGTGTATGGCTCTCTTCAAGTCAATAATCCATAGCATTTCTATTGGGTTGAGGTCTGGGCTCTGACTTGGCCACTCCAAAAGGCGGATTTTGTTTTTCTGGAACCATTCTGTTGTGGACTTGCTCCGGTGTTTTGGGTCATTGTCCTGTTGCATCACCCACTTTCTAGAGAGTTTCAGCTGATGTACAGACAGTCTCAGATTATCCTGAAGAATTCTCTGATAAACTTGGGAATTCATCTTCCCCTCAATGATTGCAAGCTGGCCAGGCCCTGATGCAGCAAAGCAGGCCCAAATCATGAGGTTTCCTCCACCATACTTTACGGTTGGGATGATGTTTTCATGACGATATGCCGTGCCCTTTCTACGCCAGATGTAGTGCTGGGTGTTTTTTCCAAATAGTTCAATCTTAGTTTCATCAGTCCACAAAACATTTTGCCAATACCGCTGTGGAGTGTCAGTGTGCTCTTTTGCAAACTTCAGGCATGCAGCAATGTTCTTTTTAGTAAGCAATGGCTTCCTTCGTGGTGTCCTGCCGTAGATACCCTGCTTGTTCAATGTTTTACATATTGTAGACTCATGAACAGAGATGTTAGCCATTTCCAAATGATGCCTTCAAATCTTTGGCTGTCATTCGGGGTTGTTTCTTTACCTCATTGATGAGTCTTCGTTGTGCTCTTGGTGTCATTTTGACTGGGCGTCCACTTCTTGGTAGAGTAGCAACAATCCCAAAGTGTCTCCATTTGTAGATTGTTTGCCTAACTGTAGACTGGTGAATTTCTAAAGTCTTTGAAATCACTTTGTAACCCTTGCCAGCTTTATGTAAATCAACAATTCTTGATCGTAGATCCTCTGAAAGCTCTTTTTGGCGAGGCATGGCTCACATAAACGTGTTCTTCTTTTGCAAAACAAACTCCAAAAGTTTGAGGGGTTTTTATCAGTCAAAGTAGCTTTAGTCCACACCCCCAAAGTCATTGTCTTAACGAGACTCCAGGTATGCTAAAACCTGACACCAATTAGCTTTTTTGAGGTCATTAATTCAAGGGTTCACATACTTTTTCCACATGCACTATGAGGATTTTTTGGTTATTCTCAGTAAAGACATGAAAGATCATTTTTTTTGTGGTATTATTTAAGACACATTATATTTGTCAGTACCCTTAGATGAATATCAAATCACATTTTATGACAAATTTACTCAGAAAACCATGAAATTCCAAAAGGTTCACATACTTTTTCTTGCCACTGTATATACTCCATTTGTGATGTCTATATTTTTTTTAAGGATTTTACACAACATTGTGGTTTCTGTTGTGTCACATGTTTTACTCTGTGTGTGTGTGTGTGTGTGTGTGTGTGTGTGTGTGTGTGTGTGTGTGTGTGTGAATGTGCAGTCTTGATGAGTCACTGATCACTTTTTTGTGATTGTCTCATGATGAAAAAGGCCAGTCCTACCAAGAGCACACCAAAGTATGTGAGGTGGTCACAGGAGCAGGTGATGTGACTCTGTCCACTGTCCCAAAGGGTTAGGCAGCCCTCACTACAATATTCTGGTAAGTCAAACAAAGACAGGATCTATAATGCATATGATGGTGTCACACTTGAATTACCACAAGGACACAAAGAATCATACTTTGAAATAACGGTCTTAGTCATTGTTATGCAAGATGAAGCTGATGCTTTGTTACTCACCTTTTCTTGAAAAATCATAGAACACACACTTGGGACTTTTAGTCTCCTATGACAAAAATAACAAAAATACAAGCATGCATTATTCGATAATGAGACAAGGTTACACAATGTAAGATTGGGAGTAAATGATCTGTGAAATGAAGTTTTAGTTACATTTTTGTCTGTGGAAAGAGCCATGGTGATGGTGACAGGCTCCTGTAATCCTGAAATATTCTTGCTGCGCACACTCAGGCCAACCAGTCTGTTTTCATACAGTACACCTGGGGCTCTGAGTATGGTCTATAGTACAACAGTCATTCAATTAGTTTGACAGTTTATCCAAGACAATTATTGTATTCACCTTGTTGTACCCACTTTCCTTCATAAGAACTTTTCTAATCTTGCATTCAATCACAATTTGCATGTTACTGCAGAGAGCAATAAGGAAAAAAAGTGACAGCTGTTTGTTCCCCTTACTAAAAACATGTCTTACTGCACCATTGCATTTGGGGATATTGCTTTTTGTCACAAACTGACATCTCTTCTTCTTTTGTGTGTTTTATTTATGCAAAATGATGACCCAGAGAGCTTTACCTTTACCTACTTACTACAAACCAAAAAATAAAGAATATAAAGTTTATGTGTGAAATCGCTACAATATTTTTTTCCCCTCTTACATGTAATAGTGGCTCTAGGTTTCCTTTGCATTTGTGTGGGCCACATTAAGTACATTTAGCCAGGTAAAACAACGATGGAGAAAAAATGTCTACTACTATTTACTTCAATCAAAGAAATTGAATACAACAATGCTGGTCATATTATCAACATTTTGAAATGAATGGACCTGTGCCTTATATGAGTTGTCACAGTTTGTCCTTCTGTGGTTAGAATAAGCAGTTAGTGGACAGTTGGAGAATGCGGTCTTTCCAAGATATATGAGCTTTAAATTTCAAAAATGTCTCCACGCCAAGTATTATTAAGACAGATTGTGACATTTCACATAGTTCCTCTTTTAACCTTGTTCACTATTCCACGAGTTGCACCCATCCCTTTTACTAAATCATGCAGCTGCTAGGAAGAAGCTCATAATGGCTACAAAATTATTCCTAAAGGTGTCATAGGGTGGATGTTTCCTTTAGTATTACATTAGAACTTCTAATTCAAAGCATGTGAGTTTAAAGTTATTTCCAAAAATATGTAAACACAAATACATGTACACACCACAGGAAAGGACCTAGTTTCATCTAGTTTCAAAAGCGTCCCTGCCCACAACTGAGACAGCCCACTAACAAATAATTAAGGACATGTTCTCCACATGCAGTCTCTGCAAACTGATGTTTACAGTGTACTGAAATGAACACAAACCAAGTTACAATTATACTGCAAAATTGAAGGCACCCACAACTATAACAAGAACTGCATGTCAAAGTGGAACCAGTGGAGTAGCTGTGCAAATGCTATAGACAACTTGGGTCCCTTGGTTTTCAAGTAAAAAAAAAATTGTTTATGTAAATGATTTAAACTCAGAGTTCAAATTCTGATTGCCTATGTACTAAGCTGAATTTTAGTGGTCAGGGGCATAGCTACAAAATTCTGAATGGTAGGCCAGATGATGGTAGCAGGATCATAGGAGAGTATCTGTGTGTCTCTGTCATCAAACTAGTGAATAAAATGATTTCAGTCATAAGCAATGGAAGAAAAACTATACTACTAACTACAACTAGGCAAAATAAGACCCAGACTTGGTTCCTTTAAAAAAATTAAAAAAAAGATAGAATTTGGGCTAAGAGATGCAAAACCAAGAGTGATCCTTTCACTGCACGCTGTTAAAAGCTCTACAGAGTCTTTTCGACAACATTTTGCATAAATTAGTGAAGATTCTGACCCAGTTTGTTTGCAGCCACGTAATCATACAAAACACAATCGTGTTGTCTGTTCCAGCGTACAACTCTCTTGGCAGTCGAACATTCACTTTGCTGTTGGTGACCGACTGGTTTAATGCTGCCTACATCAGAAAAAGAACAGGAACAGGTGCACAGAGCAGGAAGAGAAATAATGTCACAATATCTGTATCAGAATAATGCAACTCATTTATATCTTACATCAGAGAGAAAAAACACTTGAATTTACAAGTAAGGCTACAGTATAAATTCTCTATTAGGAAGCCTGGGTCAGAATTCAGATAAAGTATATTTGGAGATGAAGAATGAAGAAGCACACTGCATGATATGAGGTCATACTTTTGGATGGGGAATTTGCTCACCTTTTGGAAAAATTTTGAATAGGTCACAATAATGATTTTATTGTTGAGCTGGCTTTGGTGTTTATATGTGAGAACACACTTCTGACTACTCAATACTATTAAAAGAAAAGAAGACTAGGAAGAGTTCACGTAAGCAGCATTGCCCTGTCTGCCTCCATTTTACTACACATTACTCATCGTAGGCAAATAGGATGGCTTAATATTTAAATGCCTGTATTTGTTGCAAAACAAGTATCTGTTAAACAAGACTAGGTGTCTACAACCATGTTAGCAGCTGTACTTGGGCACAGCACTGCACTGAGCTAAATGTCTGCATGTAAACATGCTGACAATGACAATGCCAATATGCTGAAGCAGGTATAATGCTTTCCATGTTCACCATCTTAAGTATGTTGGTATGTTAATATGGCTTATACATGTGAATGTGTTTTGCAGGTATTTATAAGACAAGTTAAAATGTTTGACCTTTTGGTGGTGCAAGAGGAAAATACCAACATTATTCAATTCATTCTGATGGGCTGAGGAATGTGATTCAAAATTTAATAACTTTATGCCAGATTACATGCCATCCTTATTCGGGGGGGGGGGGGTTCGGGGGATCACCAGAGTACATCATTTGGGAACCATGAATATTTGTACAAAATTTCATTGCAACCAATCCAATAGTTACCAAGATATTTAATTCTGGGCACAACTGGAGGACATTGCCACTAGATGGCTAAAAAATCAACCATCAAATTCAAAATGTCATCATGACTCTGACTTTGACTTAATCTCCAAGACAGAACAAACATAGCCTTACCTCTGTGTCACTGGCATAAATGTCCACGCCTTCAAAAGGGTATTTGGGTTTGAGCAGGACAGCCACCAAATGAGGGACAGACATGCATACAGTTTCATTCACCTGTGTTTCCTCTAGAATTTGTTCTAGACACTCAATGGTTCTTGTGGAAAAGAACAAGAAATTATAATGATTAGTCTGATTTTCAATTGTTTTAAACCCTCACATTTAACCTAGATCACAAAATGCCTTAATCTTCAACATCAACCCATGTACATATCTGATACATTTTTAAAGTTATTCACAAACAACAACAAACGAACATTACTCACACAACATTAAAATCCCAAAAGATTAAAAAAAAAATTATTCTTTGATATGTAATTAAAATGTTTACTCAATAGAGTCCTGGCCATTTCCACTGTTCAAAATGCTGTTCACGACTTCCATACAACATTTAGCATCTGAAACCGCTGTAGAACAAATACTTTGTTAATATCCATATATATATATATATACGTATATATATGTGAAACTATGTATTAAATAATCTTACTTGGTCTTTTGTTTGGAATCATCTCAGATTTACAATGTTTTGGACATGAACCTTGATTTTCATCTTCGTGTGAGCCTGAATCCCCTTCCTCATATGAATCTGATGAATCTGATTTTTTGTCCTCACATGACATTTGACTTCCACTAGGACATTTATTATGAAACACCAAAGACAGGAGCAGCCACCAGAGGAACCACCACTTCATCCTGTGAAGAGGATCATTCAGAATGAAAACCTGTTTCTGCTTTATTAACAGATACGTGTCATGAAATCATTCCTATGGAGCAATGGCTGTAGAGCTTTACATTTTACCAAATATCACTGTTAATGTATTTCAGCCATAGACCTTCCTCAGAGCATGAGTGGTGTTATCAAATCATATAATGTATATACATCACAGTGAAGGCTATGATCTAATTCAACACAGCATACAGCAGACCACATCCAAAAGGTGAATAAACACTCAGTGACAAGGAGAAGAGTGAAGTGAAGAGGAAAGAAACCAGCAGCAAAATACACTCTAATATAAAGGACTGGAACAGAAGAATACAATTGTATCATGCATCAGAATTATTACAAGAACGATTTAAAAGTAAAATTATCATTCAGGCCTTGCTGCCTTTTTTGATTGGTCATCAAATATATGGCAAAGAAATAGACATTAAATCTGACTAAAAGGGGCGTTGTGTGGTGTAGTGGTCTAAGCAGGCGCCCCATGTGTAGAGGCTACGGTCTTCGCTGGCCCCGGTTCGAGTCCTGCATTAGACAGCCTTTGCTGCATGTCATTCCCCCTCTCTCTGCCTCCTCATTTCCTGTTTCTCTACTGTACTATTGAATAAAGGCATAAAAAAGCCCCCAAAAAAATATACTTTAAAAAATCTGACTAAAACACTGAAGAAAAAAAATCATGTACACACTTGCAATCACCAAACTACATTTATTGATCTCAACTGGGAATACAACAGCAAATGTGTTTACACAAGTTATTTCCATACAATTAGCTAAATAACCAATAGGCCTTATATCAACATCAATATACACAGTTAATCATGCAGTTCTGAGAAGAATCAAATACATAGTCTGCTTACCTTTGTATGTTGCTGAGCTCCTGTAGAAATGATTTAGACTGAAGAGAATACAGAACACAGCTGATGTGACAGCAGGACAAAAAACAAGTGACGAAACCTGCTGAAACCAAACAGCTTCATGTGAAGTAAAGGAAGTAAAAAAAAAACAACCCCCCCCCCCCAAAAAATGTAAATGATATTCTGAAATAAAAAGAGGAAGCAGCAACAGACAGAAAGCTAAAAAAAACCCAATATCTCTTACCTCTGTCGCCACTGAATCTACAGTAAACATTAAATTAATTAAATCTTCAAAAACAGTTATACTCACCACAGGACATCGAGCATTCTGTAGACACATTCAGCACTAATTTGTGGTTTTGTTTAGAAACTAGTTCATCCTGAACTTTTGGTTCACTGGTGGATATGATGCACATCACTTGGTTTATGGCTGCATGTCTCTACTCCCACCAACAGAGGGGAGTGACACATTAAAAAATCAACTGAAACAAGGTGTTGAGAGTTGAATGTATTTAAGTATTTGATTCTCCAACTTGTATATGTTGTGATTTCTTTCTTTCTAATTACAAGAAAGAAACCAAAACTGGAAGAAACAGTTATCTAAAAAATGTATTTCTGTTACAGGCAGAAATTTGAATTGTGTCTCTCCTGGCAGCCCGGTCAACACAATTGCATTCCACATGAAAGTTTGATCTGTGTTTCAAGTGATGCCATTCCTGTTTTTTCTTAATACAGCCATACTTTCTGCTTGTCAGTTGTGACTTTCAATTGAGAAAAAAAAAACAGAAAAAAATCAAAAACAAACATAAAACACATAAGTGCATTATTCATTCCATGTTTTCACATCATTATCAAGAATATAAATGAAATTCCTGAGTCCTCTGTCAGGCCCGTGTGACTTGATGAAGAAGTAATGTTGTTTGGTGTTTGGAGCTGGAATTGTCATCAGAAGAACCTGCTGCATGCAAACCACCTGTTTAATTATAATACGGACAAATATGTGTTTATGGACCCACCTGTAGTTTGTGACACTGCGCATACCTTCCACGTGTGTATGTGTGTGTGTGTGTGTGTGTGTGTGTGTGTGTGTGTGTGTGTGTGTGTGTGTGTGTGTGTGTGTGTGCTTTATCCATCAGCAAGTTTACTGCTTATTACATACAGGTGGCCCTTCTGCCAGGTGGCCCATATGGCACAGGGACAACAAGACAGAATAGACTTATGGAAGGAGAACAGAACCAACAATGTAAGTATTGTGAATATATGCATGTTTGGTTTGTTTTGCATTACTGGAATTACTTCACAGTACAGGAAAAAGCCTAAAGCCCACTGAAGCACATTGCAGCATTTCTCATTCATTTCTGTAATATATATTATAATAAGGTAACACAGTCCATGTAGTAAAGAGGCACCATTCTTTTGGTTATAATGGAAAAATTTCATACAAATACATAAAAAAATGTAATATGATAAATTTACTCCATGCACTTTAGGTTTAGGGAGGCACTACCAGTGACCATTGAAGACTATAGCACTTCTTCTCCTGTGATGACAGAGCTGTGTGGAGGTACTGTCCTGCAATAAAAACCAACAGTAACTGTATCAATGCTTGACTGTAAAAAAAAATCACTTCGAATCAGATTTTGTGTATCCTGATGGCTTAAGACCATATGGACCAACCATGTGTTGCATTTAAATGCAATAGGCCTTTATCATTCTATCACCTTCTCTCTCACCATCCTTATCTTTTTTTTATGACTCCTCAATTAATGAGTAATGCCAAAAAATATATGGATATTGGTTATTTAGTAGCTGTTATGCTTACAATTTCCAGTCTTGAACCAGTAAGGATTAAAAACCATTCTGCAAGTAGCTACTTCCTTTTGCCCTAGAGCAGATCCACTGATAGGGATCTAATTATGTGGACATGTCTGTCCACAGTCTCCACAGTGGGAGCAAATGACAGGGACTGCCCCAGGAACTAGGATCACTCTCTGCTGTCCTACCAATCCATCTGCACAGATGACAGGTGCTTCCTTTTGACCTGGGCACATGTTAATTAACACACTTTTTTTTTCTGACAAAACCTTATTTCTTATGAGGGATTCAAAGTGATAGATTTCTATAAAGACTAAGTTGTCAGTTTATTAGGTACTCCAAACTAAAAAAAAAAAGGTTTGTGGTGCTGTTGAACTGTATTGTGTTATACAGAAATGTTTTTCTGTTATTGAGTCTATCATCATTGATTCACTGTGTGTGTGTGTGCGTGCGTGCGTGTGTGTGTGTGTGCGTGTGTGTGCGTGTGTGTGTATGTGTGTGTGTATGTGTGTGTGTAATGTGTCAATTACCTCTGTGTGGGGGAGCTTAAAACACAGGGGGGAGGGTCATGTCCGCCTCGGGCTCTGCTCCCTCTCCACTTCCACCTCCGTCCGTCTGGTTGATAAGGGCATTGTAGTGGTTTGCGCCATCAAGTTAACCCCAGAAAGATAAGACATTACCGGAAATGAGATCTGCCTTCAAAATAAAAGGCAAAAAGTAATCACATGGAAGGAAAGTTTAATGTTGAGTTTTCAATTAAAAACATCAGCATGTAGTTTGCAGTTCGATAATCCGTCGATGCCTATGCAACATGTTTATCACATTAATCAAATAAGTTAATATATGAGTTTCACGTGCTCCCATAAATAGTTATGACATTTTTCCCTCTGAAATATTCTCCCATTAACTGTTAAAACGTTTTCATAAGTTTTGATCGGATAAAATCATCTTTCTATATTAGTGTGCTATAGAGCTCTTTCATGCATAGTCTTGATTCTCATGACAGTCAAGAGTCATCTGAAATCAGGTTACTTGGGCAACCTTTTATTTTGAAATTCATAACAGGAACACGTCGTCCAAGTGCTGTTACTTTAGAAGCAGGCATCTCCACGTTAGGGTACCGAAACACCATAAGCAGCAGACCACTACGTCCTGCTCCGGTAGGGAGAGCGAAGCGTGTGAGCGTCTTACTCAGGACAGGACCGATAGCAACTAACTAAGTACCGGCCTCCGACAGTATGTCCTGTGGGAAAAGGGAAAACTGGATATAAAGGGCGAAGAAACGCTAAATATATTCTTTTTTTCTTTCTTTCTTTTTTCTTTTTACAAGAGGTCGCGATATATAACAACCGTGCTCGCTCTCAGCTGCGACACTGCTTGAAGCTGCTGTTGTAGGATTCGGTCATGTGCGGTGAACTTTGAGCTTATTTGGTTGTTGCTTTATAGTTTTGCAACTTTCTCACTTCATTAAGCTTTATCACGTGAAGAGGTTGTTAACCCACTGGATTTGAAAATGTTAGAAATAAATGATTTAGTGAAGCATTTCTGCTGTAGACCCATTTTGCCGATTGCTGGAGACGTTGTGGGTCTTCTGTAAACTGCACATTCAAGGTTACTAATAAAGCAACGACTTTGATGTTAATTAAATGAGCTGCGCGCTCTGGTAGGTTAACTCCAGCCACAGATAACAGCAATCACTGCGTAAAGAAAGGTGAGGCGGTCTATCTGTCATTTGTGTAAACGAACTTGACGGAGAAAGCTGCATGGACTCAAAGGGTCACATATCAGTGCAAACTCACCGACATTTATGGAGGGTTACTTTGTAATGCGGCTCTGACTGTAAATGTGTAATGGAGCTCTTTCCCAGGATACAAGTGCACTGTTGAAGGCTGTCGTAGCATCACGTCTAGGGAATAGTTTGCTACTGTTTTTTTATGAGGGTTTTCACCGCATAAACTAGCAATACTTAGAGTAAAAACCTCGACAAACGACAACTGAGACCATGGCCTCCACCTCACGGGACCGCTGCTTTTGGTTGCTCTGGAGACGGACCCTCCTCGCGCTGTGGCTGTGCGCGCTCGGGGCGAGTGGAGCGGAGGATGACAGCACCTTCAACGCAGAGGTAAAAACACGTACAGCAGCTTTACAACTGTACACCAAATAAAGCCAATTACTTACCAAATACAATGAAACAAAAGCAGCAGAAGTTAGAGATGACTTTATAATATTGACTTGTTAAACAATTTACCATTGAAAGTGACAACAAAGGAAAGACCGGGAATTCACCATCAGAAAGACTATAAACAAATTAAAATAATCACATAACAATCGCATTCAAATGTTAACAATGATCACGATGTGCTGTTAACAATTCATATTTATAGATTATAGTTGAACGGTAATTTGATTTGCCTCATTTCAATCAGCTGATATGAAGGCATGATGTTTACCTGTGTAATATCTTAAAATGTGCCCCAGCCAGTCAGAATTGAGGCAGGACTACCCACTACACAACATCTGGTTAACGTGACTAATATTAATTACATCATAATTAAAATCCCCTCAACACACTTGGGTTTCACATGTGGTTCCTCATAAATGACTATGTAGCAGGCACAACAGGAAATCAAAAATCTTCTTGTCAGGGACCCACTCTTGACCATTCTCATCTTCATCATATTGTCCCCTATAGGACTTCTATCTCTTTCCATGTCACACCATTCTCAAACACCCTTAGTTGTCTCTGGATTAATCGCTGTGCTAGATTTTAGGAATCGTGTCTCTTTCCCCTCAGGTGAACATGCAAAAACACAGAAAAGCAAAGCATTACTCACCTTATAGACACTTATACTGATTATAACATCAGAAACCACTGTTAGGAATCTAACTACATCAGTTAATCATCACAAAACAGAGAAGAATCAGTATGATATATGAAATTGACCAAATTATATCTGCATCAAGATATTCAATGGTGGCCAGTTTTTCACATTGCTCATTTTGCCTCACCAGTGCACATTTACTCTATGTTTACAATTAGCCACCAACTGTCAAGTCAGAACTTGAACCAGTACATTCTTCTTCCATCAGTGTTTTGAGAGACAGTTCCCTATAAGTTGACTTTTTAGAATTAGTGGTGGAGCTCTTGTTTCTGTATTAGTGTGTTGTTTGACAGAGAGAGAGAGAGACAGAAGGGGAGGCTGACAAAAAGGCTTCCAGGTCATTAGAGGGGAGCTTGCATTATCAAAAACCCAGTGACCGGGGGTCTGGTTGTCAGTCAGGTTACAACACATTCTGATTGGGTATTAACATAGCTGTGGTACATGCGGTGTGCAGTATGTGCTAATGTGTCTCACTGAGACAAGGGCTGTAAGGTTTACACAATGTTTGGACTGGTGAGAAGTTCCTAATCACTTGTTGCTAAATGTGTTTGTGTGTGTCAGCTCAAGAAGTAACAACTGTGTTGCCCTTGTTGTCTTTTTAACATCCAGAGTGCTCCATACAAGCAATGTTCTCGAGCACAGGGGACTTCAACTTTTAAGATGGTTGCTGTTCCAACAAAAGTAAATTAAAGCTGCACAACTGAGTGGTGAAAGAAAAACTTGACAGTTTTCCATTCAACTGGATGTTGTTGAAAAGAGCTCAATGTCCATGAAAATTAAACAAGTGACAAGTCGTCCTAGCAGGTCTTGCATTTGGTATGTGTTTATTCAATGACATTCAATGAAATTTATTATAAAGGATTTTCATGGGCAAAATAAAGAGGATACAACAGGCTACTCTCTGGGAAACCTGAAATTTTAAAGTGCATGAGTGTTTTATTGTTATAAAGTGGTAGGTAAGGTAAGGTAGGTACCCTAAATCCTGTTGTTATGATTAAAAGTTAAATCATTGAAACCATGTACGAGTGTCAGGGCTGCTTTTACTTTCAGAACAGTTTATTTAGATAATTTCCATAACATTCCTGGCTGCGACCAAAGTACAACAAGCTCCTGTCGACAAGTTCACATCAGCCTTTTTTTATGTGCAGCAGCAACAAAGTGTTTTCATTGATAGCCCAGCTTAAAAAATCAGCAGTGGTCCAGCAAATGTGACCAAGAGCGGAGGCTTGAATCTGTTAGATTTAAGTAAAACTGCAAGTGTTAGTTGAAGACTTCAAGAGGACTTAAAAGTCATGTGGTTCGTTTGTTGGTGGGCCTGCTAATCTCCATGACCTAATCTTTATGGCAGGGGAGACCCAACTTTTATGAAGTCACTGATGGCCGTACTGCGTCTTTGTGGAGGATAAATGTTTCTCTGGAGAGAACATTTGTTTTCACCCACAGGAGCTGTAACAGTTTATAGAAATTTTTATGTGTGAACAGAAAGTAGGCTCGAATTTCCATGATGATAAGGTAGTAAAGCACATACTTTGTAGTCTTACTTAATCACATAAAGGACAGGTTAAAAGAGGACTGTATGTGTCTTGAACAACATAATTAACATGCAAAATGAAATAACATGTTTCAAAGCAGCTGGTATCTTTCCAGCAAATTCAGACTGTGTTGGATTGTGTTGAAATTTCATTAAATACCTACTTTATAGTTAATTCACATACTAAAATACCAATCCAATCCACACTCTTGAAATGCAGTGCAATCCATGTTTTTAGGAGTTGGTCTGAGAACTCAACTCCTACTCTGTCTGGACTACAAGGATGAGGTGGGAGGTTAAAGGAATGAGGGTGAAGAGGGGATTATCAAATGTGTGTGTGATAAGAATCGGAGAAATTTTGTTTCAAAAGAAAATGCAAATTAGTTATTTATGAAAAAGGCAGAGAGAAAGTTGACAGGGAAGGTAGTGGTCAGTCTCAGCTGTGCAGCATGTGATGGCTGAATGTGACAGCTGTTCTCTAACTGGGACACTCACACTCACACTCACACACACACACACACACACACACACACACACACACACACACTGTGCACAGGCACACTGGGCCTGGGACTCCAAGGCATCTTAGGAAATACAATGGACCCTGTTGTCTGAAGAGAGCGAGCTGTGAGAGAAAACTTGTGAATAGGAGAGAGAGAGAAGGAGCAGAGAGAAACATGGACGTGATACGACAGGCTGTGACGGAGTGAAAAAAGTGTGCAACAGCAATTTGTAGCTAAAGCAGAGTAATAGTAGCGAGGGGAGGAGTAATCAGTGGCTTAATGCAGCACATAACTACGGCAACTTCCTCAGTGCATATCCTCTTTGTATCCATGTAATCTGCCCCCCCCCCCCAGTCCCATGTGATGGCTTTCAACATGTCCACAAAGACTCACATTCCTACAGTGTTGGGATGGAGCAGGGGGACGCCATGAGATGGGAACTATCTCTGAGCTTGTATTAGGGTGATTGCGTGTTTATTTATATGTTATCTGTTGTGCTTCAAGAAATCTTCAACTTGAACAAGTGATGTTCTCTTCCTCTGTGTCCGTTTTCTATTTCTCTCTCACTATTCCATTTACATATCCATCCTCTTGGTAGGACTTTGGGGGGTAAGACATGGCAGCAGACCAAGCCTCGGAATAAAAGCTCTGTTAGTATCTTGGCTGACATTGTGGTGGACACACACACACACACACACACACACACACACACACACACCCCCACACCCACCCCTGGCAGGTTTTACAACTCCTTGTATATTGCTAGGTCTGGTTTTGGCAGGTAAGCTCAAGGACTCTTTGAAAGCCCATTTAATAGAAAAGGCGTAGCGTACACACACACACACACACACACACACACACACACACACTCCACAAAACCCTATTCCTCCTGTTGTCTAAGACTTGTTTTGTATTCAGCTCAGCTGATGAGGGAAGGTGAGCAGCCAGACTGGAGTACTTCACAGTTTTAGATGATTGGGGAGGAGCAGTGTTTCCCGTAGGATGGGGTTGTTGCAGCAGAGGCGAAGAGCATGCGTGCAAAGATATTTTTTTTGGCATGCCCGCAAAGCATGCCAAAAATTCATTATCAAGTAAGCGCAAAGTTTATCGTTTATATGCTTTGCTCACAGGTGTGTGAGTTGACCTGGATATGAAGCGTCCGTAGGGCAAAATTATATAAAGTTAGTTTCTAAAGAGATAAGACTGAGCTGTCTCCTCTCCTTTCCTCTCCTCTCCTCTCCTCTCCTCTCCTCTCCTCTCATCTTAGTGGCAGTGATATTTCAGCAGCCGCTGTTAGGTGCATATGGGGGAAACACTGGGTGAAGGGTGGCAGGGGTTCATATGCCTCCATACATCTTCCCAGCACTACTGCAGCTCTGCCCATGTATCCAATAACGGCCCGGGAGGGGACAGAGAAAGAGTGTGTAGAGACAACATCAGATTCCTATGTATACACAAAGACACACAGCACAAGAACACAAACATCAACAGACAACAAGGCATTTCCCTTCTTCATCAAGCACTATCAGTGCAGCAGTGTCAACCAAGTGGAGATGCTGATCACAGATGAGCAGGGAGGAAGTGGCTGGAATGTTCAAAGAGACATGCTTGAGATTACACAGGACAATAGACTGTGGTTTCCTTTGAATTACTTTTATTGGAATTTAGATAGAATTGCAATTTTACCCCTTTGTTTCTCCATCAATCTATTGTGGTTGGTTGATCATTACTGGGTGCATCACGGCATTGCAAAGTGCTTTGTTCTTATCTCCAGACAGTATGAAATATGAATACCATTAACTGACATAAAGCGACAATCAATACTGCTCATTACTGATCAGCACTTGAAAGATTTTCTGCCTTTTGCAGATGTGTTTTTTGTCATTTAGGAAATTCATTTATTTTCCTGAATCCGTCTAGTGGAATTTAAGATAGCAGAGTTAGCGTTGTGCAACGGATTTCTCCACATTTCAAAGTTCAGTTAAAGGAGCTCTTTGTAAGTTTTGCCTTTGTTACATAGCCAATATTAGCATTAACAGGTGTTTACTTACCAATAGTGACTAACTCTAGCCGCCAGTCTGCCCTGAGGACATAGCGCTGCTCAGAGGACGTATTAGAACCTCTTGTCTTATAAACGCAACAATGACCAAAGCTCTTGTCAAGCAACAATCACCACCGTCTGCTACCAGAGAGAAACCACGTTCAGCAGCAGAGAAAACTGACAAATAGCCCCTTGAAAGTGATACTTTAAATCTAAAGAGTTTGGCGGGTGGGGTGGTGTCTTTTTTAAATCACCTTTTCAAAACCAAAAACGAGCAAAAGAATAAGAAATGTATTTAACAGTGTGCTTTTATGCTCTAACATAAGCTAATTCAGCACCTAAGATACTGTCTTGTATCATTTATCGTGTATGCAGCCATCAAGTACAGTTTAAAACTGTAGCAACAGTAACTAATGGGGGAGGGGCTTAGTGATTGGTTAATTGTCTTGAATTATTGTTCACCTGATGTATGTTGTCTTCTTTGTTACTGTGTGAACACAAGTGTTTTGTGAACGATGCCACCTGTTTCCCTTGACTTGAACTGTGTGCTTGTGGTTTCGTATGTGTGTGTGTGTGTGTGTGTGTGAGAGAGAGAGAGAGTATTTAGATAGTGTTTCAGAAAGTGCATTTGTGTTTTTGAGTGAGTTTGTGTGTGTATGTGTGTGTGTAATCATATGTCAGCGTGTTTGAAGCTTCCTTATCTAAAAGCAGAGGTGGGTCAGGGTCATGTCCAGTTCAGCCCTCTCTATGCCTCTTCCTGCTCCCACACGCACGAACACGCACACACACACACACACACACACACACACACACACACACACACACAGAGCTGATATAGCCAGTACATCCTCTGCCAAAAAGGGAAAGATAAAGATGAGAGGGAGTAAAAATAATAAGCTGGGCTCTTTTTACAGCTCTACACCTACAATAGAAGCATTAGAGGTGTAAATAACCAGCAATTCGATTAAAAATACCTAACAGACATCAGTTGAAACCAATTAAAGTGAATGAAAAGGGCAAAAAATGCTTGAACAACAGATGTCTTTGGAGAAATGACATAAAGACTGAATGTGTGAGTTCCTCAGGCCAAGGGCTTCAAAGGCTGAAGGCTCAAACACCTTGGGTTTTCATCCTTGGCCTCCTGACAGCCTGTGCATAAACTATAAAGACATGCACTGTATAATTTGAAGAAATATTCTGCATTGGCTGCATTAGTTTTTAAAGATTTTAAAAAACTTTCTGTTGTGCAGGATTTCCAGCATTTTTTTATATTACTGCTGTCAGGAGAATCTAATAAAAAACTTTAACCTTCAGGGAAAAAGAGAAGACGTGGTATTTCAACAAAGGTCATATATTAAATGGCTGACAGTAGTCATCTACTATCTTAACTGATCACAGAGGAGGAGATGCTGTCAGGATCTGTCAGACTCAGCTCAGTGCTTGACACTGATTGATCGATCACTTCATGATAATTGATCAAAGCAGCACAGTAATTACTGGGCCGATGGTGGAGGAAGGACACATGTAGGCGAAATATAGCTTTCTGTTGGTGGATGTTGCAGGAAGAAGTACTTGGGTTAAAGTTACATTGAGATTTGATCTGGAGCACAGATCCACACATCTGCCTTTGACCCTTTTTCTTACATGTAGTCATATTGTAGATGTATAGACAGTGACAGGACAGTCAGACAGAGGGTACACAGTAAATCAAAGACGGTCAGGGAGACCCTTTGTAAATTTTTGTAATTGCACATACAGTGAATAAACACTAATTCTGTCTACATATATGTGACCAGAGCAATTATTATATAGGGCCTACAGCATTTCACATTAATAAGATGCATGTACTATGTGTACGTGTGTGTGAGAGAGAGGGACTGAGAGAGGTGAGTTTGTTTTTATGGCTTTAAAGGAGTGGGTAAGTAGACACAGAGCTTTATCAAGCAGTGTTGTTGCATTGTGAAAGATGGGCGTAAGCTTGAGACCTGCACACACACATGCTGATACAGCTACACACATAAGCAACACATGCACACTCAGACACACACCCTTTTACATTCCCTGCACCACCAAGGGGAGCGTGTCCGTGTGTAGGCGTATCTAATATCTCAGAGTACCCAGTATGCAAGTGCTCGCCTCTGTGTAAAAGTGTGTGAGATATAAGGTTTCTGCATAACAGGTGGGATAGACTTTGCGTCATCTGTGTTTGGGTCAAGTATCACGTTTTCTCCCTCATGTCTGTCATTAAACCCCCACCCTCCAGCCCTCCCTGTCACATACTCCCTGAGTACGGTCAGATACAGTCGGCTGATCTCCTCCTTTTATATACAAAACATTAAACGCAAACCACTGCACAATTTTATACATTTAAAAGAGCACTGTCGCATTGCAATTTCACTTCCTTAAAAATCGAAACCAATACTGCCCCATTCTTCTAACTGAAGATCAAATAACAAATGGGAGTGATTTTCCCACAAAGCCTGAGGACCAAGGCAAATTTCTGTCATGTCATCATGTTACAGGTGTTGAAGCTGAGGAGAAGACAAACTTAAAGGTCCCCAGGCCTTCATATCATTGCTCTCAGATGTAAACAACACAAATTGACCATATGCTTATAAAACAGCTGTTGCTGTCTCCATAATTTCCATTTCCTTGTTCATGTTATAATTCACTTCTTAATTATATAAAAAGTCTTTTCTCATTGCTGTCAGCATGAGTAATATGATCTTAATGAGCTTTGATTCAAGTGAATCGACATCACAGTATATTAAGAGATGATACCTCTTTATTTGTAACAGTTTCCTCTGTGTTTTTCTTCCTGTTTGTCTCCAGTCATGGCTGAGGATGTACGGTTACCTGCCCCAGGCCAGCAGACAGATGTCCACCATGCGATCAGCTCAGATCCTGTCCAACGCCATCAGCGATATGCAGCGGTTCTATGGCCTAGAAGTCACCGGACACATGGACCCTCAAACCATCAGGTCGGCAGCGGTTAGCTAGGATATTTTTGTATTTTTGATATTCTTGATCTACACCCACTCAGCCTCCAAAACACTTTGAGTCCCAAACTTTATCTAAATTTTCAGTTTCAAGTTTTGCAAAGCCCTGTAATGTTTTTAGTAGGATGGTTTGGCCTAGAATTTGTAGATATAGGCTTTTAACCAGGATTGGTCAAATCGTCAGTTGTATAAAAAGATTTGTAAAGTTCTCCTTCTCCCTTAGAAACTGAACACGTTCTCCCCTTTTTGCTTGAGAGGAACTGCTCAGTAGCCTGGCTGTACTCGGCAGCTCACAGATACACAGACTACTAAATTAAACAACAAAAACGTACACAGACATCAAGAGGAGAGAGCAGGGGTTACAACATCACACTCCCCTTCATCTCTTCTCTCGGGGTGTCTTCTTCCTTTCAACACACATGCACATGCCTTCTTGCCTGTCGCTGACTCCTTTCAACTCCTTTAGCGCCATGAGGAGACCCCGCTGCGGTGTACCTGACAAGTTTGGAGGCCAGATCAAAACTAATGTGCGGCGGAAACGCTACGCACTCACTGGACATAAATGGAACAAGAGCCACCTCACATACAGGTATCAAAAAGACGTTCTGTTTGTAAAGAAAATCTAACCTGCCACAAACGTATCTTAAATGCGCCTTTCTTTTACTGATTTTGTTGTATCAAGAATACATTAACCACCATAGACGCCTCATACTATGCACCAGACTAGATACACGTGCTTGACACTTTGACACCTCAAATTGCTAACAGCCTTAAAATGAAAAACATCTTTAATATAAATCAACAGATGGGTATGTCTTACTTAAAGCTGATGTGGGACACTTCCCCTTGTAAGATTTCTTTTCTTTGTTTCCACAGCATCCAGAACTACACTCCCAAGATTGGAGAGTATAACTCTTATGAGGCCATCCGGCGGGCCTTTAAAGTCTGGGAGAGGGTCACCCCACTGACCTTTGACGAAATCCCCTACCAGGAGATCAAATATGGACGCCGCAAGGAGCCAGACATCATGATCTTCTTCGCTTCAGGTTTTCATGGAGACAGCTCTCCTTTTGATGGAGAAGGGGGCTTCCTCGCTCATGCCTACTTCCCTGGACCTGGAATGGGAGGGGACACGCACTTTGATTCCGACGAACCGTGGACCATAGGAAACCAGAACATTCAAGGTAAATGGGGACAGTGGTGATTTTCCTTAAGTACAAGTGAATGCTACAGAGAAAAAACATTTAAAAACCTGAACAAGAGCAGGAATGAAAAGTTCTCAGTGAACAGCTTCCTGGGAGATGTTTTCAGGACTTACACTGTGGCTTCAGGTGGGTGGATGTTTTGCTGCACTGCAAGTTGAGTTGGTGCGGAGTGCTGTATGTCTGTGTTTATGTGTATGCAGCCACACACACAGAAAGCTTGTTGTGTTATGAAGCTATTTCTTGTGATGCGAGGGAGTCATTTGCTTAACCTTGAAAGGGAAACGGAGCGTTTAGGAGTCATAGGTCCTTGAGCTGATGAGCAGTTTGCAGCACTAAAGTCATGTCATGTTGTGTATGTTGTAATGGATCTATATGATAGATTGCAAACAGTTGTCCCCATCACTTTTCCCTGCACATAACTAGAGTTGGCATGGTTCAGCTCTGCTTCTCCATTTACCTCTTCAGAAGTTCAAAGTCAAATCACACAGTATTTGCCCTAACTGCACCTCCTTACAGGTCTCCGATTTACCTCCTCCCCTACCATTATAATTCTGACAACTTACACTAATCACTGAACTCCATGCATCATGGTCTGTACAGTCTGTGCCAGACACACACAGGCACACACACTCAAGATATTTGTATTTCTGTGACGATTAGAGTTTGCTAAAATGGTTGCCTAAATCTAATCTCACTTAAACCCAAATAAAACTCTGAGCACCAATTTCTAGCACTAAACTAATCCTATGTAAGAAGACACCTTCAATCTTAAGAGAAGTTCCTCTTCTTTCTGTGCACCCATTCACCCTGTTGAGCAGAAAGGGATTTTTCTTCTTTTTTTTTTGCGACAATGGGTTTTCCTGCCCTGTTATCTACATACACACACCAGACACAGACAGCTAAGCTTTGTCTGTGTGTGTGTGTGTGTGTGTGTGTGTGTGTGTGTGTGTGTGTGTGTGTGTGTGTGTATCTGTGTGATCAGCTCTGAGTGGGATGTGTTGCAGGACAGATCACAGGGGCAGTAGAATCCCACAGTAAGTGGGAGTGTGCTCTACTCAGGAAGATCTGTAGACTGGGCTCTTTGTTGCTCCACGCTACTTACACAGCTTAAAAGCAAAGTACAACCAAATTACAATCCTGTCTGACTTTAGTTAGACACATGTCTAGTTAGTCGAGCTTTTCACAAATGTAGTCTTCATTTAGCTCTGGCATTTTTACTGCCTTTACTGCCTTGCATTAGTCTTGAAATGTGGCCCCCACCCTTTGCCAAATTTGAAGTTTTCCAACAAAATTTGTATCTAAACAGCAACAGTCTTTTGGTTGATTAAGTTAATTCTTTAAGTCAATTGTTTAAGTCAGGTAATACGCTAACGTAACGTTACGTTACATTTTGGGTTGACAGACTGTGGAAAATCCTCCTCTAGCTGGACACATGGCTTGGAGACCACTTGTCCTTGGAGGACATAAAATCCATTTATAAACAGCTTATTAACATTATAACTGCAGACTTGATGGATTGCAGAACCCTTTATTAATGATTTATTAACATTTATAATTGCAGGTGACAGACCAACTTCTGCTAATGGCTCAACAGACATTGAGAAACCCATTACCCTTTATTCATGCTACACTAACATTTTTACATGCAGACATGATGACTTATTAGAAAGTGCCCCTATGTCCTTATTAATGGTTTACCAACATTTATAACTGCATTATTACAGAATATAAACACGCACCTATGCTTTTACCAAAACATCTGATTTAAACAGGGCACACTGATGCAAAAGTGTCTTTCCTGAAACAACAGAGTGAGAAGTTCTTGACTTAAAAATATAGTTTTGTACTCAGATAAATTATCTTTAACAGGTCCATAAATCAGCTCAGGCTATAATAACACTTACGATTTCTACTGCTGTAGAAAATCGTGACATGAATTTTTTAGTTTTACTAATTTCTGACATCTCATAGACTAAATGATAAATGAATCAAAAATAACCGCCTTATTGCTTCACAATTAAAATTATCATTAGTTGCTGCCCTAATAGTATTTTCAAATGAAATATTGATATTTTGCCTTTCTTCAGTGCTGATTCAGAGTGCAAACAAAATCTCACAGAAGAAAGAAGTAAGACTTGAAGAGCCATGTTCAAACCTTATCTGCATCTTCCCTGCTGAAGTGTCCTGGAGCATGAAGCAGAGTCAGCCCTGACCTTTGACCTCCTTTTGGTCAAACAAAAACAGACTTAAGCTTAGCGATCAATAGTTACACATGAAAAATTCATATGACAGCATGTGACGGTAAGGCACAAATCTGTTTCCCCTTTGCAGTTGTACTGTTTTTTTTCCCCTTTCCCTGAACTCAGTTTCTTTAGTTAGCAAATAACAATTTTATTAGGCTAGAAAATTTTTCAGTGTAAATCTTGTGACACACAGTGTGATTAATCAGCCTTTCTGCAACAGATGCTCTAACAGAAACAGCTTTTAGACTTAAACCAAACAACTTACTTATATGCACACTCAAACACACCTAACACAAATGACACCCTGAAGACCAGGAGTGGTAAAAAGGTCAGAAAGCCTTTGTGGTCAGATGAGAATAATGTGAGTAAGTTACTGGCAAAAGGCAGAGCTGACTTGGAGAGTGCACTTTGGTTGTCAGGGTGCTGCTTTGTGTTGCACTGGGAGTTCCCTCAGCTGCTGATGAATAAGGTGTGAGACAAGCTAAACAAGTGAAATAGAACTTAAAATGACTGAATGTGTGTGTAGGGTGGTCAGTATTAGATGTGTTGGCTGAACTTCTAAATATGCTGAGATGTTTGAAGTTTACTCAAGCTTTTCTCTGTCAGACTAAATGGTTGTCGCGGTTACCTCACAAAGGCCTCTTTATCTGCTCTCAGTGCTCTCTCTCTCTCTCTTTATTCATCCTCAGCTATCTGGAGCGCTCTATCTTGCCCTCTGCTGTTTTCTCTCCTTGAGTGTTAGCCACAGCTTAGCATGCCATGAGGACACTCATGTGACTCTGAAATTATAGATGGTGGGGGAGATGAACTGTGTGAATCCCTTTGTGAGTGTGTGTTGCTAAAAGGAAATTAGGAGATGCACAAGGACAGGCATCCAGAGCATCTCCCCATTCCCTTCCATGCTCATCTCTGACATCACCAGGTCCCATTCCCCCCCAACGGCATGATGTCACTGGCACAGATTTGACCAATCAGCACAGAGGATTGAGCCAGACAAAATGGCTCATGAGTTCAAAGATCACAGAGAGCAGGTCTCAAGCAACAAAGAGGGATTGACTGGGGGGAAGTACCCGACTGTGTGCTGGCTGCACTTCAGACACGACCATATAGGAATATGTTGGTCAAGTCGAAAGCAGGTTTTCTGTGGTTTTACTTTTCAAAAAAAAAAACATCAGTAAGAGGTCTTTTGTGTGCAGAGGAAGTTGATGCAATGGTCAGTGGGGCACAGCTGTGTCGTGGCCTTGTCAGTGTGTAGTTTTTGCAGTGGCCGTGGACAACAGCATCCCTTGACTGGTTAGAAATGTTAGAAATGTATGCTGATTCATATCAGCAATCATTAGCATGCCTTTAGTGATTCATGTGTCAGATCTGTGGAGAGAACAATGAACAGTCATTCTCAAATATTAACTACATGGATATAAACACACTGAGCACTTTACTAGGAACCCCTAGTACGCATGCTTTTTCATGCAATTGTCCAATCAGCTAATCATGTGGCAGAGCAATGCATTAAGTCATGCATCACATTAAACATCAGATGAGAAAAAAATGTGATCTCAGTGACTTTGACTGTGGCATGTTTGCTGCTGCCTGACAGGCAGTGTTTGAGTGTTTCTGAATCTGCTGATATGGGATTTTCACACACAACAGTCTCTAGAGTTTTTACCCAGCAGCTCTGTGTTGATGAGAACGGTCAGACTTGTTGGAGCTTAAAGAAAGGCTACGGTAACTCAGATAACCCCTCTTTACAACTGAGCAGAAAAAAAAAAAACAGCTCAGCATAAACAACACGTCCGGCCTTGAGGTGGATGGACTGCAACAGCAGAAGACCACATCAGGTTCCACTCCAAGAACAGAAATCTGAGGCTGCAGTGGGCACAGTCTCACAAAAATTGGACAGTTAAAGACTCCAAAATGTAGCCTGGTCTGATGCATCAGGATTTCTGCTGAGGCAGCGGATGGTCGGGTCAGAATTTAGTGTCAACAGCATGAATCCATTGTCCCAACCTGTCTTGTGTCGACAGTCCAGGCTGCTGGTGGTGTTGTAAAGATGTGAGGAATGTTTTCTTGGCACACTTTGGGCCCTTAGGGAGGCCTTATCCCGTTATAGAATGAGGGACTTTCCTCTTTATGTGGCCTGCAGCATATGGATTCCTATGTGTTTTTCATAAGACACAGATGTATGAATGCGGAGGGACATTCTCTCTTTTTCCTTCTGTAAAAACTCAGATAACTCACTCTAGCTTTCTTTCCTCCCTAACTTCCTAACTTGTTTCTATGCTCCATCATTTCCACACAGGTAATGACCTGTTCCTGGTCGCAGTCCACGAGCTGGGTCACGCCCTGGGTTTAGAGCACTCCAACAACCCACTGGCCATCATGGCTCCTTTTTACCAATGGATGGAGACTGAGAACTTCGAGCTGCCTGACGATGACCGGCGCGGCATACAACAGATCTATGGTAGGATGTATATTGGATGACTGTCCTGGTGTCCAGTGTATATGAACTGGTGATTTTCACTTTCTTTAATATTGAAAAGTAGTTTTTATGCCTTTCTCCTACAACAAAGAAGTTTCTTTTAATTTCCTTTTTAAAACCCTAACCCAGTAGGTTGCCTTCATTCATTTGGGAATCCATTTTTCAGCTGTAAATTCATCAGCATTTCAGAAATATTAAAGGCAAGGCAAGTTTATTTATGGAGCACCATTCAGACAGAAAGCAATTCAAAGTGCTTTACAGAGGCATGGAAATACATTCAAAATAGAACATTAAGAAGACATTAAGATAGCATTTAAAAACAATAAAAACAAACAAACAACCAAACAAGAAAGCGAGAGTTTCTATTCTAAAAATAAGCAGTTTTGACTTTTACTGTTATAACTTAGGTTTATTCCCATTTTTTATTTAATTGTAACTGCATTTTTTGATTAATTTGCATTATGTACTTTTAAAGTTGATGCTGAAAACAGATGACTGAAAAAAGTCAGTCATCTGTTCCTACATCTTGTCGTCAAGCATAATGTGGTAAAATAGATTTAACCCTTGATGTTCGTCTTTCCCTTCAGGTCAGCCAGACAGCGGCCCCACCCAGGCCCTGCCCACAGTGACACCCCGTCGCCCAGAACCGAGACCACCCCAAACACCTCCTCGTCACCCTGACCGCCCCAGGACCACCGACAGACCAGATCACTACGGACCCAATATCTGTGAAGGGAACTTTGACACGGTTGCTATGCTCCGAGGAGAGATGTTTGTTTTCAAGGTAAAGGGTTTTGAGGTTTGGGGACATGGGGGCTTTTTAACTGCTAACTTTATCTTGATCTGAAGTAATGAGCGTAAAACATGAAAAGAATTATGTTTACCATCACAGCGGTTTATTGTTTGTCCTTCAGTTGGCTTCCAGCAGAGGAGCTGCTGTGACAAGTTAACTGTGTCAGTAAATTAGTTGTTATTTTCTGCAGAATCAGTTGGAGACAAATGGCGTGTGCACGGCCAACAAGAGGTCTGTTTTCAATCAGGTCCTTGTGGATTGTAAACCAACAGGGCCAGTGTTTTTTATGAGAGCGAACACTGTTAAAGGGGTGGGGTGTTCTCAGGTGTTTGCCTTAAAGAGCCTCTGGACCCACACTAAACATTCATAAGGGCTGAAGCAGCAGTGAGCCATCAGGAAGAGTTTTACCTTTAAGAAATATGTCTTAGGAAACCTTAATTTTGCTGTTGGCTGCAGTCGATGAAAGCTGGCTTTTATTATTCATTTAATGTTTAAGTTGTTATGATATTATGCAGCCCAGCCCTTATACTGTACGTCTGATGTGTTTTCACCAGTCGTGGAAGTAGCTGTTCCTGGTCAGCGTTGATGATACAAGAAATGTACGTGATCATCGCCAGTTCATTTAACTGAAATTCCAACAGAAAATAGGGCAGAATTTCCTGCATTGTATTTTATCCTATTCAGGATGACTTCAGTGACAATCTATACATAGAGCAGCTCTATAAAGATAAGTAATGATGTGCTTCAGTGGGAGAGGTCAGAGGAGGTGTCCAGTGTTGGCAGTGCTGAACACTGAAGAGGTTCACAGATATCAGAGAGAGCTGGACAGAGAACACCCAGGCCTTATTGTGAAGGAGCTTGAGATTCACTTCCTGTTGTTTTAATTGTCATATACTTTAGATTAGAGGCAGTGCATTCCAGTGCAGTTGCAAACTTGTGCTCTGGCTAATGTTGACAAAATGTTGTCATGATATCAGAAATATTAACATTTGACAGTGAACTGCAGCAGTAGGGAGTCAAACAAGTGAAGATATGCAACAGCATTAACTGTCAACCACACTTTGATCTGCTGCATACCTGTATCAAGGATGAAATGCAACACCATTTAGTTTTTTCTGTAAATCTGATTATGACGGCTGTTGTAATACATTCCTGTTTGCATTATTATTGTAATACAGTTGAATATTTAGACATTAAACCAAACATCACTGGTTCAAATGTATACTGTGTGACAGAGCACTGCCCCCTGTCCCTCCTAACACACAGAGATCAGTCTATGAATATCTCCTATCTTGGTCTGTAAGTGTGTCTGACACTGACCAGTAGTTATATGACTTGGCATCCAGCTGCCTGGACATGTGCTGCACATGGTCAGACAGTTATATCTGTGCTCTTAGATTTCATCTCGGCCAGTAATGTCCATGTTCTTGGGTTTCAACCACAGTCATGAAGCTAGTCTGGACAGCATTAATAAGCATCCAGAATTAACTTTTTCCCTGCCTAGCAGTGGTTCTTAAACTAATACCAATGATCTGATCAGAGTGAATGCAGACCAAAAGCAATTAATATGCCTTAAGTGATCCGATCAGTTTTGTGAATATAATTCTGTTATCATGCACATTAGGAACAGCCACTTACTAAGTGTTAGATAAGATGTATCATCTGTTGCAGGTTTGTGGTTTTGCTATGAAATTATCATTTATTTATCTGCCACTTGCAGCTGAACCTGAAAGCTCATTTCAAGATCGCAATGTTTAAACATTTACTGCTTTGTTTATTCATTTTTCAGCCACACTAGCAGGGGTGCTCCATGGATTGTCCACTAGTTTGGTCTCTAATATTTGTTGAACTACTAGAATAGATTGACATCCAATTTTGTAGAGGCATTTCAGAATTAATCCTAGTAACTATGGTGATCCCCTGACTTCTCCTCCGCTGTGACAATCAGTTTTTTTTTTTTTTTAGTGAAATGTCCCAACAACTATTGGACAGATCTCCCTGAAGTTTGGTTCAGAGTCTCATCCCGACTCAGGATTAATTTGTCCAATACTTTGGTTTATGATCAAATACCTGCAAAACTAATGACATTCCCACCAGCCTCAGCCATACTTTGTGTTAAATGCCAATTAGCAATTGTTAGCATGCTATCATGCTAATTTAAAATGGTGAACATAGTTAACATTATACCTGCTAAACTGGCATTAGCTTATAGTTCAAAGCACCTCTTTGCCTCACACAGCTGCTAGCATTGGTAGCGTTGATCTGATCCTAGGCTTTGTAAACACCATTTATAGAGGAGAGAGAGACAGAACAATGACTGGAAATGCTGCAGCTTTGTGTCCTCTCTTGTGTCTTCTTTCACTTCTTGATCGTCTCATGGTCAGAGAGTGTGTCAGAGAGAACACAGATTGATAAGTGACTCAGTTCTGATATGATTGTCTCACAATTTGATCATCTAGCAGTGACTGTTTCATTGTCATTCAGTGCTTAGTTTGGGATTAGCTCCCAACATGCTGTACAAAGTCCCTGCACCAGTTTGGAAGTGATGCCTCCACTGTTCAGAAACTGTAGTTACCGTGCTAATGATAGACATTATTCATAGGCAAAGTTGGTTACTTTATCTTCTGTATGCGTGGGAGTAAACTGTAGCACATCAGAACCACTCTGTCTTTTCCACAGAGTCCTGTCCATTAAAAGAAGAAAGGGGCTATCATTGTGGAGAGAAATGGCTCTTTTCTTTTATTCACTTCTTATATTTATTCTCAGCAGAGAGCTGGATATGCAGACAGGCAGCAGAGCACACTGAGCCGCTCTCAGTATTGAACCTCCCTCACTGAGGTCTGGTCTGTTCTGCTGAGGACTAATATGGTCAATTCAGTCTTAATCTGGTCAACGCAAGGAGCCTGTCAGACCACACAGATCGAAGAGCAGGCAGCCCGTTCGGCCCGGCCCTGTTGACGTTTCTCTCGGCTCTCGCCAGCCCATCTCCATCTCTGTTCCATTCCATACCGTGCCGCGCCGTGCTGTCTGCCAGTGTGTCCTACGTGAAGGACGAAACGAGGTGTGCTTGCCAGAAAGAAGCAGCACTGAGCATTTTACCGTTACATTATCCAGGACAAGCAGGGCTACTGACTCACCACTTATGAATGAGTCTGAGGGCTTCTGGTGTAAATCTGCCTGCTGGCCTGTGTGCACAGCATATACAGATATTAATGTTCACAAGCAGAAGTTTTTCTCTGTGGTTAGGTTAAAATATGCTACTGTGATGCTGATTTGACATTGAAATCCCTCTAACAGGTCTTTATAGTCATTTACAGCAGGCTGTAATCAACAGAGAGAGAGGGGTATGGGGACATGATAAAGCCAGCAGAGCGAAGACTGACTATTATTAGCCTGCTACTGTTCCGCTATTGTTAGTTTATTGTACGTTCTGGTCTAGTTATCCTGCAGAGCCCAGTTTGCTCAGCATAATGACCAACAAGCATTACAACAGTCTTAAAGGTCCCCTGTTTTACACTTGTCCTGTGTTTTATTTGAAGTTTTGAACCATATGAAGATATATTTGTTGGTTTTAAGAACCAAAAACCATATGAATGTACTCTTATAGCTCCTTTCTGTAGTAATATAGAACCTAGATAATGAAAAAAGACATGAACATCTACTTCAAACACTATGTGACGTTTAAAAATTATTTTCCTACAGCAGCACAGGAATGTTTTTTAAAGTGAGATGTGTTTAACCGACAATAAGAAATGACACACTCAAACACGCTCGTCAATTTTGTCTCCTCAGGGCCGTTGGTTCTGGCGGGTGCGTAGGAACAGGGTTCTGGATAACTACCCCATGCCCATCGGTCACTTCTGGAGGGGTCTGCCTGGAGACATAGACGCTGCCTATGAAAGACACGACGGCAGGTTCGTCTTCTTTAAAGGTAAGCAGCAAATACTCACGACCACACTGATGGATGCACGAGCCTAAGCACACAACTCTGAAACAGGATATGACGACGTCCCCACTCAGACTGACAGTATCCTACAGTCATAAACACAATTGCACTGCTGATAATCTTCTTCATAAGTGCCTTGCAGCCTAGTGGAGACAGTCAAATGATCTGATTGATTATTTGTTATTTATCACTCATTACTGTAAGAACAAGAGCAGAGAATTGCTGCTGGTCAGTGCCTGTACTTCGTACTACGTCGTATTATTTCACATTACGTAAGTGTAAGGTTTTGATGGAGGTAAGCCCTTACAAACAGGATGGAAGCCAGCAGGATTGAGGTGTAAGGTGTGGCGGAGGAAAGAACAGCATCAGACAGGGCTTTTTTTTTTTTTTTTGTTCCAGATCTCTGAGTTTTTCTTTTTACTTGTGCCAGAAAAGGTTTCAAAGAGGTTACAAAAACATGGTGCAGATCTTACAAGCATGTATGGGACTGGTGGACAGCGATACAGCTTTTCCACTGCAGCAGAGATGACTCAACCGGACACTCTCTCTCTCTCTCTCTCTCTCTGACACTCAGTGCTGCTTTCTCACCTGGTATATGTGCCAATTCAGTTCTACACTGCAAGGGCACATGACCGCTCCCGCTACATTCAGCAAATATATTTACAATTTAACATTATAAGTATTTGCATACACACCATGCACATGACTAATGCCTAACACAGGATAAATGAAATACATAACAAACTCAAGAAATACTGAACAAAAGCCCAAACCAAACCAAAACCCTCTTCCCCCCTCCCCTCTCTCCTCTCTGACCACTTGGTTCAGCCTAACAAGGTAACTGGCATCAGCTGAAGCCCCGAAGCTGCAGTCTCATGTGTGCGCTCCATAAAAACACGCCCCAGGAAGTAAAACCCCAAAGAGAGAGTGGTTAGTGGGGTTCAGACAATTAAAGCACAACATAAGAAAATTTAACTTCCTGTATCAGTTTGTCCAACTTTACACAGTCAGTGTGTGTGTGTGTGTGTGTGTATGTGTGTTTCATGTCAGTAAAGGGGATGCTTCCCAGCTCCCTCACAATAACACAAACAGAAACCTTCAGTTATCTAAACTAAATTCCTTATTTCAGTTAGATAAATTATAAAATATTTATAAATTATACAAGCTCGGTTTTTCATGAGTGTTTGTTGTTATTACAATATGATGGCGTGAGACTTTCAGAGGATCATGAAACCTCTATGCTCCTCTTCCCTTTGCAGCGAACTGCAATATCTCCACTCTCCAATTTCTTTTATGACATGAACGTACCATCCACTGGTAACCACTTCTGCTTATTGTTGCTGTAAAAACAGGCCTGGCTCTGTTCTGAATAATATTTTTCTGGTATTATTAGCTGTCACTTTGAGAGCAAAATAGTAAAACAGATTGTGGAGACTTTTTCATCTCCTGCAGATAATGTTTAAGATATACATTACAAACCCCCACTTCTTCAAGAAGGCAGCAGTACATAATGTATTCTACATGCAGAGTATAAATCTCCTCCAGCACAGCTCATTATTTATACTGCGAGTCCCTGAGAGCAGCTTGTGTTTTACAATGGTGGATAAAGTTGTTGAACGAAAAAAGAAAGAACGCAGCCTTTAATGCAGCTCGAACTGGGGGAGCCACAGGCTTTTGGGGCAGCTGTTGATGATGAGGAGGATGATGTCATTGGCAGATCTCTCAGTATGACACTTGGCTGCTTGCCATTAGCAAAGAAAGAACAAGAGGCAGGAAGAGGAGGGTAAGAAAAAAGGAAACCTGGGAGCGCTAGAGAAAGGGCGACCTGTTACCTAGACATTTAAATGGACCAATCAGGATCAACAACAGCTTGACTTCCTGATAACAAAGCTCATGAATCACGACCAAAGTTCTGCACATCTTGCCAAGTGGAGGTGTCTTTTTCACGAGGGATGCTTCTGTAGCTTACTTGTGTGATTTGGTTGTGTCTAATACATTTCTCATCAATCAGCAGTAGTGGCAGCGAACAACAAAACCCACAACTATCACAGAAATGATTGTCATCACTCCCCACTCCCTGCTGTGCTGAGCTCAGTGTTTCCTTATGGCAAGTGATGAGGACAGACTTTAGACGCCAAATATCAGCTCAGTACTTACATTATATGATCCACTTCATGTATGTTGGCTGACTCAGCTGTTGGCCCCAAATTTATTTTCAGGTGAAAAATATTGTAAATGTAGTAATTATCAATAACCAATAATGACTGTGTGAATCGTTTTTCTGTTATTTATTTTTTTATTATTAAGGCCAACGATATTAGTCATTTTTGCATTTCATTTTCACTGAAAAAAATATGAAAATGATGATGATGTGATTTTTGTTCTGTCTTGTACCAAAAAAGCATGTTCTCTTATGTCTTGAGAATATGATTTATAGGCTGATGGTCTCTCTGTAACAGCGATTTGGATAATATTTCAATTAGTAGTTAAGCCCTAATAATTACATAACATAAACAGAGGCAGTGTAGTGTATGATATCAGATTCATTATACGTATACAGAAAATAACAGCGAGGATAACAGGCACAGTTGTTGTGAAGTATAGTCACCTGAGTTCACCTGAGCTGGTGACGTCAACCACAACACTGTTGTAACCGCTTAAATTGAGAGTACTGTGTCATTTTCTTCAAGTTCAACTCATTGAATTACTCTTTATTGAGAAAGGACAATGGTGAATGTATTTAATAGAAATAAATGGGAAAGTGTAGTCCAGACTTGGAAAGTGAGAGAAACTCTCAGTGCAGTAACATTCAAAACTGTATTCATCCAGTTCTCTTACGCAGCTGTTGTATTACCCAGAGGTTTCACAGCTGTTTTCATCCTAAAAAAAAAACCTAACTGTGACAGAAACCACACTGTTTATCCCTGTAGAAAAACAACAGTTACATAGCAGGAAGCAATCGAATCTTTCGGTCACTGAAACACTCGGGCTCAGCCGTGGAAAGTCATGGAATAAGTCATGGGATTTTGCGTCAGGGCCGTGCACCGCAGGCACCCTGGGAAGCATTGCGTCAACCTCTTGTTCTCTCCAGATGCTGAGTGGAGAGCTTTCATTTTAAACGAGGCGCAAGGGGCTAGAGGTGGGTGGATGGGTGGATGGATGTTTGGGGGGGTGGGTTACTAGAGAGGGAGAGGCAGATTGAAGCCAAGAGGAGAGATGTAATGGTGCCAGGAGAAACAGAGTACCCCTGTCTGACACGGTGAAAAATAATAAAACCTTCCCTTCAGCGAGAAATCTGCTTCAGCCTGACATGAGACAAGCCGCTCCTAATGGATAATTACAAGCCAAACCCAAACTCCAGTCAATGGTGTTGTACTCGGTTTTGCTGTGTTTTTGATTGCCTGCCAACAAATCATTATTACATTCATATAATTTACAAGTGTGTGTAAATGCGGGATTGGTTTCTCGTATTGTTTCGTATTTTCTTTTTATTCCTCATTCAGTTTCAATTATTCAACATATTCTGCGCCAGCAAATTAAAAGTGTCTGTGCCTGTCAGAGTGTGTATGTCGTATATGTGTGTGTGGACTCAAATAAGTGTACATGTTAACATTCTCCTCTCCTCTCCTCTCCTCTCCTCTCCTCTCCTCTCCTCTCCTCTCCTCAGGAAACAGATTCTGGCTTTTCAGGGAGGCTAACCTGGAGCCTGGCTATCCACAGGAGCTGACTGATTATGGTCAAGAAATTCCCTACGACCGAATAGACACAGCCATCTGGTGGGAACCATCCGGCTACACTTACTTCTTTCAAGGAGACTGGTAACTACAACTACAGCCCTCTAATTCATGTATTGATTTCTGATTTTAGATTCAAACAATCTTCTCATGTATTTCTACAAATTTACTGTATATCTTCTATTTTATTGTGGTGCTGAAGTTTGAAATGATTATGTGTAAACAGTTTAAAGTTTTATTTCTGTCCACCAGGAGGTTACTGTCTTTAATTCCATATGTAGAATGAAATTACGGAATGATTTATGTTATCAATTTAATTACAGCATGGCTCTATAAGTATTACAGTAAGTTATACAAGAGGGAGAGAAGCATCTGCATTTGTGCAGCTCTTTATTAATAAAATTAGAAAGTTCTGTGGATGATACAAAACATATTGAACCCCCTTTACTGTGCTGCAGAAAAGAAATAACACAAGAGGAGCTTCTTTATGAAAATACTCACAGGAAAGTAAATACAGTGGAGGTTGCTTCAGCATTTCTAGTGCATTTACACACAACAGCTTTGAATGTTCTTTGGAAGCTCTGCTGTTATATATACACACTGTGTACTCTAGGCCTTCACCACGCTCTGGTTTAGACAGCAGATAAACAGTAACAACCATCTTCTCTCCGCTGCTTTCTGCAGGTACTGGCGTTTCAACGAGCAGTCGCGCTCAGCTGACAGAGGATACCCGAAACCAATCAGCGTGTGGGGATCGTCGGTGCCCTCTGCTCCCAAGGGGGCCTTCCTCAGCGATGATGGAGGTGAGCTAAGACAAGAAGAGTGCTTTCTGGGAGTGTGTGTGTGTGTGTGTGTGAAAAAGGGCAAGGAGGGGCTGGGGCAGACTGAAACAAAGAATTAGGGCGTGGTCACGCAGTCATCATGAGAGAGGGGATGGTGGTTTTGTCTGTGTGTGTGTGTATGTGTGTGTGTGTGTGTGTGTGTGTGTTGGGAAGTGAATTTGAGCCTACATGTGTTGTGCTTTTCACTTTGCTGTGCTAAGTTAGAGTGGAATTACCCAGCAGTTGGTTGGCTTAGTTAAAGTATGGAGACTGTTTCCAGCTGCCCTTTCATGCAACCAGTGGAGACTCCAGGTCAGCGCCGCTCTAACTGTTTCCCCCTGCTCCCAGTCTTTATGCTAAGCTAAGATAACCAGCTGCTGGATCCAGATTAAGCCTTTACAACCAAAGGCGCCTTCTAGAAAAGAATTCCAAAGCATTGTTTATTGATTTTTTTTTTTTAAATGTTAATGAACACCAGGGTTAATGTAATGATTTACAATAAAAGCCATGTTTCTATCTGCTTCAGAGGTTGAGAAATAAAGGTTTTAGTGCCCCTAATAAAGGCGTTGTATCAGGTGAATAGTTACCTCTGACTAGCGGTGACACTGGCTTTTACCTGCCAAAATCTCCTCCTCTTCTCCCTCCTCCTCCGACATGTCTCCCGCCATGGCTAGCCAGTTAGCAGCTTAGCAGGTCGAAGTCTGTGTCTCAATCTTCTAAGTAGTTGTCATTGTTGTTTTCATCCAAGTAACTGCTGCACTGCTGCGATATCACTCCCCTCACTCAGGTTGTCATCCATTGTCTGAACCGTGACTTTAAAAATTTGTTTGCAGGCTAAAGAAAAACAAATGCAATACATTTCTCCTAATGCATTACACGTTTCTGACATGAATTTGAGAAAATCACAGTGCTTTTCATCGTTCATGTGTCTTAAAGATGACGACATCATATAAAATGTGCGTAAGTCTCATCCTGATCTAGCCTATAGGGATAAACACGTATACGTTGCATCTGGTCTTAATGGCACAAATCTGAGGGTGGTATCAATCTCCTCTAACGTTTGGGAAAATGGGAAAGCAGCTTAAATGTTGAAATGTTCCTTTAAATTGTCTATGTTCACATGGTTGTGTTTGCTTACATCTGCTCTCCTTGCTTTCTCCAGCTTACACCTTCTTCTACAAGGGTTCTAAATACTGGAAGTTTGACAACCACCGCATGAAGAGCGAGCCTGGCTACCCCAAGTCCATCCTGAGAGACTTCATGGGCTGCAGTGTGGACCTGGACCCGGACAGAGACACGGACACAGACTCGGGACCCAAATTCCCAGATGTGAACCGCCCACCGTTCAACCCAGATGCCGGACGTGACGCCGACAAGGGCAAAGACAATGACGGAACGGATCGAGGCGGGACAGACAAGGACACGGGAAAAGGATCAGATGACAAAGATGACGACTACCGCGAGGGTCGCGAGGAAGACACCAACGAGGTGGACGTGGTGCTGAAGGTGGACGACAGCGAGGAGCGGACCATGAACATCCTGATGGTAACCATCCCGCTGGTCCTGGTGCTGTGCATCCTGGGACTGATCTACGCCATCATCAACACGCTGCAGAGCAAAGGGGCGCCGCGGCTGCTGGTGCACTGCAAGCGCTCGCTGCAGGACTGGGTGTGACCCTTGACATTAGGGGACGCTGAACTTTGAACTTAAATTGGACTTTAGACACCCGCCTCCTCTAATCCCCCTCCCCCCACGAGTGATCCATCTGTCTCAAGTCTCTGTGCTCAGTGGCTTCTGCAATTCTTAGTACATGTGGTAGTAGATCCATGCAAATACTGTACTGATAAAACACACACACACACACACTAGAAGCAAGCATAAATCATGTCTGACACACACACACACACTCACACACATCCACACACCATCCTAACCTCCTCTTGTCTCCCATGGTGCTCTACAATGCGTTGACTGTAGTCTATTTATATGAGAGAAGTTTGCACATTGTATTTTTTTTTCTCGTTGTTTTGTTTTGGTTCATTTTGTGTGACTTTATGTTGTTATTATTATTATTTCTAAACCAGGAAGGCCGCTCTATTCTCTCTCCCGGGTTTGGACCGCCCTCCTCCTTCCCCTAATCTCAGTAGGGGCTTTTTCCTCGCCGATAGCTCGACATCTGCTTATGCTATCACAGTTGCCGCAAAAAGAAAGACATGCAAAGGGTCAGAACAGATTTATAGATGAACCGCTCACACAAGTAGGGTTTAGTAGAGTACCTTCCTCCTTTCATCATCCTCTTCTTCACCTTGTTCTGTCTCCTCCCTTCTCTCTGCAGCACAGTTTGTCATGGGCTGAGGGACGAGTTAGAGAGAAACAGGGTTTGATCATATCAGATATTTGACGGTAGCTGGTAGTAAGAGGTGTTTGGAGGCCTAGTGTGAGCCCTTTTGACTCTGTCTGATGATGGAAGGTTAAAATCTGAAGGTTGGAGCTCTGTTGTTCATACAGGCACCGTTTTGGTTATACAGTAAAAGATAAGTCCAGTTTAGTACAACTAACCCTGTTATTTTTGAGGTTTTGGCCATTGATTTTGATGGGTATAATAACACTGCACTCACCAAGTTAATTGCAGAGATCTGGGAATGTGGAAATCTGAGGATACTGCTAAAAACAAATCAGTCACAACTCCGAGGTTAGCCCAATTTATCTGGCAGAGAAAATGAGGACGGGCAGTAAAATGTTTGTTACAAAACATAAATCAGTCTACAGACCGGGTTCCACTTTGTTCAAGGCTTCACTTTGATCTGCCCTACTTGCCATAGTTGTGCACCCACAGTTTCAGGTGTAATGCGAGGATGACATCCAAATTAAAAGAAAGGAAAAAGGGGTTAAAGGAATAGTTCAACAGATTTCTTTAGCTTTGAACAAAGCCAGACTTCCTGTTTCCCCCTGATGAGTCCTCTCATCTACTTCTCAGTGAAAAAGCAAACAAAATGTTGAATTACTTCTTTTAAATTTAGCCGATTGTCTGACTGATCATGTTTGTTGCCTCGTCAGGCTTTGTTGCCGCCATTCTGCTGTGTTCACAGATATCTGCAATCATTTTAAATATGATAAACAGATAGAAATGATGGCTAAAACTACAAAAATAAAACTCACAGCTGTGACACACTACAATTATCCTTTAAATTCATGCCACTACCGCCTTGTTTTCCTTCTTTATCCTGTGCCCACACAGTTAGATAATAGGTCCAATACCTTCTTTCTGTTCATACTTGGAAACCATTTAAAGACCTCTTTGGCTGAAAAGGTAAACAGACTTTAAAGGGGACTGTTTCCTTTAACGCTCATTTATGTGGCTAATTCTCAGAGAGCCTCTTTTTTTTCTGTCAACAATAAGAGCTTTTATTTGTGCTACAGAGGAGACAGACTAATGGTTAATTTAAAAAAAAGCCAGCTCACTGTGAAATAGCACAGGAGAGGTAGCATTCATTGCATCTGTGTGTGTGAGAAACAAAGCAAAGCTGTGGCCTTTAACTTCAGCACAGGATGTAACCCAAGAAATGCAGCGCAGCATTTGCAGGGAGCAACTACACTGCATTGCAGTTCATAACAAGACTTTTTTTACTGCTAGTGTTTTTTTTTGTTTCTTTTAAAGGACAATTTTGTTATGAAGATAGCGAAGCTGTGAAGCACCACGGTGGGCTCGGGCTCATGTGAACGCAGACTAATCCTCTTCATTAAAAAACAGCAGGTGTGTGCAAATGCTGTTAACCCCTGTGACCCCTAAACTAAACCTTGAACTCCCAGAATCAAAACACTCCCCGCTCCCGTTTCATCTCGCAACACCAGAGACAGGATGGAGGAGGAGTGCGTGCACAGAAAAATGTCTATCTTAACTTGTCATTATGACCAGCCAAGGATTAAAGGGGCCATGCCATGAAGCTACTTCAATCACAAATCATTGCCAGCCATTTTCAAATGCATGCCGTGGAGTTTTACATTGTTGTATGTATGTTTTCTACCATTGGTGGCAGCCGTTGGTTTCCATTCATTTGAACAGAGTATTAAAATCAGTTATCACACTGTTTAACCACAAAAATAACTTAAGTAACTTTGACGGACTTGATGTTCACTTTGATGGATTATACAACTCAAACAAGTTTTAATTTTGATTTTTATACTGTAAAGAAATGAATCACCGGTTGCCATGGAAACATACGTACATCAAAAAAACAGCATGTTTTGCTAAATGGTTGGTGTAAAATGATTACTACATTTTTCAATAGCAGTAAATGGGCTTAAACATTGAAAATCAATTATTAATCAATTATTTAAAATCTTTTTTTTTTGTGTGTCAGGTGGCTTTACCCACATACTTGTGGAATGACCAGCCCTATCTGAAGATTTCATAAAATTCTAGCAGCGATTGAAAACAAAACATTTTTCTCATTCTTGTTGTTTTTTTTTTTTAAATAAAAATAAGGTTTTGAGTTTAAAAAGCAGGCTGAGGTGAGCGAGAGTGTGGGGGTGGAAGACTTGGGAGTGTGACTTGAAATATGAATCGGAGGAAGGCTTATCTGAGGTAGCATGAAGTAAGCTGCCACTCTTGACCAGAGGGGTCTCAGCTCGCCCAGCTCAGGTTACACAGATGTGGACAGGGAGGGCGAGGAGAGACCCAATTTCCTGCAGCTGAGACAAGGAAAGACGGAAGGGGGCGGGAGGCTGACCTCCTCTCTGCCTAAGTTTGCAAAGTTTGGATCTCAGGAATAAGGAGGGGTGGGAAGAGGGGGGGGGGGGGTGGGCTTTGATGGCTCCCACTGGCAACAGCCCATGTGACCCAAATTCTCCTGCTAGCTCAACAACAGTGCCGGCCAAAGAGGAAACTTAAGCTTACAGTAGGTGACAGACCTTTTGTGGGAATGCTCGCTGTACGTGCTTCGCTTGTAGTTGTGTATCTACCCCGTTACATGTTTGAACCTTCTAAAATACACAGTCCCACGCATGGGATGCTTCAGCCTTGGTAGCACTACTTTTAGGTGTGTTTTGCCCTGTACCGGACTCAGTCGTCACAAAACCTTGACAAATTGTACGCTGTTTGAAAGCTCTTAAGTCTCCTGATTCTGTCTGTGTATATCACTGCAGCAGTTGTTGGCACAGAATCGTTTTTTTGGTTGTAAAATTTAAAGAGTTACCTTTCAAAATAGACCAAGATTATGACTGTAATCAAAAAGATTGAAGAACAGTGACCTTTTTATTTTGGGTATATTATTTTCAAAATGGGGGCGTCAGGTAACAGGTTAACGTCAACATATAGATTCCATCTTTTATTCTGAAGCAGTAGCAGTTCATCTGTCTTCCCTTTGTATGTTGACAGACTGAGCAGACACGTGACCCTGCTGTTCTCCAGCGAGGTGAAAACAGGTTGAGGTGAGACACACAGAGTTTAAGTTAACAGGACACTGTAGTGAAAGGACGGGGGAAAAAAAAGGAAGAGCATAATCAGCCATCACCAGAAGTCTGGAGATTGATCCAGTGGCCAGTCGATAGCGGTTGCCAGGAAACGGTGTCCTGTGTCCATCGCTCACCTCCTCATCGTCAAGGCTGCGGGGGGTGGGGGGGTTGGCGGACGCAGCTAATCAGTGTTAAAAGCACAACCCCCACCCCACCCCCCACCCTCGTCTCCTCCTGTCCTGCTCTTCCACTGGTCCCACAGACGCATCAGTGAGTTCTTAGACAGCCGAGCGTCTGGACAGGCTCGGAAAATGCAGACTCACTGACACGACGTTGGACGTATGGAGCCTCCTTTTCCTCCTCAGTAACCTCCAAACGCAGAGCCCACAGGGAGCGAACCACTTCAAAGCTTAAAGTAACCACTTCAAAGTTGAAAACCTATATAGAGTTAGATACCTGAGTTCGCTTTTACTTGAATTTGCTTTTACAGTTTTTTCGGTGACAAAGCAGTTTTGAGAGAGATTCTCTGTGCGGTCACACTGACTGGGATTGAATTTAGCTCAGTTCATTGTCTCAGGACACCGAGCAGAAGAGAGGAGAGCAATATGTCAAGGCTGATTGATGAATGTTTGTGTGTGTGTGTGTGTGCGTGTCGAGTGTGTCGACTTAATCAGCTCTACCCTCTACAAGCGAGGCCTGACTGTTTTCTGACTGTAAATTTCCCACACTGTCTTTAACCCCACCCCTCTGCATACTCAGCCCAGCCCTCTGAGCCCAGGGGGATCATAACAACAACAATGGCCTTCTCTCTCTTTCTCTCTTTCTTTTCACTCTTTCTCCTCCCCCTATTTTCTCTCTCCCTAATACACACACACACACACACACACACACACACACACACACACACAGACACACAGACACAAACACGTTATTGTCTTCCCCCAACCTCACCTTCCTCCCCTCTCCTCCCTCCCGTAGGAAACTAGTCCAGGCCAAGGTCCAGCCTCACAGAGCAGAGCCTGTTTTTAGATCCACCTCCTCCTTGTTCAGCAACATTTAACACAGTGGAAGGCTTCACTTACAAACACTGTACCTGTCAGGCTCTCAGTTTGTCGAACAAAGACCTGTCACATTTAAATGTAAAAGCTGAGGTTCTTTTATGTTAATGCCTTGTGTGTTTTGAAGTGCGGGCCCTTGATGCAAAGTTTAGGTGAGGTTAGGACATATCGCTGAGCTTGTCTGAGCTTTCATCTCTCAGAGGATGTATTTCTGTAAACACTGCACGTTAAGCTTTCCTCATTCAGCCTCGCCGTTTTGGCTCTGAGCGCAGGCTTTATACCTTTCTGTTTTTGTTATATCTTAATGAACATCTCTGTTTAAATCTCCACAATCATTCAGGAGGCAGGTATTCTTTCAGCTGCGTCTGTGCTATTCCACTCTGTTTACTTTTTTCCTGTGTTTTAGCTTCCTGCGGTCGCAGTGTGTCCCTGCACTGCCTAATAACCAGAAGCTTCAAAAAAAGCCACCGCATCAGCTGAATTGTACGAAGAAAAAAACCACATCAATAAAAAAAGAAATTAAAGAGACTGAAAAGATCAAATAATAGAAAAAAAAAGACAGTACAGTAAGACTTTCACTCTGGTCAGCTTTGTGGTTCATGATGGCTCGACCCTAAAGGATTGTGGGTTGTCCAGATGCTTTTCTCTTTCCCCCAGAGTGCATCTCACCTCGCTCATTGAGCCCCATCCACTCTGAAACCACTCATTCTAAATCATAATTCGGTCAAGTCGTCCTCTCATCGTGGGGATGAAGCAGAAACCGAGGCTGACAAATGACTCTCAGCACATGTGTCGTCGCTTTTTTCTTTCCTCTCTCCAGGACGAGCGCAGCGGATTCTCGCCGTGCTTCACGCAGAGACTGAAACTGCTGCTGAACTTAAGAAAACTGTTGTCATCCACTAACTGCAGCTACAGTAGAGAGTAGGTTTTTGTTGGGAATCAGTCAATTCTGCACTGACCATCGATACTTGGCATCTCACACTAGGCTCTCTTGAACTTCTCTCTTCATTACTACCTGAGTAATGGTTTAGTGACTTTCTGAAAAAAAAAAACAACTTCATCATCGTCCCTGATTGAGACGAGATGGAGGAAAAAATGCAAAAAAAAACAAAAAAAAAAGAAATCAGCAGACGATCAAGACGTAATTGTTTGTCCTTGATGATTTGTCTTATTTTGATTTTGTTTATTTTTTTCTTTCCAAACTTGATATGACATTTTTTGTTAATAACATTCCAATTAGGTTTTTTTTTTTTTTTTTTTTTTGATTGGTTGTTAGTGTGTTTTTTTTTTCTGTAGAAAAATGTAAGATTTTATACATTTGTGTTGTTGTGTGTTCACCTCTAGTTGAGTGTGTTAACAAGCCATGCTGGACATGTACACATTAAAAAATTGCTCTGAAAATATTCAATATAGTGCTTTTATGCAGAGGCAGGTATATATACAATTAGCTAACTATCTGAAGAGAATAATGAGTTACAATTCTGCACACACATGTACACACACACACACATTCTACTCTCTTCCTGCAGTGAGGTCACTGTCCATAGAGCCTTGCTTCCTGTCTCACATGGGACAGGCAGCAGAGCAGAGAAGGGAGAGAGCGGTCTGGCCGACTGCCAGGAAGCCACATGAGCAGGGAGGAAGTTAGCGAGCGGCGTGTAGAGCCTATAGGAAACCAAGCAGGCGATGGTGTCATCACACTGAGAGGAAATTCATTGTTCACAGCACCACAGTTTTTTGGGTTTTTTTTCGTGATGGATTTTATCCCATCACCTAAATGTCAGAACAGAGACTGATGGCAGACTTTAATGAGGTGTTTTTGGGGACTTAGATTAAGTTGTTTCCAAGACTGAAAATGAAGTGACAGTAACTGACATCCCATCGCAGGCGTAATTGGCCAAAATTGACACCAAGTGATAATTACTCCGTCTTCATCTGAGTCCTCATGATCAGTTAATTGAGGAGCATCGCTGAGGGCTGCAAGCTTTCAACACAAAGAGAAGGTATGCAGGACTGAAATGATGTAAAGACATGTCTCAGGGAGTGATACTGTCTGATGCATTGATCCAGAGGGAAAAAACCTTGCCAACCATTGGCTGAATAGCTGGAATTAAGCACACGTAACAATGTTCTCCATAACATGAATCCTAACTTAAAGGACACACATATTGTCAGATCACTTACAAATACTACAACCACCATCCAGTCCATCTCTCAATACCTCCCTATCTGTGAGCCCCATGTCCATTTGTTCCTACTGAAGACGTAAATATTAAAAAACAAATAACAAATACATAATTTCAGTTATGATTAGGCACTGTAGTTTTGAGCAAACTTCAGTCAAACAGGAGTTTAAGTACATTTTGTGACGGTTCAGGTATTTGGACCCAGATGCAGACACCAGACTGTTTGAGTGAATTGGAAAGGTTTTAAGTCGGAAAATAGTAGAATGGGATTAACGGTGGGTGAAGGGTGAGGGTGGAGGCAGGCTGGGGAGGAGGTGAGATGGCATCCAACTGAAGACTGAGGTCTGAGGTGTAGTATGGCAGATGAGGAGGCAGCGTGGGTTGGAGTTCTGGTCTGGTTCAAGGGATCACTGAGGCACAGGAGTGAATCAGATTAGCAAAGAGCTTGAGGGAAAACACAAAAGATATCTCAGGTAAATACTTGGTGGCCTATGT